CGGCCTTTTCCGTCAGTCTTCGGATTAATGATAATACAGTCAATCCAGAAATTTATGCTGTTTTCAGATATGAAAAATGACTTAAAATCAATCAACATGAAATCATGATTTAACAACTTTTTCAATAAGTAAAATATGTTAGGCGACTTGTAACAAACAACTGCTCACCAAATGTGGCAGATTTTCAAATTGCTTTGACTCAAAAATGTACACCTTATTTTCAATGTAACGGAAGTTAAACTTCTGAACAGGGTCAAATATGAAGTATTTTACTGTTCTAGATCTCAGTTTATCAATGATAAAATCATATTGGCAAGCAGAAGAGATCTTATATATGAAATATATACGGAATATTTGACACAAAAGACCATTTTAATAAAAATAATAAAACAGAGAATAACTTAAGTGAGCAGGTTTAAAACGTGACTATTTCCTTATAAGAAAACAATCGCAAAACTAATAAAAAAAGAAAGAGTGTTACACTTTTGTCATATTCAGCTATATACATATTCAATAGAAACCATTGGCATTGACTGTTATCAAATGTTATCAAATTATGTTTTCTTGTACTTGTTAATTTTACATATACAGTCAGTATCGGTCAGTAACGGAAGTTAAACTGTCAGATATTTGCTGTCAAACATTTTATATTTTACCTCAAATAACTTGCCTCTAATGTATAACGGGCAAGTTAAGTAAATTGTATGCAGCATGATTGTGCACAATACAAAATAACATCAAAGTCCTACAGCATACGCATACAAGCTGGAAAGATGCCTTCCAAGAAACAGGATAATGTTTGTAACAGTGGTATATTATTTTTCAATGTAAAGGTTAATGAAATTTAAAAAAAAAATCAAATAAAGAATGTTTCGTAAACAAAAGATTTGCTTCAAGTGTTAAATATTTGGAACTCAATGTTTAGCAAATACTGGCATTTGCTTGAGAAATTGTATCAATAATATGTATTTTACTTAGGTAACGGATGTTAACAATTTTTCATGTATGTTTGTATGGTTTAATAAATTTAATTTCAAATGCATCAACTGACGCCCGACCAACATAGCATACTTTTTAACAATCTAAATGTATCTGTACAGTTTCCCTGATTTGTATCAACCGAAATAATTAATAAATTAAAGCATTTTGCTTTGAAAGATGGAAAATTAAGGGAAACATTTTGACAATATTCATGAATTAATATATTTGCCAGTAATATATCTATGTCATAATCTAAATTCAGTTTATTAACAAGAGGGCTATTTGGGCGATATATGGCTTACTTGAATAAATATTGCAATTACCATCATCTTTGGTTCAGGTATGTGAGATCATAATGAACTCTATAAGGAAAATTCGAAAACCAATGTTACTTTGTGACCTTGGCCACTTCAAATTCCACAGGAAGAGACGGATTCTTCTCATTTTACATGTTTTACTTTCTTCCCAAGTATCTTGCATCAGTCAAAAAATGATGGCTTTATGTAGAAAACTAGAATACTTCATTAATTATTCAGTATGACCATGACCTCTATAAAATTTCACAGTTTATATATATATAAGATGTATTTTTATCAGATATCAAAGTTATTATTCACTTAAAATGTCCTAAAAGATATTTTTAGCATGTAGAGACCAGCTACACTTGTCAAATCGTGTCACCAAATGTCAAGAATAATCAGTTTGGGTAAAGGGCACACACCAATTAGACAACAAATATATTAATACTAGGTCTTTCCGTTACATACTAAAGCCATGTTCAGTTTTCCATAAAGGTCCTAGAGCTCATGAAGCGGGTCCAATTTTGATTCCGATAAAATGATAACATTAAACTCGGTGAAAATATAATAGAAAATGTTACAAACTAATTATCTAATAACTATTTGTTGTTGTATTATATAGAAGTGGATTATTTTAATAATTGCAGTCAATTTGGTAAAATATATATGCTTCTTTTAGCTCTTTAATGACCATCGCTTTATAGATATGGCCAACACATAACTAAGGATAAGAACAAAAATCAATATATTTATAATGAATAATGTTTTGTATAACTTTGGCTTAATTCAAGTAAAATATATAACATTTGTCATATAACACCACAAAAAATTCTAGTTTTGCCAATCCAATGATTATTATTCTGTATCAATGGTTGGATCAAACTGGTTTATTGAAACAGACCAGAATCCTATTAACTTCCGTTACCACACACTTTACATATGCAGAACTCTCAAGATGAACGTTGTAAGGTAAATGTCACATGAAGTTGTTTTTTTTATATTGTGGGATGGAGTGCTACTTTCTGTCAAATAATTTTGTCTTAATGCAGGTTATTTGCAAAGGAAGACAAAACCGCCAAATTATTTTTAACTTCCGTTACCCTTGCTTGAATTTCTAAGAACAACATTGTTTTGGCCACGATATTGTAAATAAAAATTACGATTGGTAATAACTGCATATGCTTATGTATAAAAACATATTGTTAAATACACTTTTTCTATCTTTTTGCAATCAAAGAATTTAATCAATTTGGAATTTAACTTCCGTTACTGTGCAGATACATTTTCCTATGACATTAGCATCATCACGCATGTACATGGAAGTACAAAAGATTTCAAATTGCAACATTTCTCCATTCACAGAAATACAGTTCTCACATAGATAACTTTCTTTTTCGTATTAAACTTTTGTTAGAGTGAAATTGTACAGAATATTAATGAACACTCACCAGTTAACGATAGAAGCTAATTTTGAATAAATATTATTGCAACTTTTTTGCATTTTTCAAAATATGCTGGCTTTGATCTAAACAATACTTTGAGAGTGTTTCAAATATCTTTTAACATCATCATAGCATAGGTAGGATAACAATTACCAAAAATGTCACGGAAGTTAACAGTAACGGAAGTTAAAGAAATGTTCTTTGAAAACCGATTTTCAATATTTATATCAATTTTAAAATAATAACAACCATTACACCATCTTCTTGTAAGCCTAAAAAATCATTATAAACCATTATAGGGAAGTTATACCTTGCAATGTTCCTAAACTTATGGTCACGGAAGTTAAACACGTTTTTGTTATTTCTCAGTGGAAACTGTATGATGGGCTATGATGCTCGAATATGTAACTTTGATAACATATAAGGGTAATATAACAATTTTTAACAAAATCCACTGATATTATATCCCATATACACGACATTATTGAATGTACATACCATTATAAAACAAAGTTTGATAACTGTAACGGAAGTTAATACTATTTTGGAGACATAGAAGTATCAAACCGGGCTGTGAGGTTTTGAACTAGACTAGATATTTTCCTTCTTTATAAGTACAAGATAGGTCTATTTTAGTTACTGGGAAAAGTTTTTTTCTTAGAAATTTCATTAACTGTTGTATATACTCATTTGAAATATACCACCGTTACTAGCGACAGGGCAAAAAGACCGATTTTGAATATTTTTGAGAATGGTGTAAGGTATTAAACTCACATTTTGTGGTGTGTTTGCATATTTTCTAGTGTTTTAAGCATTGGCACATAATTTCTGCCAAAAGTACCGATTAACTAAAGTTATGAATACATAATAACCTTTCCGGGACATCGAAAAATTGCAAAACAGCATAAATTTTTGGAACCACTGAATAGCCGATGTAGTTCCGATTGCAATCGTGACAATTCGGGCGATTTCGTCATACTGCGGAGTAATATTACGGAAATCTAAGCTATTTTAGTTACTTCGGTAATCCCAGTTTGTGTATATAAATAGGATTTCTATTTTTACTTGATTTATCGGTTTAAACAACGAAATTGTTCCGTTTCATTTGTTTTTCAAGACGCAAAAGTTAGTTTCTTTTATAATTGTTTTTTTGTCTGTATTAGTTTTATACAATAGAGAATGGTGACTGTAGTATTATTCCGTCTTCAAAGGGTGGTCCTGCTTACCAAATCACGCATGATCGAGTAATATTTAGATCTACTGAACGCAATTCAACTTCTTGGTGAGGTAATCTAAAAATAGCCCATGCAGATCATTAACCTTGCCACGTGCTGATCTATGTATCATAGTTGATGCATGCTTATTAATTGCTACCACGTAGCGAAGTATTTTAGTGCATTTACTTGTCTATAAAGCAAAGGAATGATTTCGCTGCGAAAAAGCGGAAATGAGATGTGCACACTTGTTTTCCTTCAGTATCACGTTAATATTTTTACGATTGGTCATTTTCTTTATTAGTTTTATACAATAGAGAATAGATCTAAATCGTGACAAAAAAATATTCGGTTTTCCAAAAAAAAAAAACAACTAAATAAACCCTTTATGATATACAAATACCGTAATTAAAAAAAATGTGATAATAAATTGAAACCCCCAAAAAAAGAACAATTTTAAAGGGTTGGGATGAAGGCACAACTGTGCAAGCCTTTCCTTTTAAAAGGAAACTTTATTATCGTTGTAATAGATGTCCCATTCGTGTTTAAAAATTAAAATAGTTTTGACAGGGGCGAATCATGTTGGGGGCAGGATCGGACCCCCAAGCGTCTGTGATGTTATTGAGCGATAAAATCACTGATTGGGATATATTATTTCTTAAATATATGTTTTTCTAAGCTCATCCTAACATGGACAAATGATAAGAAAATGATATTCATCTTCCAAATCATGCTTGTTACAATAAACACAATAACATTCATTCCTAGGTAGGAATGATATTAAAATGACATAATTTTGTCCCTGAGCAATATTGTAAATCGTTCATTAATAAAGATTTATTCACTCAAAATTCTAAATCATTATAACTTCACTTATGCCATTCAGTGATGTAAAAGAAACAAAATATGGTTCAGTTATATGCCTTATAAGTATTTTTTTTTTTTGAAATTGTACAGGTCAACGGCAATATAAAGGTTTAGAGAAATAAAAATTATAAAATCTTTGGGTTTTGGAAAATCAATACTAAAGTCTGACCGAATATATATATATACATAAATCAAGCGCACCCAAAACAACAACAACAACAACAACAACAACAAAACAGCAAGAAAGAAACAAATTCATATTTACTTATGTTTCAAACAATGAACAAAGCAGTTTCTTCCTTACAACTTTGTAAAACATGTTTAGGTATGATAATTTGTCGTTATAACATTAAAATGCAATTATGCTTAGTAAATATTTTTAATTGTCATATAATTTCGCGATGAAGGTTATACTAAATTTATCACAATAATTGGATTATCAATACATATCACAATGTTGTAAACTTGTTATTATTAACATTAACCCATTTTGCATAATTATTAAGATGTACACTGTCGTTTGATGTCATACAATATTCAGAATCCTGGATTTGTTTATATATATACATGTATATATATATCAAACTGAAATATAAGTAGAGTACCAAACAAACTCAAAGGTCTTTATCACTTTGTAAAGTATTTATCAAATTCCTTCAATAATTCTTAAACTATTCTCTTGACAATGTTCATGGAAGGCGGTGCAATAGCTCAGTTGGTTAGACCACCCTTGGGATTTTTCAGAGACACTTTCAGTGTTTCCCACCAACATATAGCGCCTTTAGAGGTGTACTGGTTAGAAAGCCAGGTAATCTTCGCATGTATCAGTGCTATTCACTGGGCATATAAAAGAACCGAGGGTGTATTCAATAAGAGCTAGGGACTGGTTCGGAATTTCCCGGATTCCCTTGTATCTCATAGCTGTATCTAAAGTCTATAAGTCTAAATAATTATCCCTGTGAGGGGTTTGACATTAATGGAAGATAGATAGACAGAAGGACAGACATGGTGACTATAGTAAATGTGTTCTCCTGGGACTTCTTAAAAAGAGCATAAAATATTACTATTGTTTGCAATTTTTAAGTCAATAAGTGCATGATGATGAGAAAACCAAGCACAGGCCTACATTTAATATACAATGTATGTCATAATTGCCTTAGTACAGGAGACATTATCTATATTTCTAAAAAACTATGAATTTTGTGAATTTGTGTTGGAAGACCTTTTAGTTTGTGAATATGTGTATGAAGTCCCTTAGCATAGAACTCAATCATTTGTCCAAATAAAATGTACATGTATGTCACATTATTGTGAAATTATTTACATTCTAAAAAAAATGTTTTCCTTGCCCACATTGTACTTGTACCAGTTTGCAATTGCTGCTGTGTTTAATGAAGAAACAATGAGTTAACCAAAATAAATCATAGTGGGTCATGTTTACCTACATGTACATTCTACATTAGTGAATACATTCTTAAATCATGGTCTAATATATATGTATGTTAGTGTTTATTAGCACTTGAGCATTTACAAAATTAGATAAATTTGTGGCCCATTACTAGGTTTACTTAACTGATTGATTATAGCTAAGTTACTAAAGTAAATGTGTTAACAATTCATTTGAAATACAATAATCTTGTGGGACAAAAATGATTTAAACACTGTTATGGTTTAGATAATAAATAAGTAATATTTCAAACTTTGTTACTTCTCTTTAATGGCTTTATTTATTATATTCAAATTGCTCTGTAGTTATAATATAGATGTGCCTATCTGATAACAGCATTCTCACTTGAGCTCTGATCTCAACAACTTGTGTGCACATAATTATTCACAAATAAAGTACATGTATATAGAATTTCAGGAATCTTGTCATCAGTAGATTTAACAATATAACATTTTTTAGAAAATGTGTTCAAGTTAAATTTTATACCCATAAATGCAAATTGCATAAATAGACGTTATCTGGAATTGGGTTTTTCTGTGACCTAATTTTTAGTTACAAACTAACTTTTACTATTATAGCTTCACAGTGCACTACATGTCACAATAAATTAGTCAACCTGTTTCGCTTATTTTTGAAGCTGTTACTGTGAAAGTTTGTTTGTACCTACCTTGTTAGCTGGGAAAAACCCATATATTCTTAATTACAGAGTAAGTCTATTGGAGTCTGAGTCCAAGTACAGGTATTAGTTACCCACACTGAATTAAGTTACTGCACTCTGTCAGGGATAAAGATAAAGCATGCTTGTTGATTGGCTACATTTTTCTGAGATGACAGGGAAAGGGATAGTGATAAAGACATATCCATATGCTCGTACATTGGTTCCATGTTTTTCTGCAGTTTACACATTTTGATTACAGGGGAAGTGTTTTTATTTTTGCCTATGAGTATGCTACAAATGAAAAATAACATCAAGACACTCGGCAATCTGATTTATAACAAATCAGATAGCCTTGTGTTTGATTGCTCTTTATTTTACATAATAACAAATCAGGATTAGCATAAAAAATGCCATAGTCATAATCCTTTGATTTTGGTCTATTTTTATTTCAGAATGTTTCAGAGGTACTCCTATAAGAAAAATAAACTCTCAAGTTTTACAGCATCCTCGGATGACAACTTTAAATACCATAACTTCACATAGAACCATATGTACGACAGTTCCACTTCAAAGGAAAAAGAAGATGGCACGGAGATATGTTCCACCCATAGTACCATTCACTATGTATGGGGATGCACATAGACTTATGTAAGTATTTCACGACAATGATGAATTGAACCCAAATTTTTGTTTTGTCACAAAGTTTGATGTAATTTCATTTGCTTGATGGCAGATGTTCTTAGGTGATAATTTTTATAAATATCTTAAATCATGACAGGAACTTGAAGTTCAAAACATAAACAAGCTTCATGTAGAGAATACTTTTAAGACACAGAAAGTTTATATTTTTCAGTTCAATCAAAGCTTGTTTTAGATTAAAGTTTCAGAAACGAACTCGTATTCAGAAAAGATGTCATCAAATTTTTTTGCTTTTATTTTGTATCCTCCTATGCAATGTCCAAGTAAATATGCTTGTTATAATGAAATGACTCATTAAATTATATATAGATTGTTATAGCTTAATTATGTAATATTTGTGAGTAGTTACCAGTTAGTAAGAGACAACTTGTTGTACGTCATATCCTGAGGTCTGTGATGTATACATGATTGTTTATATGTTGTACTCTTCATTAAATATAACACCTCTTAGTCCTACTTATTAACCCTTATCTTGCTTAGTATCAGAAAATGACTTGTTAATATTTTTTTGGGGCAAATATAAGTACTGACTGAATAGTGAACAGTACAGATCATGATTAGATCACACAGATGTGATGACAGATGTAAATTTTGTTGAATAGCAGTTTAAAGGTTAAGGAGTAATATTTTTTATGTGTATTTGACTTTATTTATATTTGTCAATTGTTGCTCATATGTGCGAGTCCCCCAGAAGAGTAATAGTCATTTTATGTTCAAGATAGAAGCTTTTCCTTGTTCATGCTAGTTCTTTAGCATGCCAACTGTTGAAGTACTCATACACAAGACCTTGATTTAAAGTCTCATCCGAAATATTATTTTGTAATTTAGTTGGCCAGCCCGGGGAGCAATGAGTCTAATTACTGATGTTCTTTTTCTTGCAGGAGGGGTGCTTGTGTAAAGTTTGACAGATATGGACCATTGTTTGATAAACCAGATTATACATTTTTAGGTATGTTACAATTATATTGAACAAATTTATCATTTTGGTGGTCATTTTCTATTAGCCTGCACAATTAGAGATGTTAAATTAGGCTTTTTTTACCTATTTGCTTGCTTAATTTGAACATTTTAACATTGTAACATCAAAATATTTTAAAATTACAATAGAGTGTTCCAAACTCTGTACAGGGATATCAAAGTATGGATTGATTTTCTGGTACTGTGCAATTATATCAATACTGTTACACATGTACATTTCTTGCATATCAGACAGGATTATCTACCGCTTACACCGGTGCTAGAAAACTCTAACATACACTCCTCATGTAAGACAAGTGGCATGCTTTAAATGGCATCATTGTCGCGCGCCTTTTATGAATGAATTGTGTTCTTAGGATGACGTCACTTAACCGTTATGAATGAAGTTGTTGGTTCATACACTACTATAAGAAAAAAGTGCGTAATGAAAATGTCAGTTTTCATAATTTCTGTTCGGAAAATAATTGAGATGTAATATGCAAGAAAAAGAATCAAACACCGGTTGTCAGTACAGACAGAAATATCTAGCTCTCGGGTAACTGTTAAGCAGAAACTCGACATAGCCTCACTAAGGTCGTAAACAGTTACCCTCGAGCTAGATATTCCGGTCTGTACCAGCAACCAGTGTAAGATTCATATAGTACTCCTTTTTAGAAACCCTTTTTTTTTGAAGCAGTGTTAAGAAGGTTACATTAGATTTTGTTTTCATCTTAAGCTGTTTCATGGTACTGAAGTGTATTGAAACCATTCATTGAAAAGGATAATTCAGCTGTGTGATATCTTTGCAAATATGATATTATTTGCATAAAACAAACATAGCATATGATAGCACATTAATTAAAAATTATTGTTTTACTGTAAACATTTCTTATTTTGCATAATTATGTTATAAATTGAATATCATATTTGTATTGGTCCATTGCTAAATTTATTGAACTAATTCAATTCATTAAAACAATATTAAGCCTGCCAGAGGCTTGCATAATATGATTTTATTCAGCTTGTCAATAAATTCAGTATTACACCTACAGTTATTCAATACTCTCTATATACTTTATGTATATCAGGAAAGGGAACAAATTAATTATTATCCCCCGCCAAAAAGGCGGCGGGGATATAGAAATAGTCTCCGTTCGCCGTCGGACCGTCCGTCCTTCCATCCGACATTTTTGTCCGGAGCATATCTCTAAAAGTATTTGAGTTATCAACTTGAAACTTCATAGGTGGATAGACCTCATTGAGGAGGAGTGCAGTGCACAAGAATGATAACTCTACCTTGCATAATTTTTGAGTTATTGCCCTTTGTTATTTTTCAAAATTGATTTTTGTCCAGAGCATAACTCCAAAAGCCTATGAGATATCAACATGAAACTTCATAGGTGCATATATCTCACTCAGGAGGTGTGAAGTGCACAAGAATGATAACTCTACCTTTCATAATTTTTGAGTTATTGCACTTTGTTATTTTTCATACTTAATTTTTCACATGAGTGGAGCAAAACTCAAAAAGTTTTTGAGATATCAACATGAAATGTCATAGTTGGATAGATCTTATTGAGGAGGAATGTTGTGCGCAAGAATGATAAGTCTTCCCTGTACAATTTTTGTGTTATTGCCCTTTGAATTTTTTCATGCTATTTTGTCCAGAGCATATCTCAAAAAGAATTTGAGGTATCAACTTGAAACTTCATAGGTGGATGGATCTCATTGAGGAAGAGTGCAGTGCACAAGAACGATAACTCTACCCTGCATAATTGTTTAGTTATTGCCCTTTTTTTATTTTTCAAAATTAATTTTTGTCCAGAGCATAATTCAAAAGGCCTTTGAGATATTATTATGAAACTTCATAGGTGCATAGATCTCACTCAGGAGGTGTGAAGTGCTCAAGAATGATAACCTACCCTGCATTATTTTTCAGTTATTGCCCTTTGTTATTTTCAGCCATCAGTATTCGCATAGCTTTAATCTGTAATCACTATAGCCATCAGTTTTCATTACCAAAAGACCTCTTAAAATGGAATCATTCTGCTCTACTACATAAACATTCTTCCATTGAGCAAACAAATTCGGCGGGGGATGGCCATGTTGACATGGCTCTTTATAGTTTATACAATTGAATTTAGTTTTTATATTGTGTCGCAAAATATATGTTTAATGAATTTCCCATTCCGGGAACCAGGTGTACTGGTATGAAGCAATTAGTGTAAAATATCTTCCTCAAGGAAATAAGTGTAAAATATCTTCCTCAAGGAAATTAGTGTAAAATATCTTCCTCAAGGAAATTAGTGTAAAATATCTTCCTCAAGGAAACAACAGCTTGCCCCTAATGTGGTTTGAAACTATGTGGCCACCAATTCGTAGATTACTAGTTTGATATGCTAACCACTCTGCCACAATGTGACTCAAGTTGATTATTATTGTTTGATACTGTAATAATTGTAGAGTTGTTATGGTTTTTTTTTTTTTAAACAATAATTTTAATATTTTTGTATCTTACCTGCAGATGGAAGGCCAACTCCTTTGACACCAGAGCAGATGGAACAGAAAATAGAGAGAAGAGAGATGGCTGTAAGTGTACCATTCTGGAGTCCTACATGTAGTTTAAAACACACTTGTCTATTTGTTACTGGAAATGTAACTGATACATCAGTACAATGTGTCTTTTTTATGAAGTACTGAGGTATATGATAAAAGGGAATTTATATGAAACCATCTTGTGGTACTCTACAAAAGTTATATTAATCATGGTCCCAGGGTTATAATTTCCAATGCCCTTTGCCTTTGGGCCTTTTAGTTTACATAGACTTAAATAAGAAATATGAATTTGAAAAATTAATATCTCTGAAACTGCATCTCCTAGTGCTTAGATATTTTGTATGTAGCAATGCCTAGTGAAACTCTTTTAAAGTAATGTTAATCATGTCCCCCCCCCCCCCCCCCCCGAGGTAGAAAACAGCACTGCCCTGGGTTCACTTTTGTTGCACTGAATTATTTAGGAAATGTTAACTTCAAAATTCAAAAATCATTCCTGAAACTAGTGCCAAAAACTAAGATAATTGGTCACAATACCTGTTAAATGACAATAACCGTTAAATCTAATTCATGACACTGGTACAGTCTAAATAAGTTCTTTCCTTGAACAAATACTTGTTTAGGAATATACATTTCAAAAGACAAATTCTTCTAATATAAAGGTACACGGCATAAATCTTAGATGCTTGGCATGTAGCATTGTGAAAATCACACAAGTCATGGCCCTAGGGTCAAAAGAAGCCTTGCTCCAACGACCTACTTCTTTGTTGAAAAATTAGAAATGGATCTTGGTTGAGCATTCTATGATGCTCCTGCTTTCCCTATATTTATCAATCGTGTGGTTCTAGCAAGGTGCCCATTTAGTTTGGGGTATTTTTGGATAAAATGAAGACAGAATATTGGCCTTACCCTAAATGGCAAGACTGTTGAAATTTCCCAATTTTATCTTTAACAGACAAGCCACACAAGCATGGATTTTCAGTAATTATTTACTCATATGTTTTGGGTATATGCCTTCATCAGTGCAAAACATAATAAAGTTGGGGCGTCCGTGGCTGAGTGGTTAAGGTCGTTGATTTCAAACCACTTGCCCCTCGCCGCTGTGGGTTCTATTCCCGACAGGGACTTTGGATTCTTTCATGTGAGGAAGCTATCCAGCTAGCTTAAGGAACGTTGGTGGTTCTACTCAGGTGCCCGTTTGTGCCTGAAATAATGCATGGAAGGGCACCTGAGGTCTTCCTCCTATACTCCTATACCTATACTGTGTTTTATTGCAGATTTATAATCTTATCCTTAGAGCTGTCATCGATATCGACAATATCGATGTATCGTTGATATTTTTTGTCGATTATTAATCGATACACATTTTAAAAAATCGATACTTTTGACTTATATATTAAATGTCTAGAAATTATACAATTCACCCAAAATATATGCAGAAACAGTTAAGCTATGCTTATGTTATATAGTGGAATTATTTCATAGCAATGGTGACAAAAAATATATTGTCTGGTAAAAATTCATGCAGTGGACAAGACACTGTACAGAACATGTTTTTAACTGAAATCATTGAAACAGGTATGAAAGTGAATGACAGACAAGTGAGTATAGGATAATATCGATATATCGGTGTATCGTTGATTTTAGTCACTTGATATCGATACATCGTTGATATGCTTTGCACTGAATCAATGACAGCTCTACTTATCCTAAACATTTTCCAATATCAACTGTTGGTCAAACACCATTTTGACAGTCAATCTTTTGAAATATTAAGTCAATTTAGCTCAACTTGACTATGAAAATATAAGCATAATGTCACTTTAAACATTGTTTTCTCTGCCACTAACTAGCTTAGATTTTAAGGCATAAATGGGTTTAAATGCATAGGTGAATTTTTATATGAAAAATAGAAAAGTCTCTGTTTGTTCAATTTTCCCAATTTTCTGATGATTACAACATTAGAATTTCCCTATATAATCACTGCCATTTATGCCTGAATTAAAGCAGACAGAGATTTTTGTGGTCTTTCTAGACCAGTACCTATCATATGTAGAGATATATACATGTACAGAACAGAACAGACTTTATTATACCCCCACAAACAAAGTTTAGGGGAGGTATATAGGAGACAGCTTGTTGGTCGTCAGTCCGTTGGTCTGTCGGTCGGTCAACATCATGGTTTCTGGACAATAACTAGAGTTTGGAATGGGGTATTGTAATCAAACTTGGTTTATAACAACCTTATGTGGAGCCCCCGGTTGGTATTGCATTTGGACCCTTTGGGGTCAAGGTTCAGGTCACAGTTACTTAAAAGGTAGAAAAATGGTTTTCGGACAATAACTAGATTTATGAATGAGAATTTTTAATCAAACTTGGTGTATAGCAAGCTTGTATGAAGACACTGGTTGGGATGGCAATTAATTAAAATAATTCTATGTAAAAGTTGATACTTCATTTACTATAGGTTGAGTTCAAATTTTTCTTCAGACCACTTATTTTTCAAAAAGTTAAAGTTACTGGTTGGGATATTAATCACCTTCAGTGATTGGACTAGTTGGTGTAGGACACCAGCCCATAACATTAACAATTGTTACATTCAGAAAGATACAATTTATGTGGATACTCTCACATCAATGTATTATAACAATTCACACACATTACATTACTAAAGGTATAATATAGTTATAGCTTAATCAAAACTGCATAATCATCTTTTCTTTCGAATTGTTGCATGGTAAACATAATTGGCAACATTTTTTTTTATAACATTTTTTTCATTTTTACATGGTAATAATATACTCAGTTTGTGGACTGTTGCATAAGTGTAATATATCTTAGCAATATATTTTGATTTTAAATCTGCACAACCCGGACAGACTAGTAGAAAATGAAATTCATTTTCAAATACTCCTAAAGAACATACTTCACAATTCCAATCATTTGAGTTCCTCCTGCTATATGACTTTTTATACGCCCGTTTGAAAAACGGGACGTATTATGGGAACGCCCCTGGCGGGCGGTCGGGCGGGCGGCGTCCAATTTTGTCCGGAGCATATCTCCTACATGTATGGAGGGATTTTAATGAAACTTCATATAAATGTTCACCACTATGAGGAGCAGTGTCGCGCACATGAACCAGGTCTCTAGGTCAAAGGTCAAGGTCACACTTAGAGCTCATTGAAAAATGCTTGTCCGGAGCAAAACTTCCACATGTATAGAGGGATTTCAATATTACTTGGCACAAATGTTCACCATTGTGAGGCGGAGTGTCGCGTGCAAGATTCAGGTCCTTGCGGCCAAGGTCAAGGTCATACATAGAGGTCAAAGTTCAGATAAAAATATGAAGATGTGTATATGGACCATTTAGTCATCATTTATTGAGGGATTGTAACACAAATGGTCATTATCAAGACTATGGCTGTGATACATATAATTTAGGTCAATATATACAAGGTCAAGGTCACTAAAGATGATGAAATATCCAGATTTTTTAAATAGAATTAATCGAAGGGAGACAACAAAGTTATATACTTTGTTCATAAATGACTTACACAATTACTCCCCTTGATCTATTTTCACTTTCAATTTCTAAAAATAGAATTTAATCAAAGGGCATGAAATAATCCTCTTTCTTGGACTTGAGTATGTTCTAAAGAATGTAACATTTATTTACACATGTTTCATTCATTGGTCAAGATTCTTAAGTGTGATAAACTATGGTGTTTCTGTAGACTTGGTATTTGTTCATAAAGATCATACAGTAATTACCTTATCAAATGTAAATACTTTCTCATAGAAATTTAATTATATTTTAATTTTCAAGTAAATATCAGTTCAGCTCATTCAAAGATTAAGAATTGTAATGAAATGTATTTCCCTAGAATAAAATCTTAAATCAGAATTTTTTTAGTTATTAAATTACATGTACTTTTTTATACGCCCGTTTAAAAAAAGATAAAAAATATGAAGATGTGTATAGGGACGATTTAATCATCATTTATTGAGGGATTGTAACACAAATGGTCATTATAATGACTACGGATGTGACACATGTACTTTAGGTCAATATATGCAAGGTCAAGGTCACTAAAGATGATGAAATATCCAGATTTTGTCTGGAGCATATCTCCTACATGTATGGAAGAATTTTTATAATACTTTATGGAAATGTTCACCACCATGATATGTATTGCTCCATGCATGATCCAGGTCTCCAGGTCAAAGGTCAAGGTCACACTTAGAGCTCATTGAAAAACGCTTGTCCGGAGCAAAAACTTCTTACATTCATAGGGGGTTTTCAATATAACTTGGCACAAATGTTCACCATTGTGAGGCTGAGTGTCGCATGCAAAATTCAGATCCCTGCGACCAAAGTCAAGGTTACACATAGAGGTCAAAGTTTCAGATAAAAATTTGAAGATGGTTATAGGGACCATTTAGTCATCATTTATTGATGGATTGTAGCACAAATGGTAACTATCATGACTACAGGTGTTACACATTTAATTTAGGTTAATATTTGCAAGGTCAAGGTCACTGGAGATGATTAAATATCCAGATGTTGTCCGGAGCATATTTTCTACATGCATGGAGGAATTTTAATGTTACTTTTATAGAATTGTTCACCACCATGAGACGTAGTGCCCTGCACATAAACCAAGTCTCTAGGTCAAAGGTGAAGGTCACAGTTAGAGCTCATAGAAAAACACTTGTCTGGAGCAAAACTTCTACATGCATAGAGGGATTTCAATATAATTTGGCACAAATGTTCATCATTGTGAGGCTGAGTGCCGTGCATAAAATTCAGGTCCCTGCGACCAAGGTCAAGGTCACACATTCTGTGCATATCTTCCCTATTGATTTGTTTTAAGGTTCATTTAACAACACAGTGCCAAGAATAAAAACTTGCTTGCTAGATAACACTTATCCATAATGCCCCCATCTCCATCTAAAGCTTTTTCGTAAACGGGCGTATTTTGTGACTATGGCACCCTTGTTAGTCACCTGTAAATTATTACTTAATATATAGTGCAATAAGCTTTCTCATTTATTTCTCTATTTCAGGAGAGGGTGATGAAGTTTACAACAGACATAATAAAAGTGAAGAAATTTAACGAAGAATTTACCAAAAAACGAGAGTTGAAGAAGGAAAAAAGGAAACAATACAGATTGATGGAAAAAAGTTGATGTACAATGGATATATAATGTAGTTGAAATTCAATTATAAGGAAATAAGATTGTTTTACGTATAAGATTGTTTTACGTATTTTTATTTTTGTACCTTTAATAACCTTTTATCCCAGCGCAGAAAATTAATTGACTGTAAACCTCAGGTAGAAATCAGAATATCATCCCTCGACTTATAGGAATAAGACAGCTTTGTAGTCACACCCAATCTACTAAAGTTCGATCTACTATTCTAATAGAAATCTAAGACAATGTTTATTTTTGCCTTCATTTAATTCTGATTTTCCCATGGAAAACACTTTTTTAGCGAATGCAATCAAACCATTTTTACATATGTTAGTATAGAAGATATAAATACCTGTATTACTGGAAGTTAAACAAATTGTGATTTTTTTTGAAATAAAAAAGATTTAGAAATATAAACTTTTAAAAAATTACTGATAACAAAAATAGAGGTATTTTTAATGGAAGATTGTTTTTTCCAGAATCTACCTGTAAGCTATATACAATGCCTTTGTTTGTTTGTCGAAAATTGTGAAAAATTACCCTATCCAGTATGTTTACAGGATTAAAGAATACCCACTCGCTTTCAGAAATTGAAAGCTTGGGGCTGATTAGCTATGTGAATACGTCACCAAAATATTTTATATACGTCATGGCTCGGATCTATAAAGTGAGTTTTTATACCCCCCCTGTCCGGTCGTTTTATGCTTTCCTTGTCAGAGCTATAATTAGAGGGAAATGGTTAGAATTCCACTACAACTTAATACATGGTCAAACATTGAGATAAAGTGAAGTGCGTGCACAAGAACATAACTCCTCTTGACAAATACAGTTATTGCCCCTTGATACTTTTCCTTTGTCTTTTCTGGGGTATAACTTGAATACAACTGTTTGCGAATTCAAACAAACTTCATGCAATGGTCAAGCATATATAGAAGTGCAAATGCACAAGAAACCATAACTCTATCCAGAGTAATTATAGAGTTATTGCCCTTTGTTATTTTTCCATGATTTTCTTGTCCAGAGCATAACTTTGAAGAACAACTAGTTGAATTCAATACAACTTAATACTAATGGTCAAGTAATTGAGAGAAAGTGCAGTGCACTATGACAATAACTCCATCTTAAATCAATGACAGTTATTGACCTTTGATACTTTTTTCTTGTCCAGTGAATAAATCAGAAAATTAATGGTTGGAATTCAATGCAACTTCATACAGATGGTCAAGAAAGGTGCCATGAACCGAACTATCTAGAGTAATTACAGAAGTTTATTGCCCCTTTGTTCTTTTTCATTGGTTTTTTCTGTCCAGAGCATAAACTTGAAAACAACTGGTAGAATTCTCTTACCAACTTCATACAAAGTCGAAGCCACATTTGACGAGAATAATGCAGTGCCAACAGAGAACATCTAAACTCCATCTTGACTAATCACAGAGTTTACTGGCCTTTTGATTTACTTTTTCTTGTCCATTTCATAACTTAATAATAAATGGATATATAGAAAATGTAATTCCCAACTTATAATGGTCAAGCACTACATAGAGGAGTGCAGTGCAAAATATATCCCACCATAGTAATTTAGATGATGCCCTTTTACTTTCCTTTGTTGCAAATCATACATGAAATCTACTGTTGCATTCAAACAATCATACAATGGCCACATATATTAGGACAGATCAGTAGCACAGAACCCATACACTCTTTCTTGACTCATTTAAAATTTTTTCCATTTTTACTTTTTTAGTCCAATGCATAACATTGGAATCTATGAAATACTTCATCAATGTCAAGCACAATAGGAATGTAGTGAACATTAACATAACTCCATCTTCGTATTTCTAGATTATTGCCTTATTCCCTTTTCCTGTAGATCAACTTAAAATAATTTGAATTCACTGCAACTTCATACTATGCAAGCAATTATTAGTGCAAAACTCAGAAGTTAATTTTCTGGAGCTAGTACAGAGATTCAATAAAATTTTATCATGGTCAACACTAGTACAGAAATGCAACAGACCAGAACTATCTTATTTTATCTTGCGGGATATTAATCACATTTATGATATTTCTTGTAGAGAGCTATTAAATATCAGATGAACTCACATCACACCAGCATAACATTTTGGTTCTAATTCTTTTTTTAGTGTAAGTTGTTATCTCTAAACTACTATAAGGGAATGGTTTAAATACAACTTATTTACAGATAATAAGATGTAATATAAGGTCACTAATTCAAATATGATATACAAACAATCCGTTGTGTGTATTTGAGTGTGTGAGTATCAATTCTAAAAAGCATACACATACAACAGTGTGCGTGTGCACTTTATTGTCTAAATCATTACCACGCTATTATTGGTTATTATGTGTGTATTTTATCCGACTATTATTAATAACATTTCAAGCTTTATGTCGTTGTTACATTTCTAACATTATTTAAACAACTTTTTAAGTTTCTGTATTATAACATGCTTTAACCTTATAGTAATTTATCAAAATCACATGCAGCTTTATTTATTAGTCTAAATAACAATGGAATATATGCACTCTATTTAAACATGCTTTCCAGCTTATCAATTAACAGGGCATTGTTCGTATTTATCATTATTCATCTTTCCCGCTATGAGCACCCTCGTGATGCAGCTTTTTTACAACAATGCGTTCTTTCCTCAACTCAGGCAACCAGCAAACCGTATCGCTAACCTTCCGTGTGTAGAATCAGGGTGCAGGTAATTTGCTAAACACGTCGGTTTTTAAAAAGAAACCCAAGTTCTTGGCAAACGCTATTAGTGTACTTGGTATCAAAGCAATCCGTATTAAATTGCCATAGTATTTTTAGATTAGCATGGTTAACTCTTGCCGACATTATTTTTTACATTTTCTAACGTAGATTTCTTTTTACAAATAATCAACTGTGTTTTATATTACATTTACTTAGCTTTTTAAATAGCAAACCTCAATCTTGCCGATAGATTGCTTTTGCATTAAGACACGCAGTATCTTGATCTTATAATGTGCGTTTTTTTACAATAACTTAAATAAAAAGCCAATCCGGTCTTACCGTAGTGTTAAAAAATATACTAGTACATGTATAATGATTAAAGCTCAATGATACTTTTATATTTCACATAAATTAATGTTTCGGTATTTTATATCTTCAATTCCAGATAAATGTTGATCTGACAAAATGACTCACACAAACTATTTTGCATAATATAATTAGTCTATATAATGGCCCAGTGTAGTAATAATACTTTCTCGTGCATCTCGCGTAAAGTTTACATTTATGCCCAGAAACTATGATAAATTATGAAATTTAGCAGTGAATCAGTGAGCTAGCAAAAAGCAGTGTCAATTTATATAGGAAGGTAATTATCTTGGTGTGTTTGGCATCTAGAGGATTTCCTTTATATAGTGTAAAAATGTGTGCTGTGCGCTGTTTGAGCAATTCCAGTCCTAGCTTAGTGAGAGAGAAGGTGGCGTCGCGCGGTGAAGGCTCAGTGCATAGGCTAATTCTAGCAGTCATTACTAAAGATCGTGTTAAATTGTTGCTGGATTGGGTTGTAGTGCAATCTAGCGACGATTACTAAGTATGTTACAAATGCCTTTCTTGGATCAAGCTGGTAGGCATCGAGCGGACATCTGCTAAATTGTGTAACAAATCTATCTGGATGCTAAACTGATAGCAATCTAGCAGGGATTAGTGATATAGTGTAAAAAGCTCGCTGGATGCTAAGGCGGGGCGGGGGGGCGCTAGCCAATGCTAGCAGGGCATTCCTAAATATAGTGAAAAATGCTCTGGCTGGAATGCTAAGCTGGCTAGGCAATCTAGCAGGACATTACTAAATTACAGTGTAAAATGCTCTGCTGGAATGCTAAGGTGCTAGGCAATCTAGCAGAGCATTACTAAATATAGTGAAACAAATGCTTTTCTGGAATGCTAAGCTGGCTAGGCAATCTAGCAGGGCATTACTAAATATAGTGGTAAAATGCTCTGCTTGAATGCTGAGCTGGCTAGGCAAATCTAGCAGGGCATTGCTAAATATAGTGTAAAAATGCTCTGCTGGAATGCTAAGCTGGCTAGGCAATCTAGCAATGGCATTCCTAAATATAGTTCAAAAATGCTCTGCTGAGGAATGCTAGAGCTTGCTAGGCAATCTAGCAGAGCATTACGAAATATAGTGTAAAAATGCTCTGCTGGTAATGCTAAGCTTGGCTTGGGCAATACTAGCAGTCGGCATTCAAAATAAAGTGTTCAAAATGCTCTTGCAGGAATGTCTCAGCTGCTAGGCACTATAGCAGAGCATTCCTTAATTAGTGAAAAACATGCTCTGGTGGAAATGCTCAGCTGTCTAGGCAATCTAGCAGAGCGATTACTAGATATAGTGTAAAATGCTCTGCCGAATGCTCAGTTGGCTAGGCACGTATATAGCAGAGCATTCCTTATATAGGGAAAAAATGCTTGGTGGAATGTCAGCTGGGCTAGCAATCTAGCAGGTGGCATTACTAAATATAGTGTGTAAAAATGCTTGGTAAAATGCTAGCTGGCTAGGCAAGCTAGCAGGCATTCCGAAATATAGTTAAAAATGCTGGTGGAATGCTCAGTGGCAGACTAATTCTGAGTTCCAGATTTATTGTTGCCAAAGTTTTTATTGACATTTTCGACTTCTAGCAATTCTGAGGCACTCGCAGACTTTTCAGGTATTTTGGGGTGCCAATAGAAAATTGATATATTGACTTTAAGACTTAATAGCTATTTCTTGCTGCGACCTTTTAAGACCCTCGAACTTCTTGAACTTTGTACCAATTTATATGACAATTCAACTTTAGAACTCTCAAGAGTCAATTTTGGTCGGTCTGCGGGATGATTCTTGACACTCGCATTTCAAGGAATGGCTTAAGTATGTCATAGAACAAGTACATCAATTTTTTCACTTTATAGGACATTTTAGGTCCATTTCATTGTCCTGCAGGTAATAATTAGGACACTCGCAGACTTTAAGAGCAATTTCGTCCAATAGAGATGATGGCAAATTTTATTTAGACCCGCAGCATTTATGTCTGCGGATGTTTTCTTACAGCGCAGACTTTCAGGATCTTGTCCATTGAGATCAATGACTTACCTTCTAGCGCCCACCGAGTATCGCTGGTCTGCAACTGATTTTGGGACACTTGCAGACTTTCAGGAATTTTGATGCCAATGGAGATAATGACATTTCTGACTTTTAGGGGAACCGCCAGAGTACATTTCTTGGGTCTGCGACTGATTCCTTGAGACTCGCAGACTTTCAGGATGTTTAGTGCCATTGCAGATCATGACTTTTTTACTTTTAAGGACCCCTTAGTCATAAGCAGAGCATTTTTACCCTAAAATGTCATTATCTGCATTAGCACCAAAAAATTCCTGAAAGTCTGCAAGTGCCCAATTATCAGTCGCAGACCAACGAAATAGACTCTGGATGGTCAAAAATGTCATAAATTGTAATTATCTCTATTGGCACCAAACAATTCCTGAAAGTCTGTGACTGTCAAAGATTAAGTCGCAGACCAAAAAAATGGACCCTGGATGGTCGCCTAGAAGTAAAAAATGTCGTTATCTGCCTTGACATAAAAAAATTCCTGAAAGTCTGTGAGTGCCTCAGAATCAGTTGCAGACCAAAAAAAAAATGGATTCAGAAAGGTCCCAATAAGTCAGAAATATCATTTTCTGCATTGACACCAAATTCCTGAAAGTCTGCGAGTGACTCAGAATCAGTCGCAGACCAACGAAATAGACTCAGGAGGGTCCTTTTGAAGTAAAAAAATGTCATTATCTCCATTGGCACCGACAATTTCTGAAGTCTGCGAGTGTTTCCAAGAAACATTCGCAGACCAACGAAATGGACTCTTGATGGTCCTAAAAATTCACAAATGTCATTATCTGCATTAAACACCAAAAATTCCTGAAAGTCTGCGATCGTCCAAATCAGTCGGAGACCAAAGAAATAGACACTAAAGGGTCCCGTAGAAGTCAAAAATGTCCATTATCTGCATTGGCACCCAAATATTTTAAGAAAGTCTACGAGTGCCAAATAATCAGTTGCAGACCAACGAATTTTATACTTTATTTAAGAATGCCCTGCTAGTTTGCCTAGACAGCATCAGCATTCCGGCAGAACATTTTACACTAATTTTCAGAATGCTTTGCTGGATTGCCTAGCCAGCTGAGCATTTTTAACACTATATTTTAGGGAATGCCCTGCTAGATTGCTTAGCTAGCTGAGCATTAACAGCAGCAGCATTTTTCACACTATATTTTGGAACGCTCTGCTAGATTGCTTAGCCAGCTGAGCTTGCCAGCAGAGCATTTTTACACTATATTTAGGAATGCTCTGCTGGATTGCCTAGCCAGCTGAGCATTTTAACACTATATTTAGGAATGCCCTTCTAGATTGCCTAGCCAGCTGAGCAATTCAGCAGAGCATTTTTACACTACATTTTGGAATGTCCCGCTAGATTGCTTAGCCAGCTGAGCATAACAGCTAAGCATTTTTACACTATATTTAGGAATGCCCTGCTAGATTGCCTAGACAGCTGAGCATACCAGCAGATCATGTTTACACTATATTTTGGAATGCCCCGCTAGATTGCTTACCAAGCTGAGCATAACAGCAGAGCATTTTTACACTATATTTTGGAATGTCCCGATAGATTGCTTAGCCTGCTGAGCATAACAGCAGAGCATTTTTACACTATATTTTGGAATGCCCCGCTAGATTGCTTAGCCAGCTGAGCATAACAGCAGAGCCATTTTTACACTATATTTGGGAATGCCCCGCTAGATTGCTTAGCCAGCTGAGCATAACAGCAGCGCATTTTTACACTATATTTTGGAATGCCCCGCTAGATTGCTTAGCCAGCTGAGCATAACAGCAGAGCTTTTTTACACTATATTTTAGAATGCCCCGCTAAATTGCTTATCCAGCTGAGTATAACAGCAGAGTATTTTTTACACTATATTTAGGAATGCCCTGCTAGATTGCCTAGCCAGCTGAGCATACCAGCAGAGCATTTTTTACACTATATTTTGGCACGCCCCGCTAGATTGCCTAGCCAGCTGAGCATACCAGCAGAGCATTTTTACACTTTTATTTAGTAATGGCCTGTTAGATTGCTTACCCAGCTGAGCATACCAGCAAAGCATTTCTACACTTTATTTTGGAATGCTCTGCTAGATTGCCTACCCAGCTGAGCATTACAGCAGATCATTGATTTTCCTATATAAAATCGTAATGCCTTTTTGCTTAGCTCACTGTTAACTGCTAACTTCTCACATACGAAATAAAATAACGCAAACCCCATATGTAGTGGTCCTCTACAGTGATAATGTTACCACCAGTTTCTCGTGCATTGGCAGTATTGTTTCAGTATCGAGAGGTTTCAGGGTGAAAGGGTCTATAACTCTGATATTGACCCCTTTACTAGCAAGCTCATCGCAGCTTTCATGGCCTCTACTAGTGTTACACAAGACCCAATAACCGTAACCTTGTCATTGTCGCTTTTTCTAACGACCTGTGGAACAAAAATTCGAATAAGTGTTTCAATAATGTATTATATTACATGACAAAATACAGATTCCGAATACTCGTTATAAATAATGTACTATCATAATATACATTACATAATATTGCGTTGCAATACTCCATCTCTGTTTTCTAATATCACCAATGGTCTGACGGATAAATACAAACCTTTTATCACATACAGAATTAGAAAAAATGTGAATACTAGAAATTATGCTTTGTTATTATATAGTGTCCTATTTACAACAGTGTTAAAATATATGGATCGGAGTTCACCATTACAATTCTTAGAACAAACGAATCTTAGCAAAACCTTAAATGCATTAAAATCCACTCGCAATTGTAATTATATATAAAGTTGACTAGCATAGGTTCCAGTCTGTCGATTTTTATGTGCTTCTGTTCGGCAAATCGAACTGATATTATCAAAACACGATCGAGTATGAAATTGCGCGTATGTTATGAATAAGCAAAAATATCAGCGCCTGAATCCCAGGCTAACAGTTGTGTTATGTTTGTATATATGATTTTTTTATGTTTAAAGGTCCATCATGTTCCAGAAATACTTTAATTTTTATTTCTCAAAAGCTTTTTCATTTTGTGTCTGTTACAGTTTCCAAAAAATAATTCATTAGCCAGTTACCCGATGTTGCCTTTTGGTAATTAGTAGAGTTATACGTGTATAGTGTGATATAGTATTTTGTCTGGAAGTCGAAATACTACTTTGTATACATTTGGCTACCTATTTTAAAAATTATTTCACATTCAGCGCTCCTTTCTTTAGGTGATAAGTATCAAACATGCTTTTAAACCATTATGTGAACCTTTATAAAATTCATGTTTGCCCTTTTAAAAAAATGAAATATTTCTTTGTGTCTGATACAAAATGTGCGTGCCCTTTAGTCCGATTGAACCTGGTTTTGTTTTTTTTACAAATATATTTATAACTTGACGTAGCGTTTATGACCCTGTAATAACCATGCATCATAAAGGAAGTGAAAACCTTAAATTTTAATTTTGAAAAATACCTTAGCTTTTCCAATTTCAAACAATTCATCATTACGATACATAACCGGTATTACGGTACGGCTTGACCGGATATAGCATATTCCCTTTATACCAGCGACCAACTCAGTAGCTCTTTGCATAGAAACAGCGTCGCTTGGACAGAACACAGTCGAGTCTGGCAGAGATCTAAACATTGCGATATCTTCCATCGCCATTTGTGAAGCACCATCTTTTCCTGCAATAATAAAAAGGGAATAGTTATACAAAGTTACAACAAAATAATTCAGACCTTACAAGACGTTAAGTAGGTATATATATGCATATAACACAATTATATGTATTCAAATGCTACTAGAAGTTGTTTGTTGGTGTGTATTTATACAAAAATTATATATAATTGTATTTTAAAATTGAAGTCGATTGAAAATGTTACGATACGTTTCTGTTGATTTACAGACTGGACCTTTAAACATGTACATGTATATGATATATAACTAGAATTGTGACCATATAGCAGTCAGATGCCCCCACAGTCCTCTATTGTGTCAGTCTGCGTATGGACAGCGTGGCGGACGGACGGACAAGATGCTCCCCTTGGCCGCCCTGCAAGTTAGGGAATAATATAACAAGAGGGCCATGATGGCCCTAAATCGCTCACCTGAGTCAGAAACTTGTTAATTTGGATTTTTTTAAGGAGAATTTTGTTTTTGATTTTACTATATGCATAAATGGAAAATCAGGACTGATAATCATGATGTTGTGGGTTCGATACCTACTCATGCCACTATCATTTTTAATAATTTTGTTTATTTGATGTTTATATAATTTTTCATTTTCATTCATGTTCTTTCAAGAAAGTTCTTTTCATGTTCATTCTGAAATATTCTTTCTCTTAATAGTAGTTTAGTATTCTAGATGGTTCATTAATAGTATATATTTTGAATGTTTGTACTTCATTGTGTGTGTACTAATTTATACTATTGTGTGATTGTGTGCTATTGTACTGCTGTATATTAGTTTGGATTCTGTTATTCTGTGTGGGAAGTGTTTTTTGGACATATTGTGATATTCTACTGTGGACATTGGACATTGTTAAATTTGAGTTGTGAACAACTGAATTTGAACTGTGAGATAAACTTGACGACATTTGTTAAATTTGAATCGTGGATAGATGTGAGTTAAACTTTACTTTCATATTTTTTTTGTATAACTGTAAATTACTGTTTTTCATTAATTAAAAATTGTAAAATTTGTTGCTGTGTTATCTTCTCTGTTGCGTTTAACTTGTAAAAATATACATAAGAGGAAAATCCATGACTCCCAGGGGCAGGGCCAATTTTGACCCAGGGCTTTTATTTGAACAAACCTGGAAGACACTCTCTAGAAGATGATTCATGCTTTACATCTAAGCTCTAGCTATTTTTTTTTTTTTGAAGAATATTTTTCTAGATTTTACTATATACATAATTTTATAAGGAAAAACAATGAACCGTCGGGACAGGGCCAATTATGACCCAAGGGATTTTATTTGAACAAACTTGGTAGACACTCACTGGAAGATATTTCATGCCAAATATCTAAGCTCTATCTCTTTATGTTTCTTGAAAGAAGATATTTTTAGTTTTTTTTCTTTCGGTTGCCATGGCATCATTTAAAGTTATTTGACAACTTTCCAGCTTTATTGCATACAATATTTTAGTTTCGTCAGCCATCTGATAGAATCAACTTTACATTTACCACTAACAGTCAAAACTATAAGTTTAACTTTCATAAATGTTTACACTAAACAACTTCAAAATATGAACATCAGGCATTTGTATCTTATAATATGTAAATAACACTTGTATGTTTTGACTGTAACAGTCAATGTTTTTCAACAAGCTTCCTTATTAACAAATGAAAAATGGGCAAATATAAACATTAAATAAGTATTGAGAATAAAATATTCTGGGAGAATAAAAATAAAGAGATTTTGTCATTCTCTACATTTTTTAATGGATTTTACTTTAAACATTTTTGTTGATACATAAAGACGTAATAATAACAGATAAACTTGAAAGATTCTTTTGTGTCATTTTTAATTATGTGGTTAAGTATTGATTATATTTGTAAAGAAAAGTACGTTATAATTGTTAAGTTTATTTTATAAAACATTGCTGTGTTTGTAGTAACCAGTCAGTAGAGATATGGCAGGGAAAGAGGTAACAACACCTGGGATTACTGGGTCTATGGAGTTAATTAACTGTACCCCATGCTCTGAAGCAGAGAGGACAACTGTGGCCATCAAATATTGTGTGGACTGTACAACATATGTTTGTCAGGACTGTTTAAATGACCACAACAAGTTTGCAGCTTTACGTAAACATAACATTGTGGAGATCACTGAAGCTAATGAGCTTCTAGGTGACACAGATCAAGTCCAGGGAAAAAGATCGGTGGAATGTGGAAGTCATTATGGACAATTCATTGACAGATATTGCAGAAGCCATGACGAAGTGTGCTGCAGAATTTGTGTGACAATCAAACACAGGTTTGTCTATTTCTTTGTTTGACTAAGATATAAATAATGGTATCAGACAACTTGAAAAACTTGAGCTTGTCACATTTGTGCCGAATACCCCCAACATGCGCTTGTCAGACAACCGTGCTTTTAAGTTAATAATTTTGCACATAGGGAGAATGCAGTACTTAATAGATTTTTTTTCAAACGTTTTGGAATCATTTGTCTTACAACAATAAGATAAATTAAAGCTTGGATTTGAAGTTTTCATGACTTCTTTTAGAGGCAGTTTGTTCTTTCTCCTAGAGATTTCTGCACTTCTACTAAGTGAGATCTAGCTACCCTTTTATAGTTCTCAAGTTATGTCCAGGACTAAATTCAAAATGTAACAAGGAACAAAGGGCAATAACTCCAAATTTAGGAAAGGGGGGAACAGTCACAGTTCTTCTCCAATGCACTTCTACTCATTAGATGTATCTACCTACAAAATTTAAGTTAATATCTTTTATAACTCTCAAGTTAAATGTCCCAAAGTTAAAAGAGTACTCCCATGCACTTCTTCTTAGTAAAAATTAAATCTCTCTACTTACAAACTTTAAATACCTTTTATTTTTCTCAGAATAAGTCATAGACAAAGTTCAAAGAGTAAAAAATAACAAAGGGAAATGACTCAAATATTAGGGGCAGGTTATGGTTCTAATGCACTGCACTCAATGAGATCTATCTACCTACAAAGTTTCTTGTTGATATTGTATTTTACTGTTAAGTCCCGGACAATGTTCTAAGTGTCCATATCCATTTTCAAAGAGCTGAAAAGGGCAATTACTTTAATATTAAAATATTCATTAGTATGTGTGCAAATAATGAAGCCACTGGTACACTTGGAACTTACCGTTTTAGGATAACCTCTTTATTTTGCTTTTAATATTTTGTATAAAAAGTGCAAGAAAATTCTTATACAATGATAAATTCATGGAATTCATGAATTCATGTTTGGCTTTCAGTTTTTAAGTAAGATAATAATATAATACTGTTTCACATTATATAGGTTATGCAAAGAAATAACTGGTATAGAAACAGTTGCTGAGGGAATAAAAGAAAGTCAAGAATTTTGTGCTTTAAAATCTTCCTTGCAAAAGTTGAGAAAATCTGCTATACAGGAAAAATTATATCGAAATCAAAACTTAAAAGAAAAGATGGAGGAAAAGAAAAAAATCTTGGCTGATATTGATGAACAAGAAGAGAGGTTAATACAAAAGATAAGAGTTCTAGCCAATACTTCTAGAGAAAACATCCAAGAAGCTCATGCAAAACATCAAGATGCAGTCAAGGCTGATATCAAAGAACTAGACTCAGTTATATCAGGCTTGAAAAAGAGTTTAAATCACATAAACAGAGATGGCATGAATGAAGTGGAGACTTTCATATCAAAGAAGAACTACCAGGCAACTTTGGAGGAGGTACAGAGGGTGGTGACAGATCTTTCAAACAATTGGCTGCAGACCTCCCTTTTTTATAAGTTAGATGAAGTCATACCTAAAAATACCACAGCATTTGGTAAAGTTGAGGAAGAAACCACTAAAAGTCATGTATTTCATCTACAACTCAAACAAGCTGTTGATATCATATGCCAAACTGACAGTAACAAGTGCAGTATAAATGGAATATGTCAACTGCCCGACAGTACTGTGGTAATCACAGATGCCAATAATTCCAAGCTTAAACGACTGAGAGATAATTTGGAGGTGAAAGATTTTATTGATTTAGATGATACCCCAGAATGTATGTGTGTTACAAAACCAGATGAGGTTGCCATTGTACTAAGTAAAATAAACCTGGTTCAGTTTGTAACCATTGATGAAAACATGACTTTAGAGTCATCATTTCCTATATTAGGAGGAAGATGCACCAAGATTGATTGTGACCCTAAAGAGAATATAGTGTATGTTTGTTGTAGGTTTGAATGTGAAATGAAACTGCCTAAAAACAAAAACCCCCTTTCATTTAATAATTATATAACACACGAATTTCATATCATTGTTTACAATAAAAAAGGTGAATGTTTGTCAATATATAACAATGAGGAAGATGTGAGTCAACAGTTTTGTAAGCCGTTGAAGATACTTATCAGTTTAGATACTTTTGATTTAATTGATGCAGATACTAACATATATACATTTAGTAAGACAGAGATGAAACAAAAACCAACTAAAGCAGGCTATTATGGTGCAAGATATGACGATTATTGTGGAAGATATGATAATGAGTATCTATGCATGCTGTCTGCAGAGAATATTATATATGTAAACAAGAAAGGATATATGTATCTAAAATCATTACATGTTAAACAGCAACACATGCTTGAGTCAGGAGATTTTTCACCTGTGCAAACAGTACTTTTTAACAAGAAAAAATCTACTTTAATTGTTGCAGGACAGTCATGTCAAATCAAAGAATACAAAATGGGCTTAAAGATACTATATCTTCTCAAAGAATAAACAAAAGGAGATACTGAAAAGATTAAAAAGATTTGTAAAGGGTTAGAGATTTAAGGCATTATTATTTAGACAAAGACATAATATGGAGAAATCTCTGTCAATCAACAGACATGAATTCACCAGCCTTTGTATCAGTACAACATTAGAACTTTTTATATATAATCTAGGTACACAATATACATGTATCTTTTTTTTATGACAGTGTACCAATTAATTAAGCCATGTTATAAAATGTAATATTTTGAAAGCTATTTAATCAATAAATTATAATATCACTATGGTTATTTAATTATTGTACACAATAACCTATTGATTAATTACAATGTTTTCATCAACCTATTGGTAATTCAAGACAAGAGGGCCATGATGGCCCTAGATCGCTCACCTGACTTATCAAACTCATCCAAACAATTACCTAGACATGCATTCTGACCAAGTCTCATGACAGGTGAGTCAAAATGTGACCACTACAGTATTAACAAGGATTATCCATATTTGAGCAGTGCGACCTAATTTTTTACACATATTCAAACTTGACCTAGAAATCATCAAAACAAACTTTCAGACCAATTTCCAGGATACTTGGATCAAAACAGCAGCAACTAGAGTGTTAACAGGTTTTTTTCTATTTTTAGCTCCGGTGACCTAGTTTCACATGCGGTTTCGAACTCATCCAAGCAATTACCTAGACAAGCATCCTGACCAAGTTTGATGATAATTGAGTCGAAAATGTGACCACTAGAATGTTTACAAGGTTTTTCCATATTTGGGCGGTGTGACCTAGTTTTTCATCCAAGATGACCCATGTTCGATCTTGACTTAGAAATCATCAAAACAAACTTTCAGACCAATTAACAGAATATTTGGATCACAACAATAGCCACTAGAGTGTTAACAAGATTTTTCTATTTTTAGCTCCTTTGACCTAGTTTTTCATCCGAGATGTCCCATGTTCGATTTATTCCCAGCAATGACCTAGACAAGTTTCCTGACCAAGTTTGATGACAATTGAGTCAAAATTGTGACCACTAGAGTGTTAACAAGGTTTTTCTATTTTTAGCTCCTGTGACCTAGTTTTTCATCCGAGATGACCCATGTTCGAACTCATCCGAGCTATCACCTAGACAAGCATCTTGATCAAGTTTGATGATGATTGATGCAAAAATGTGACCGCTAGAGTGTTAACAAGGTTTTTCTATTTATAGCTCCTGTGACCTACTTTTTCATCCCAGATGACCCATGTTCGAAATCATCCGAGCTATCACCTAGACAAACATCCTGACCAAGTTTGATGATGATTGGGTCAAAAATGTGACTTCTAGAGTGTTCACAAGGTTTTTCTATTTTTAGCTCTTGTGACCTAGTTTTTCATCCGAGATGAGCCATGTTCGAAGTCATCCGAAGTTTAATGATGATTGAGGCAAAAATGCGACCGCTAGAGTGTTCACAAGCAATTGTGGACGTACGACGGACGACGGACATTCACCGATCCTAAAAGCTCACCCTGAGCAAGCTCAGGTGAGCTAAAAAGTCTCACCTATGCATACACCAGCATGTGAACCGACAAAGTTTACATTTGTCAATGAAATTGCTCCCATTCTGATCTGGTCAAATGCCCGTGTGAGGAAAGCAGCAAAACCATTGCAGAACACAATATTTCTGTCCCTTGCAGCACAGCCAATTGCTACCCCGACAAGATTCTGCTCTGCTATGTAACCTTCTACATAACGGTCTGGATAAGCATCCTGTTGACAGGCAGAAAATTCTAGCTTTAACACAAATACAAATTATGCTGTAATACATATGTATACATGTGTATATACATTTTAAAATCTGCAAAAAGCTGAACTGAAGCAAATCTATTGTATATATATATCTAGAGTTGTTTTGTTAACTATTTATTTTATGAATCTCTAGATTACCGCGGTCTTCTTCTTTTGTTGAATGCCCCAACAGAACAGTGTATATGTCAAATAATAATTAAATTGAATTATTATAATTCTGGCTGATATACAAGAAAGTTTTTTTTCTAGCACTGGTATAAACATGTGATAATCCTGTGAGTCTGAAATGCAAGAAAGATTTGTCTAGCACCAACGCAAACAGGAGATAATCCTGTCTGATATGCAGGAAACAGCTGATGTGTAATCATGCATAATATGGCCCCCTCTCGAGGTAAATCCGATTACAATAGTTATAATTTGTCATATGCCGGTAAACAATGAATTTTGGATGTTCACAGAGTGTGTATCTGATAATACGTTGAATTCGTGCATCGGTTATTTAGTAGTTGTGGCTTTTTTTTTGGTCAGGCTTGTTATCGAATCTTTAGGGTTATATTTACTGATCAAAAGCCTGTTTAATGGAGCAGCCAAATTGACCTTTGCTTTTGATGTCATAATTTTAATAACGAGTATTACTATATAGAAACAACAGCTGCGGAACATCGAATACATCCCCCATAATGCAACAATTAGAATTTTTCACGTGCAAATGTCACGTGGATTCGCCACTTATATGTAAGAGGATTAACGAAAACTGACTTTGAATATATATGAATATGTAGAAGTGTTTGTTTCGCCGTCCAGTGCTATCACCCTAGGATTGTTTTTAGAGAGTTTGACCACGGCATCATTGTAGGCTACTCTGATCGCAACCTGAAAAACAGATAAGAAAAAAATCGAGAGATAATTTTCAGTTTAAGTGTAAGTAGTATTTTAAGTAGTATTTTTAACATAATAATAATAATAATAATAATAATAATAATAATAATAATAATAAAGACTTTATTTAACGAGAGAACTCATTTGAACAAACATATCAATCTTCCATGAGGCCCTCAACAAGGAACAATATAAATTTAACATATTCAAACTATTAAAATACATAAATGTAAAAACATACAGGAGATTATCAATTTGTATACATCAATGCGTGATAAAACCTCAAGTATAAGGTTTTAAAATGGTTAACAGATGCAGCAGACTTAATATAATCAGGAAGGCCGTTACAAATACAGATCCAGATAAGGTTACATTGTGAATTATTTTTCAATTGAAAATGTTTAGAAATATTTTATATGAAATGAAGAGATGCATTTCTATGTAGATCTAACATGGCCACGCTAAATATTTTAAATGGACTTTCAGTCTAGACAAAACCATCGCGTATTTTAAAATAAATTCTGATAGAATAGCAGTAGTGTAGACCATAGCTGATCTTGATCTGAACTAGTCATATAAAATAATCAGTTGCCGCCCACCAGCAAAGATCTATACAATTAAAGGCACATAATGCCTTAGAAATCCACATTTTTTGTTTTATTTATTTTTAGTTCATTTCTTTAAAATTTCTTTTAAATGCCAAACATGTAATTGATATAGGAATATTAAAAGAGCATGTAACAACACATTCAACAACTGAAAAAAGTAGCGCTGAACTAATAATGATGTGTTGTAAAGGAAGCAAAACGTAAACAAAGTACATATGTAGTATTTTGACTTCCATACACAATACTAATTCACTTAATATTTCATTTGCAAACAGAGTAAAATAAGTAGAGATAGGTTATTTTATCGCATGTGAGTATTTTTTTAACTGTGACAAAGTTAGAAAGATTTGAGGATAAAAAAAATATTGCGTTTTTAAGGCAAAATGGGCCTTTAAAAGCGTCACATTTGACCTGTTATTTATCATTTATAAACGCCTTTATTTTAATGTATATGTACAATAGGACATGTACAAAGGTGCCGGCCGCATTGATTCGGCCTTAAAGATTGATATGTTTTATCTAATTTTTCATGCAATAGATTTTTTGAAGTCAAATTCATTGAATACATGTATATTAAAGTGCATTATAAAAAGTAGAAAAAGTAGATAAAATATAGTTTAGTTTAAATTTTTGCGACCATCGTTTTTGCAATACGAGTCCGGTAAGATCATTACATTTTAGTTTTGTTTTTTACCTCTTGTCCCATCAAATAGTTTGGCGGTTCAGCTAACATTACTTTTGTAATATCTACATTAGGAACAGTGGCCGTAATGCATTGTGGTCCAAGATTCCATGGTCCCTGACTGTTCATTCTTCCCTTGATAATCTTTATAACAGACTCCGCCCTTGGTCCAAGGATTTTACTGTGCCATCCCGGCGAGTCCTCAATGCCTTAATGTGTACAAACAAATGTATACGTGTTTACAAGGCGGACAAAAGTCCTCCCCCGCCCGAATATGACAAGGCGGACAAAAGTCCTCCCGAGAATTACGTGAACATTTTATTGCAAATATACCATTATATATACACAATTATATATCTGTAACCTTTAAAATCACATTAATTAATATAAACCGTTGTAAAATTATAACTTTAAAGAAAATATTATGGCTATTGTATAGAAGCTACATGTATTTTGAGATTGAAAATGAGATAAATAGTAATATTTTGACTGTGTTTTTGTAATTAGACACTGCATGAACTATCAGATGCATTTTAAATCACAGATAAAAGGAAAATTATGTGAAGTTTATAGGTATCACTTATATAACTTAAAAATTGTTGATAACTGAAGGTTTGAAGTGTAAGCGATGTACCAGGGAATCCCTTTCCTTTGAGTGTCTTCGCTAGTATACATGTCGGCTTCCCTTTGACAGATTTAGCATCATGGAAGGCTTTGCACAACGCCTCTACATCATGCCCATCTACCACATATGTGTTCCATCTATAAAAATGTAATACAAAATATCACGGTTCAGACCTGTGAGAAGATGTGTAAGCGTCCGGAAAGATCATTCGATAGAGCCGTTGAACGGTATTCAGATGGTTTCAGGTTCGAGTCCTGGTCAGACTGCACATTTTTCTCACTCTGTACGTGTCACTAAAATAAAACTATCCAGCGAAATGTACAAAAAAAAAACCCCAAAAAGCCAAAAAATGGTATGGCTCTTGTTTATATTACACAGTCATTTTTGTTATAGCTGGATCTTTTTTGCAGGTCATTAACCCTAAAATTTTTCTTAAATAGACTCATGACGTCATGTCTCACTTTTATTTTTGGATTTGTCCATATCATTTTTGGGGATATCAAAATTAACTTTACAGTTAGTCAGTCAACAGTATAAAATACTGTTATACTGTATGAAAAAAACGAACAAAATAACTTATAAAATAACTGTTTGAAAGAACACGTGAAGGTGGAAACCTATTGGTCAGATCCTAAAACATTAATGCATAGCATTATTAAGGAGCTGAGTTTAATCAGATTGGTGTTCATTTCTAATTATTCTTTATTGGACCAAGTAAATACACGTATAATCATATATGTTTTAAGCTGATAATGTTACAGTTATTAAGTATTTTTTCTGTTTTATATTCAAAACATTATTGAAAATCGTCTTTTTTTACCCAAAGGACTCAAGTCTGTTTTTGAAAACATCCACGTTATGTTGTAACATAGTTGGTCCGCACTGTCCCAATCTGTTTATATCAAATATGGCAACTAGATTATCTAGCTTATAAAAACTAGAAAACGCCAATGCCTCCCAGACTGAACCTTCTGCACTCTCGCCATCTCCTAGTAGACAATAGACACGGTACCTAAAATAAACCAGGGAGTATATCATTTAAGTTAGAGAGAACTTACATTTTTCCATTAAAAGTTTATTCACGTACAAAACGATATTTTGGTACGACACTAATGTTTGGATACGCGTATACAAATTGATTTTTGGTGCGACACTTATGTTTTGCCATTAGAAGTTTTACACGTACAAAACGATATTTTGGTGCGACACTAATATTTTACCATAAAAATTTATACAAGTACAAAGTACAAACCGATATTTTGGTGCAACTCTAATATTTTGCTATTAAACGTTTTTACACGTATGAAACAATATTTTGGTGCGACATTTATGTTTTGACGAATGCGAAACACAATAATTATATGCTGTGCGTGACGTAAAGAAAATATAAAGTCTTTGATTAGAATTGATAAGTGGAACAAATGAGATGGAAAAGAAACAATACACAATTTGTAAATTGAAATTCGAAATTCTTACATAGGCCAACTAAAACACTTAGAATGTAGAGATGCAAAAGATAATAATGGTATATAGTCGAAATTAAATTACAAATCGTAGTTTTTGTGCAATTCTTAGCCCAATTTGAGTAAAAAAGCGTTTAAACTCTTTTTTTTAATTTTCGGTAAATTTTTACAATTGAAATCAGTATCTTAGAAATACGGAATGTGCGAATGATCTGATATTTTAAACAAAAGTTATCGGTTCGTATTTCTAGTTCCGTCATGTTAAAAACCATCAATGGAGCCCATTAACGAAAATATTTGTACTGTAAATTTTTTTGATTAAAGGGGGACGTCCCAGAGCCCCAAAAATTTTTAAAAAAATTTAATAAAAAAAAAAATGTATAAATTTTTCAGAAAAGTAAAAAGTTCAAGATAAAATTAGAATAATTTACATTTATGTTGTTAAAGGGATTTTTTTGGGGAAAATTAAATTTTACTGCGTACTAGCGCAGTAATTTTTTTTCTTCATTTTTTGACTTTTTTTTGGGTTATTTATTGGTTTTTTAGCCCCGTTTCAATGTGTAAATTATTTTCTTGTTCACTTCCAAATATTATTTTTAAATACTTTAAAAATTTTCAAAAAAACCTAGGTGAATTTTTGAGGCATACCCCCTGAAGCAAACATTTTGTGCTTTATTTGTGTATTTGTGACAAAATAAAGCTCCCACCCCTTGACTTGTCGAAGTATTTTCCCGTATAGGCCATGCCGGCAGCAATACTAATACCCTGACCAAGAGACCCAGTTGCTACATCAACAAAGTTCAGCCGCTGAAATCAAACAAGATTCGGTAAGCTACATTTTAATATATAATGACTATATGAAATTACAAATTGTGAAGTTTGCTTTATTGGGGCCATTTTTTTCTTTAATATTGATTTCTGGGAAGGGCTTAATCTAATGTTGCTAGAACTTGTTGCCAAACCAATTTTGTTATATAATCAAAACATGTATTTGATGCAATAAAATATGTTTAAATTAAACGAAACGATCATCGATAGTTTCAATATGTATTTACAATATTTGGCTCTTAAGACATAAAAAGAGTCGGTCATTTTGGGAGTCAATACCCAAAGCATATAAGTGTCAAAATATGGAGAAAAAATCGGTTTTACGGTTGAATTGTCAAAATTCTTTTGCATTTGTAAAGAAAGACATAATTTTAGTAAAAAAATATCATAACAAGAAGCTTTTATCATGTCATTATATTGATATTTGTTGATAAAGTGCATGCATACCGTTATCAGTCACCCTCGGCTTTATCAGTACATATTGAAATAAAATGAAGAGAATGGAATATTTTACCTCTTACTAGTTTGAAATTATTAAACTGATAAACTTTGAATCAATTCGATTTTTTAAATATTACAGTCTCTCGAAGACATTCGGGACTATTTCTTATTGATATGACCTTACTGCGCGCAAAATTGAGAGGATATGGACTTGTTTTTGTTTCAGAAAGAAACGCATATTAAAATTGGAAACATGATAAATAGAATACCAAAAATTATAAAAAATATATAATTTTTTTTATACAATTTATAAGGTTCAGCACGAAAAAAAGCATCGCCCTCATTTTTTCTAAGCCTTGTCCGACAAGTTTTGTAGTATGGCACTAGCATGGTATTCTATAATATGAAGACGACAGTACAGAATTGCAACAAACCTTTATCTTATCTAAGGCATATATGTACATATATATTATATTTGAAATGACCCCCAAAATGAAAACCAAGGGAGGTAATGCTATGCTAAAAGGGGTCCGACACCCTTGTGTGTGTTCATATATAGTGTAATTAATTGACAAAAAATATAGGGACAAATATTTTATAGTCTCTATATAAAACATTTGCCCCTATATTTTTGTCAAATGGCTTGTGTAAGTTAATTACACTATATATGAACAGACACAAGTGTGTCGGACCCCTTTGGTACTAGTATTATTCTTTTTATATTTAAATTTTTGTGTTCTAATGTGATTGTTCTGTTTAAGCCTTTTAACTTTTCCCTGCCTTGTTTTAACATAAATTGGTGTTATATTTTATGCATTATGTCTGTGATGTTAACAAAGTATCCCACTTTATGGACAATGCTTTATTGATCTATCTAGATCAGTATAGTTTACGTTAATTGACAATTGACAGCTGCTGTCAGCTTATTTGGTTTTATTCTACATGTTTGTCGGAAAATAGCTTGTAGCTATAATGTTTATTTTTTTATATTTTTGTTATAAAATAAAACATCTCGACTCTTGCAAATAAACTCATATAGCCCATCCAAAATGCAATAATAAAAGCAGCAATACATCTTGGAAAATTGACGATTTTGCTAAGCTTGATTGTTTTGCTTACACAAAAGCTTATTTTAATGTTTTTTTTTCTTTTTAAGAGAGCTGAACCATATGAACACATTAGTAGTGATCAAAAACCAACTGTACTTGAAATAAATAAATCAGTCAATAAATGAATAAATAATCCTAAAATTAATTAATTAATTAATAATTAACTGCTTAAAACGGCCTTCAGCTTTTGTAAAGGGTTTATTAGATATTCTATTTTTAGATAAATTGCACTTTTCCGAGATATAATTACTGAAATACTTAGTTTGAAACAACGATCGAAGAATTGTTTTTCCAACAAAAAAATAGCTGACGGCCACTTTAAAGGATTCCTAAAAAAGCAAGATCACATCTGGTCGAGAAAACACACACATGCATTGTAAAAATGTTGCAGCATGTTACATATCATATATTTTCTTCATTAAAAACATGAAGCTACATTCATAGTCGTAAGAACGGAATGTCTGTCTCAAAAGCAGAACATCTAGGCTGTATTGATTTGAGTCTTTTTAAGCCTTTTTTCCCCAAGAATATGGTAGCACGGAATTACGTAACAGCTGTTGAGAGTATACGTGCAAAATGGCTAAAAGGAACATTGAACTTTACAAATCAGTAACATTTTCGATTTGTTATTAAAATGGAACACCGCCCGAAGTTGAACCATTTGGAAGTGTGATATTTTCCCCTTCAGTATGGCTTGTCTTAATTTGCTTTGACACCTTGGTCGGGTAAAGGTCAAAACGATAAATATTACGAATTTGTCTAGGTGTTTTTTTTTTCATTTTTTTTTTTTTCATTTTCAACAACTTCACGGAAGTCAGTTTTGCCGATGGAGTCGTCATTCCGCATTTTAATACCAAAAAGTGCAAACGGTACAAAACAAGACAAACTCACAATTCGTCGTAATTCCGACCTTTTGCACCCAAAAGGCGAAAACGTGACAAGTAGTGACACAAACACCATAACCATTAATCTAATAGAATTGTGTCCGAAATGTCTGTGTAAGCGCGAACTGTCGAAAATACGATAATATGACAGCGTCATGGTTTGTTGTGTTGTCGATATTTCGCCTTTCTGCCCAAAACATACTCAGAAATCTATGGTGGCTGATTTGTGCCATGGCATATTTTCCCTCCACAAGACGCCAGGCGAAATAACTTTCAAAATTAGTGGCGGCGTGGCCGTGTGGTTAACGCGTCGGACTAGTAATCTAAGGATTGCTTGACCGCGTGGGTTTCAAACCCTGTCAGGGCAAGCCGTTGTTTCCTTGAGCAAAGAAACTTTACATTCTTTGCTTAGTACTGGTTGGTTCCAGGAACGGATTCGAGAGTGTTTCAATAAGCTAATAGCTTCCAACACAATCGAACTAAAATAAATTTGTATAAACTAAACTAAATAACTTTCACATCGCATGCAGCCGAGCGGGGCGAAAATACGACATGGCACAAATTAGCCACCATATATTACCTGTCATATAAGACATGGCCCAGAAATCAGCCACCAATAGGGAATCAAAAACACCATAGCATCATAATAATTTGATGTTTTTGATGATAAAAAAAGTCAATTTGTGCAAGGACTTAAATTGCCTGAAATGTAAAACCAAATCTGCCTTCAAAATACATTTATCGTTAGATTACATTGGAAAACAAAAACAAACTGGTGTTTCTTTAACGTTCACGTGTCTATATGCAGGATTTCAAACAAGTATATATGTAGCTCAAAACATATTTATCGGCTTTAGAATGTGTTTTCTGTTTTACAAAAGCGATTAAATAAAGTTATTAACTAGTTCATCTACATATATTTGTAATCGTAATGAAAGTTACAAATATGTAGATGCCTAAATGACATGTATATGCCTTTGTTGAAAGAATAAAATGTTGGCTATATATTTTATATTTAAATTTAAATAAATTGTTATATTATTACTAAAAAAAGAATGCATTATACAATCGAACATTCGTTGACATAAACATACAGATGTATTGAATCAAAATAATTTTTAATGCTGGTTTTGGTAAAAAGAACAATTTAGACGTTTCAAGATCAATAATGAGAGAATATATATTTCTTCTTGTGCCAAAATAAAATTGACAATTTTGAATTTTTCCATGCCTTTCTTTGTTTTTTAAAGGAGGAAATGTCTGTATACGTAAATAAGGCATTTTTTTTGTCCCTGCTAAAGAGTAGCGGCCCGTTGAATAAAAGTTGCGTTTTGGCTTGTGTCTCCTGCTACACAGTTGCTGTAACATGCAATTGGCAATCATCAGGCGACACACGTGATCACTGATTGCTCTTGTATTTTGTCATAAAGCTATTATGAAATTTATATAAAGTCACTACTTTTTCATTTAATATAACTTTGAAATAACAAATGACACATCATTATAAAATTAGAACACTTACTGGGGTGGGGTGACCTTTCCAGATCCAATCTATTGTCCTTAGTTTCAGGAGATCTTTTTCGCACAGGGAAATAACCCCGCCTTCTGCCCAAGCCGCATTACAAAATGGGGGCTGCATGTCCCTACAAATTAAATAAATAGATGAGTTTTTCAAATTAGATTTTTAACACAATCCACTCCTCAAAGATTCAAGAAGATTCAAAAAACTTCGAAACCTACTACTTCTGGCTGCTGCTGCTGCTTAACTGCTACTGCTACTTGCTACTGCTACTGCTACTACTACTACTACAACAACAACAACTTCTACTACTAGTAGTAGTAGTAGTAGTAGTAGTAGTAGTAGTAGTAGTACTACCACCACCACCACCACCACCACCTACTACTACCACTACTACTACTACTACTACTACCACCTTCTACAACTACTACCAACTACCACTAACTATATAGCGACAACACAACCTATATATCGTTATCGCCTTATAGCTAGCAAAATGGCACCATACGGGCGGTTGTACACTATCGTCTTTTTCGTCCTGTCGCAAGCGAAGCACGCCAAACGGCGCGTTGTCGTGCGGCGCGTTGTCGTGATGTCGCCAGTTCTTCGATTTTGAGCGAGCTCAATGTTGATATTGCGACCAACACGCCGCATGAAAACGCAGCGTTTTGTTGTGCTTCGTTAGCGACAGGACGACAACACACCAGTGCGAAAGTTCGGCCGTTTGGCGCTTTGTCCGTGCTCTCGCTAGCGACAATACAAACGAACAAAAGTGTTTTCAAATCAGCCACCATAAAAATAGTTTTTTTCACCCTCCAATGAAAACAAGTCCTCCATCCCTTAATAGATTCCTTTGACATTGACAAACCGGGTCACTCCTCGGGTCTTTCTGGAATTTAACAAAATCATATCGTAACGTATTGAAGAACAATACGGACATGATCTCGGCGGAAGATGAACATGATGTCACATGTCTGAAATACAACATTAGAATAATAGAATGTGCTTATTAATATAACACCTATACAAGTCTCCATAAACGGAAACCATATTAATTTAAACGAACTGGAGAATAAAAAACTAAAACCAAAATAAATTACATGACCAAAACACCAAGAACAACAAACAAACAGTCGGAAACAAGGTGATTTTATATGGCAACCTCTAAACATGAAGAAAATATCACATTCATTAACAAAATTGCCGTAAATTTTCTCAATTCAGTCTATCAGTGAATGTAATTTCAAACTACGTATTTGATCATTTGTTTGTAATTGGCGAGGTACTGTATGTGTAGAAATATTCGCGGGCTTCAAATTTTCGCGATCTTCACGGTGACATTCGATCCGCGAATTCAAGTTTAGCGCGAACATTTCTACACCAATAATTTCTTAATAGTCATATTTTCGCGCTTCTTTAGAACAATATATATCAGTATTAAGAAATTATTGGTGGGAAATAAAGTCAATTTCGGTAAATAATAATTGAAAGTCTGACAGAATGCCCAGTAACCAAATCCGAACTACTAGTATACCCAAGAGGTATACAATTTGTACTTTCGGTTTTCCATACCATAGATGATGATATACTATTTACTGGTGTATGCAGTAAATGATGTATTGATGTATTGTAAAATATTTTGTTTTTGTGATAATCATATAATTATGGCGAGCAAATATTTTTTTTATTTGACGAAAATGTAATCAGTTTGGCTTGAGCAAACAACTACCAGGATGAGAAGCCACACCAAAACCCGCCAACCCTTTTTGAAAGTAATCTGTTTTCCCCCCGTAGTTTTAAACAATAGTCCCGAAGATGCGCTTTAGGTGCGTCCTTATGGCAAATCGAATATGGCACTGGAGGGTTTCCGGGGTACTTTCAGTGCTTTGATTATATCATGAACATAATATAATTGATTTTTATGGGAAATCAATCTTACTATTTTGTTGAATTGCTTCAAAATCCTGTTCGTTTTCCCTCATATAGACGTGTTTTGCCCCCCCCCCCTTTTTGAGGCCTTAAACAGTGACAAAATGCCCTATGTACCCCCCCCCCCCCCCATGTTTTTTCGTTTAAAAACGTGCCCATGTTTTTCGGCACCGCCCCGATCAAAAATAATGAATTTGGATGAATTTAAATAAATTAAATCAAAACTATAATAAAATTAAGAAAGTCAACCACGTTGGAATGCGTTTATATCTGCTTGATTTTATGCATTTTACAAATTTTTAAATTTTTGTCACACACTAAGTCTTAATAATGACAGCTCATTTAAATGGTCCTAGATACATCATAGAATAACAAAGGTTTTTTTTTTTATAAAATTAAGATGTACATTTATATTTTGATATTTTCGGCCTTGAAGTTCATTGATTTTTCAATATTACCTAGAATAAAAAACCAACTAAGGTGTTAATAAATTTCATGAACGTGCCGTATCTCCAATTCAATTTAACCTTTTTATTCTGAAATCTTTTAAAAAAAAATTTTTTTTTTTTTTAAATCCGCACATTACAACATTTTAAAATGTAACTTAAAATTTTTCCTCAAACCAATTAAGTGAAGTGGATTGAAATTGACTTAAGTATTAAAAATGTTTTGCCGGGGACTTTCTTTCTACATGTATGTCAAATCAGCGGAATTTTTAGAAGTAATTGAGATACCACTTTTTTGTACGAAAATATCTGAAAATAGTACTTTAAAACATTATACTTTTATCTAAAATGATTAAAATAAAATTAAAGTGTTTAAAAAGATACGAAATCTTGCGACATTAAAAATATTGTCGACAACGTTCATTATGGTTATAAGTTTTCGCTATAAATGAATAAGCAACAAACGTTTTACGTTTATATTTTCTTCAATTTTGGTTTGCTCTGTCTGTATTGATATTTTAAACCATTGTGTTTCCGCCAACCACAAAATGTGGTTTATTCGTGTAAATCGGGTAATGTGGGTTTTATATGTATATGTTTAAAATGCCCTTCACAAAAACTGTATGGTTTACATCAATAAATTGTCTGTTCTATCTGTCTTGTCTAAATTTAAAAAAAAAAATCATCTGCTGGCGGAATGACTGAATCCGTGGCCCGGATTTCTTCCCAGTGGTATCCTGAAACCCATCATGTAAGTCTTTGCACACAGCTTTGGTACGGATACCAGTCACCACATTACATACGGGACAAGACACTGAATCATTCGAGACCAGACACTTGAAACGTGCGAAAACAAAACATTGAAAATTCGTACAAGACAAGACCACTGATTAGAACGTGAAAAGACAACGAATTCGTACGAGACAGGGCACCGAATACGTACGACAACTCAACTCAACGACACAAGATACCCAATGTGTACGAGACAAGACACCGAATTAACACGAGACATGACACCGTTTACACGTACCTGACAAGACACAGAATTCGTACGAGACAAGACACTGAATGCGTACGAGACAAGACTCTGAATACGCACGAGACAAGACACCGAATTCGTATGGACAATACACTGAATACGTACGAGACAAGACACCGAATACGTACGAGACAAGACAACGAATTCGTACGAGACAATACACTGAATACGTACGAGACAAGACACCGAATACGTACGAGACAAGACACCGAATACGTACGAGACAAGACACCGAATTCGTACGAGACAATACACTGAATACGTACGAGACAAGACACCGAATACGTACGAGACAAGACACCGAATTCGTACGAGACAATACACTGAATACGTACGAGACAAGACACCGAATATGTACGAGACAAGACACCGAATACGTACGAGACAAGACACCGAATTCGTACGAGACAAGACACTGGATACGCAAGAGACAAGACACCAAATTCACACGAGACAAGACACCGAATACGTACGAGACAGGACACCGAATTAACACGAGACATGACGCCGTATACGTACGAGACAAGACACCGAATTTGTACTAGACAAGACACCGAATATGTACGAGACAAGACACCGAAATAACACGAGACATGACACCGGATTCGTACGAGACAAGACAGCAAATTCGGACGAGACAAGATATCGAATTCGTACGAGACAGGACACCGAATACGTACGAGACAAAACAGCGAATGCGTACGAGACAAGACATCGAATTCACACGAGACAAGACCCCGAATACGTACGAGACAGGACACCGAATGCGTACGAGACAAGACACCGAATTCGTACGAGACAAGACACCGAATACATTGATTCGATAAATATATATACATGTATAAGTTTGATACAATCACTTACCCAGACTCACTTGCTTGAGTAGCGTCGATGCAATCGATTCTAAGTTTGTTTGCCATGTCCTTTAAAGACTGCATAGTATCACAACCTCGTGCATGATAGTCCACCATTATTTAAAATAATATATATCTATCTTAGTATGAGACGAAATGAATTACAAATTTATATTGAATCAACTTATTTAAATGAATACGTTTAAATGTAAAAATTATGACGGATGTTACGTGTGAAAGGAGCACTTTCAATAAAATCGTTGTCTGGAAAATAAGTTAGTGACTTGCAAGTTTCACAAAAATATATAAATCCGCGCATGCGTGAATTTACGAAACGCTGCAAATATGTCGGATTCTGCCATATGTGAACTAAACGTGTAATAAACATGTATATGTATAAATATACATATATGAATTAACACGTAGACACTGTGTAAGTTGTGACTTTGTCTATCATAGAGGAAATCATAAGCTTCGATTTATTCGGGTTTTTGTCTGTGGTTTTTTTTTTTGTTGTTGTTGTTGTTGTTGTTTGTTATTTAAGTTTTTTAAATTAAAAAGAAATATATTGACCATTTAACGTTCAAGAAAATCAACTTTGAGAAAAATGACGTTTGAAGGAAAATATAAATATTTACAATTCAAGCGATGATTTGTTCATTTACATGTTTTTTGCAAAGTGTATTTATTACAGTAGAATGATTTTGCAGTATTTATAACCGTATTTCTACCGTTTGACTAACACAGTATATTCTATTTTTGTATATTTTGACCTGTATTTGGTAAACTACTTAGATTCAAAGTGCCGTTTGCAATGTGTAAATTAACCTCTTTGATCTTTTTAAAATATTTTACTTCTAATTACATTTTCATTTATTTTTTGAGAATTAACATGAAACCGGAGGCTGCTGCTTTATTACGTAGACACTATATTTGTTGTCACGCATTTGTCTATCATTCAGAAAATCGGTTGCTTCCATTTCGTTTCTTTGGTTTTTGAGTCTTGTTTTGGTTTTGTATACAGGTATTCTTTTTGTTTAATGAGAAATATATTTACTCTTTGAAAAAATGCACATCAACTGCTTAATGGATTTTATGAAAGTAACATGTGGTAATATTATGGACAAATCTTATAGATCTATATGTATTCATATTGAAGTCCCTGGCTTTTGAGCTGTGTAACCATTCTATATGTATTAAACATTCAGACAAAACGTTCAGCTTTAAAGCCATATACCATACACCATAAAGTAAATGAAGATAATTTTATTTTCTCCATATTTGGATTGCTAATATACCATGCATATAGGATTAAAGAGAAAATAAAATTAACAAGAGCTGTCACGCAAAAGTGACGCTAGCCCCCAAAAAGATTTCCTAAGCATTGTAGAAAGGTATTAAGAAAAGGGAATAAAAGTAACTAATTGCGTAATATTGTTCTTATGAAATGAAGTGCTATTCATAGCAAACTTGAAGGTAGGGACATGGATATTGGTTGTGACCTGTTATCTTGATTTGGTAGACATTTGGGCGAAGTTATTTTAAAATCTTTCAATGCATGACAATGTAACAGTCTGTACACTAATGTGTACCTTCAAACTTTTCTTGTGAGCATGGCATGAGTACCTTCAAACTATAAGTTTGACCTTGACATTTGAGGTAGGGACATGGTCCTTGCTTGCGAAACGTCTTCCTGATGTGGTAGATATTTGTACCAAGTTATTTTAAAATTCTTCACTGCATTACAAACCTACAGTCCGGACACGAATGTGTACCTTCATTCTTCTAATATAACACCTATACAAGTCTCCCATAAACGGAAACATTATTTATTTATACGAACTGGAGGATAACAAATTAAAACCAAAATAGATAACAAAACCAAACAACAAACAAACGAACAGTCGGAAACTAGGTGATTTTATATGGCAAAGTCTCAACATGAAGAAATATCACATTCATTAACAAAAATGTCGTAAATTTGCCCAGTTCAGTCTTTAAGCGAATGTAATTTCAAACTACATTTGTATTTGATCATTTGTAATTGGTGAGGTATTCCGACCGAATTTCAAACAATGTTATTGTTCGGAATGTAATCGGAACATCTCAACGTTTATTCTTAATCATCCCGGAAGTATTTGTTGTATGAATTGATAGTATATAGTTCTACCACGTGACATCAGATATTACCAAAACAGGAGTATGCTTACATTTTATTGACAGACAATGGGAAATAAAGTCAATTTCGGTAAAATCATAATTGAAAGTCTGACAGACTCAATATAAGAATGCCCAGCAACCAAATCCGAAAATACAATGTATACCCAACGCCAGTAAGGAGAAAGAATCATCAACGAACAATATAACTTTAGTACAGAGCAAATGGCAAAGTTAACACACCGTTTTCTCTTATACCAAATCACAATACAACTTTTGGCGCTACCTGTTTTCTTTTGAAATGAAAACATTTTGTTTGACGAGGTATATTCAAACAGCACCAGATCAGTAAAGATAATATATAAAGATATAAAATTACACACACCTGACTTCTTTAGTACTTATATGACTTAAATAGTGAACAACTAAAACGTTTGACTACTTTTAACACTAGATTGAAAGAAGAAACAAAGCTTTTGGAAAACTCAACAATATTGAAACATATTAACTTTAAAACGCATTATGTCGACAGAAAGCTAACATACATTTTCAAGATTGTTATAGCAATAAAGTCTATTTCACAATAACAGCAGGCTCTAAGAGGCTTTCCAAGAACGCTGTTGTCTACTTGTATGTGATACACTATCAGGCAGATGCGAGTCTAGCGCGATGTCGTGATCATCAGCGTGGACTTGCTGCATAACGATCAAAGGGGAAAAACTCTCATCGTCAGAATCGAACGGATTTGTAAGAGTTACAGGTGCATTGTCGTCCTGAACAGTATATCCTTCAAATATCTCCGAATCACTATAACAATAAGATTCTGCCAGATTTGGGATGTTATGAGATCTATCACATATATCAGAAGGCACACGAAAACATTCCGATCTTTTCACCTTGTATGAGGAAGATCGTTACCAGTGAATTTCTTTATAAAACACCAATCACCATCAACGGAAGCTATCAGTGTATCGCTGTCGAGAAGCATGTTTAGTTTTGTCTGAGTATACATTGTAAGTACACTATGTCACCTATTTCTATGGTTTCACAATTTGTGTTCGATATGACGAACACTTCGCCTTTTCACTATACGAGTGGTCTTTGTTTTTTTTTTGTTTCTAGCAGAATTTGAGTAAGAATAACATCTCTATCACTTATAGGGATTTGATGAAACAAAGTCCACAGTTCACGGGAAGAGATTCCTTTTCGTCTCAAACGGCAGTTAAGTGGTTCACGGCGTTGGCCAGTTGAACTTTAGAAATAGACTCGCCGCCATGCTGGACGCGAACTATCTCGTCCTCTAATTCAGCTTTGGCTTTTTCAGCGACCGGATTTTTGTTGGAGTTTTAACACGACCTATGTCTAATACTATATTAGCCTGTTTTAACTGCTCGTCATCGCGAAGCGCAACAAAGGCAGGTGCGGGATCAACTCTAATCACAGAAGAATGCATTATTTACTACGCTTCATGACATCAGCTGTGAATGATTATCCAACGGATTCTGGGGGATCCTCGCGTGACTGTTGTACTAATGATTTGGGGAGTTTCTTAAGGGAAGCACACGTGTGACACGAGCTAGTTGCACGCTCGATAGCATTGTTTATATCCAAAGCAAAGAAGTATCTTTGACTGAGGCTTGGTAGGGTGGTCAAGCTTGACGTGCATGGCGGTAAAAAGTCCATCAAGAACGGAACGTGGTACAACTTTTTGTTCTTTCTCGGAAGAGAATGGTTCAGAACGCTTCACAACTAAAATACCGTCTTTTGAAATATGAAACACCTGCAAGTACCGTTTAACATCTTTTATGTTAATTTTTGGAAGGTCTAGTCCCTTGCTTTAAGTGTGAGTGTACGCGACGCAAGTCTGGACATTCACCCTGGATGTCATGCCAAGCCGATCTAGTAGTAAAAGGTAAGCGGGCAGTGTCGTTGACAATATCGTCAACATTGACGGAACGCAGAACTGAATATTCCAAAGCGCGTATGATGGAACAAATCTGGCATCGTAAATCCGTACAATCTGGCGCGTTTCTACTGGCAAAATCGCTTGGTACGTTAGCAGAGCCTGCTAAATGTTGTACGGCCACCTGATATCTACTCAGTGATACAGAAATGACGTCACCCGTGGCCTGACAGAAAATTCACCCCTATAGAGCTTTTAAACTGACTGAACACAGGGCTGAATGTAAGAATGCATGCTGTTTTTGATGATTGCACAATATACGGACTGAAGTGTTTAATGGCTGTCTCGATACTCAATAAAGCCTAAATTTCACACGGTAGCCAGGTAACTTGGTGTCTGCGCAACTTCGCACTACAAAATCCTGCTAATCGTAGCGTGTTGTTTTGAATAACATACAACGTAGCACCAATACCACGCCTGGTTACCGATCCGTCTATTACAATCCACAATTTGCCATATGGTTTGGGGATGACGATTGACTTATGGTCATTTAATGCACGTTTTGCCCTTTCGAAATGCTCGAGACTTTGGTCATTCAATTGCATTTTGTCTTACAATTGAATACCGGCTGTCAAATGGTCTAGTGGGGCATGATAGATAGAACATTCAGGGACAACTTTGCTTAAGACTTTGAATGCTCAGATGAACGAGCTTAAACCGCAGACAGTTTCCGGAGGCTGACATGAAGTAAGCGTAGCTACACGGTGTGGGCTAGCAGACAAATTCCGTTCCGACCTAATCCAGTTTAGCACATTGGTTGATTTCGGGCAGGTCACTGTTTTTGATGGGGCTAGCTTGATGTTACTATTATCGAGTGCAGCGAGTAAACGACGCCAATTGTGAAGTAGCTGTTCATGTGTGTCACCGCCACAGTAAAGATCATCTGCAAGCTTGCAAACAATACCCTCCTGGAGTAGATCTCCCAGAATGCGTCACATGAGCTCCTCGAGAGCCGTCTCTGAGCCAGGCATTCCCATTGCACATCTGGTATATACCGGTACACGGATACCTTTAAATGGTGTAGACACTGCACAGTACTTAAGCGACTCACGGGCAAGAGGAATCTGATAGAATACACTTTTTAAGTCCGAAACTATCAAATACTGCCATTGGCCTATTGATCTTAGAACAGACTCAACGTCAGGCATAAACGAAGGCTGCGGCTTGCAATACCGCCCTACATCAGCGAATGCTGTCACCATTCTGAATCCGCCTTGTGGCTTTTTAACCAGGAATAATTGGTTAAGATGCTCGACGGTAACATTAGTATCTTCAGGTCGAGCAAACACGCCTCGTTCTTTCAGTTCATCAAATTTACTTTGAAGCTTGACAAGCTTGTCTCTAGAGTATTGCTGTACTCGTCCTTTCCTCTGAGGGGGCAAAACAGGCCTCATGTTACTGTTGCCTTCAAAGGGTCTACTGCTCCATTGTATCCAGTTCGGTCTGGGCTGAAAACATTTCAAACTCATTCAGAGTAGTGCGAAACTTCCGTTTGGTCTCATTGGTTAGAGTGTTATCCGGGTCAAGCACAACGGTTTTTGAGTAGTTGCCAGTATTCAAATGTTTTGACGATGTTTTAGTTTCTACATGGTCTGCAGAGCTTTCATATATATACTCTCCTGCGCATCGGTCGAATGTTTCACTATCGCTCACTTCTTACTTAACGTGAGTGTATTCAGTGAGCTGCGAAGGGAGCGTATCATATATAGTTTCAGTATGTCTTGCATTACACACATGCTCATGTCTTCAGTTGCTACGGGCTCACCAGTGGTATTAACGATACGAATCTTACCACCGACGGCTTTAACAATTTGGTTTGACAACCAAGAGTTGTGTTCACATTTTGGCTAAACAGCAAATGATCCCTCGGGATCGACATCACCGGAGTGTCCAATTCTACAAATAACCCAGGTCATGTAACCTGTGAAAACCCCGGAGCACGGATCACGAAGGAAACTTGGTCTCTGCGCACTCTGTGTTTAGAATCAGCATGAGAGGTTGTGCCGTAATGGACAATTTCACGATCATGTAAGACTATCTGCTGTTTTGCTGGGCGTGTTGAAATATCATTAGCGGCCATTAAGGTCACACCGCCAAGAATGTCTACATCTAAGACAGCAACTACAAGGGCATCCAACTGAAACTCAAAGGCGCCCCGGGACAAAGTAATGTGTGTTTCGCCGATAATGTCTAATGGGGTAACACCATCAGCTTGGGAAGCATATTGATTACTTTTCATGATGGGTGCGTCAATGTACTTTGCAAAAGAAGACTTGATCATACTTGATTCAGCACCGGTATCAAGCGTTATGGTAACAGGAAAGTGCCGATGAAACATTTTTATAGCTGGAGACTGTTTTGTGCCGACCCTACGTGTTACCGATGTGACTGTTTCTTGAGCACTGGAGATGCTTTCAGAGTCGGTTTCCGACTTAATGTCAGAGTCGATGACTGCCATTTGTCGCACATTCGTCATGTACTGTTTGTCTTCTTCAGGTAGGTATTTGCAGGCACTTAAGAAATGATGGAACTTCTGACTTCCAAACTGCTTACACAAAGGGCATTCTTTTTGCTTTTGTTTTTGTTTTGTATAACCAGGTTTATGGAATGTGGAACGAAGTACTTTTGTCTCGTTTGAAACTTGAATTTCGTCCAATAAGCTGTCAAGTGCCTGAGAAATTTCTGGTTTTAATGAAGCCAGCGTTTTTGACCGAAGCTCAGTGCCGTACCGCTGTTTTACCAGGATTGGTAAATTCTTATCAACAAGCCTGAGCCATGTCAACACAATCATATTTTCCAGAGTGCGCGATGAGATATTTAAGCGTTTAAATATGATTAACTGGGAGTTTTTTCGTTTAAATTAAAAATCATGGTCATACTACGTTTAGTAACTAGGTAGAAGTTTTGCGACATGTAGCGCTATTCTGTTAAATTATATTTTGCATAAATATTTACATTCCAAATTTATACCTGGGTTGTGAGTATTTAATTTTTACACATATATACTTTTCAATAGTTTGATTCGTGCCACTGATCTGAGAGCGTGCCCCTTTCATTAAGGTCTTTCAAATAGAAGAGAGGCCCTGATTTAATGGATCTAATTAAAGGCCTGTTAATTTAATTATAAGAAGAAAAAAACCAACTGATAGCTATATATCATTACATATATAGCATTACTTCTAAAAGGCCCATGTACTTCAAATAGGTTAAATTTTAGGGCTGTTGCTAATGTTGTATAACTTGTAGCCCAACCCATTTGTACTATACTTATATTTACATTTGTTTCTTTTTTGTGTGTGTTATTAATATCTGACATGTATTATATATAGTTGCAATTATATATATTATTAAATTAAAATTAGTTAAATTGTAACTTGTGTGTGCACAACGTGCACGGGTTTATGTTGCTCCAGATAACCTGTAACAGAAAATATAATTTGACTGCATTGTAATTCATTGATGCCAAATCAACTGTTTCGGTTCGACAAAGTAATATAAACATATGTATACTGTATTCTTTGATTGGCTTTTATTTAATTATAGATTGGGCACTGAATTATGTTAGCTACACTTCAAATGATCGTTTTGGGTCACAAATTTTTACACAAGAGTTAGCCAATTTTACTTATATTCATTTACACTTTTTCTTCCTTTTGTCGTGAATTTTTTTGGTCTACCCGCTGTCCTTAAAATATATAGTGTTCTTTAGCCTTAACAGCGGGGTGAAAATAATAATTTAGTGAAGTAATACCCGTTGGAAGGTAAAGGTCTTTTAAAAAGGGAGATCACTGTGTAAGTAAATCTACCATAAGGTCAAGGACCTTAACGTGCACAATAACAATGTTTACAAAATCAAGCAAACAGATTTTTCAGAGTTTAAACAAACTTACAAAGGTTTGTCTCTGCCAATATTCGACAAGGGAGTTTCGAGACCCAAGGTTAGTAATGTGCACAAACTGTCATCATTGCTATTTATTTAATATCGCCTAATTTGAGGGGAAAAAACACAACTTCCCCTGTTCCCATCTGCAGTGATCTGTCACCAGGTCATGTCTCATGATCAGGTCTAGTATATCGCCAGATTAGCGCATGATGCACCAGTATGTGTATGATGCACCAATTGGTGTATTTTATGATGCACCAATGGTGTACCAGACTATCAATAGTATCATGCAAATCTTTGAAGACCCATTATTCTGTGTTATAGCAACTGGTGTGAATTGTGGCACCTGCACTTACTTGAGTGGGTGGACCCACGCTCGACGTAAAAATACTATATTTGATATGGCAAATTTAAATCAACGTAAACAGACCTCAATGTTATATGCCAATTTTCAAGACCGATGATATTGTTTTAAATAGCCATTGTGTAAAATTCGCTAATCACATAATTAATGATGTGCATGGCTGGAGCTATAGATAGTCCGGATAAACAAGAGTTAGGTTTGAGTGAAATTGTACCATACATTGTAGCTCGGCGTACAATACTACATGATGCATGATTGTTTTTTGAATAAAATCTCTTTTATCTTATGAAGAAAACATATTGAATAAATAATATAACAACCAAATAAGGTTCATACATTTACAAGTACCCAACTTTTAGTTTAAATTTTACAGCCCCAGAACTCTAAGTGTTAAAAGATTTTAATAATTTATATGTTGCGGATTACATATGGTTGTTTGTCTGATATATGCATTGTCTTGTGACTCGACCAGCAGTGAACCACACCAGGATAAAATGGTGAAAGATGTAAATAAAAGCACCAGTGACCTAAATCGGAGATAACTCGAGACATTTTCAGATATTTTAAAAAAAATAGTTTTTACGCCAAGCATTGGTATGCACCGAGCATTGGTATGCGCCGAGCATTGGTATGCGCCGAGGATTGGTATGCACCGAGCATTGGTATGCGCCGAGCATTGGTATGCGCCGAGCATTGATCCAACCACTCTATAGATATTAATCATAGAAATATCCTGAAACTAAAGATATTGATGTAGGCCCCTAAACTAAAGATATTGATGTAGGCCCCTAAACACTGGCAATTCATGCACTTTTTTGAAAATCTGCATGATACACTAATTAGTGCATCCCAAAATTGGAAGTGGTTATTTTTTTGGACAATTTTATTATTTCTGATCAGAATAATAACTAGATATGAAAAGTGAAAATGAATTTATGTCTGAAAGTTACAATTTTTCAGTGAATGAAAACATTAAAATCTCCTGAAGTTCATTTAGATCAGAAGTTGTGTTTACTCTTAGTCAATAAAACAGACTATTATATAAACAATGTTATTTGCAGGTGCCAAAACATGATTATAAATAAACAATAAATTATTTACAGAAACGCATTTATCAAAATCTTTATTCACCAATCGGTGTATGATTAAATACACCAATTTGTGTATTATATGTACCAATTTGTGCATTATGCACTAAATCTGGCGATATACTAGACCTGATGATATGGCGTATGGAATTGACAGACACATTTCATGCACAAAACCTCATTGAACATTTTTAACAATACGTTATGTTACGTACTGGATGTGAAACTTCTATTTTATAAATCAAATCTGGACACATTACTTATTACTGTACATAACAACAGCTCTAATCAAATAGTGTAAACTGTACACTGATGTACTTCAGTACATGTAGTAGATATGTATGTTAAGATACTTGTATAGATTGAAAAAAAATTTTTGTAGCTTATAAGATACCAAATTCACTGACATGTAGTCACTTGTCATACAGGATTAAAGTTTTCTTTTTTCAAGAAGTTAGCTGTTTATCTTTTACAATCACTTTTTTCCATGCCATTGTGACAGTTAAGTAAAGGAAAATCTTGAATGAAGTATTTTCAATCATCAATATTTGAGCCGTGCCATGACAAAACCAACATAATGTGTTTGCGACCAGCATGGATCCAGACCAGCCTGCACAGTCCAGCATTTTTTTTCAATCTTTTGGGAATGGTGCAGGTACCAGACTGATTGGGAAAAAATGCGTTATTTTGACTTTAATTAGGAATTTTTATTATGCATTTTTTTATTAGACATCATAAATAAAGGTAGCTTAAACAGCTTCCACTGTCCAGGTAGATCTATTGAGTGGTGATTTATATGAATATCTTGGATTATAATGATTTGAGAGAAATCTCTTTCCCTTATGTGAATTTTGAACAGCCATTTTGAGAATTTAAACATTGGAAATTGGGAATTTTAATGTCTATTTTCTATTGGGAACAGTACCGTTTTAGGGTAGTAATGTTATATAAGGAAAGAAACACTGCAGTTTGATCAGGATCAATGCTGTTCACTATCAGTTCTTTACTTGTTAAAGTGTTTGTAAGCAAACAGCATGGATCCTGAACAGACTGCGCGGTTGCGCAGGCTGGTCTGGATCCATGCTGGTCGCAAACCCATTATGTTGGTTTAACTTTTGTAAGCAAACAGCATGGATCCTGAACAGACTGCGCAGCTGCACAATCTGGTCTGGATCAATGCTGGTCGCAAACGTATATGTTGGTTTTGTCATGGCGAGGCTCATTTATATGTACTAGATTCATGTCATGATATGCACAGATTTTGTTAAATGTGGTAAAAGTGTTTGTTTATTTTTAATATTCATTTGCAGGTTCTTCACACTTTATCAACATGCAAAGTCAAGAATGTTGGATGACCAAAGAAAAAGGTAATCTTAATATCATTCTTATATTGTATAATAACTAAATTTCATAGAATGTCAGAAGTTTCAGAATACATGTAGTTGTGGACTTTTGCATACATTGTAATTCTATAGTAGTTCAAATATTTGAGGTAAGCAGGCAGAATTTCAACCCACATCATGGACAACATGTACAATGTATATAGTTAGCATTTACCATTAACACATATTTAAAGGATATACATACATGTATAATAGATAATAATGTTCAATGTACATAGTCCAAATTTTAGCCCCTAATATGGGCCCAAATTGGCAAGCTTAATTATACTGATCAATTTAATTATATTTTTAGTGGTGTCCTGTCACACAAGATGGAGGTAAACAGAGTGCGACTACATTTTGAGATGACAGGCGATGGTGCCCACAATGTTGTGCTCATGCCCGGAGCTTTAGGTATTTGAATTTTACCATTAAGGGACTCCACTGGAATTACATGATGGGTCTTAGAATATTCATTCAAAGTTATTATACAATTTTATGAAGATCTTTACCAATATCTTGTGTGCAAAATTTCAAATTAATTGCTCACTCCATTTCTCCAGAATATTGATTCATTGTACTCATGCAAAATGGCCTAAAACTGAAAACTATTTGAATTGTTTGTATTTGTTACAACCTGCAGTTCATGACCCCATTAACTCCGCCTCAGGATTTTCAAATTTTTGACAGTTAACTGATTTGTTTTTTTTCACAAAGTACATTTAAGTGATCTTTTGTGATATTTTCTCTGCCATTTTATTTCAAATGTTGCAAAGAGGTTATACAAAAAGTTTTTAGGCAAAATACTTCTTGGTTATTTTACTATTTCAAAAAAGGGCTGTTAGATGTGAAGCATGTCAAAAATACCATGAAAATCTGCCCCAGCGCCATCTAGTGGCTTAAATAGTCAAGTTGCAGGTTTAACATCAAAGTCAATGCTTCCCAAATACCATTTACTTTTAGTTCACCTGTCATAAAGTGACAAGGTGAGCTATTGTGATCACAATTTGTTCGGCGTCCGTCTGTTGTCCGTCAGTCATCCGTCAGTAAACTTTTACTTTAAACGACATCTCCTCATAAACTGCTAAGCCAATTTCATCCCAACTTCGCATTTATATACCTTTGGTGGTCACCTTTTAAAATTGTTCAAAGAATTAAATTCTTTGCAGAACTCTGGTAGCTCTGGCAACTGAAAGAAAAAAATAAAAAAATCTTCTTTTAAAAAAAAAACAGAGAGCAAGAGCTTAGTTTTTTTTGGCAGGAACATCTTGTAATGAGTGTCTACCAAGTTTATTCAAATGAAAGCCCTGAGGTCAAAATTTAAGATTTAGATTTTATGTCTGCTTTTGTTTATAGTTACAATATTACTTGTTCCTTGTCATGGAAACATTCTATATTCAGATGAGCGATTTTAGGTCCATCATGACCCTCGTGTATATCTTGTTCAGTTAATGGAGAAAATTTGTCAAATTTTTATTTTAAATAATCTTGAATGGAATGTTTCACATAGAGAATGTATATTTAAAGGGACTTCACGAAGGTTGTGTAGCATGACTGGACTGATGTGTATATTGTAGGTATAAAACTTTGCAATATTCATAAATTTGTTCCTGGATTATTTTTTCATCTTAAATAGCCTTCATTTTGGTTATTCTGGCCAGCCGGAATAGCCAGATATGGAGGTGATAAGTAATTTGAAACTACATTATGGAATTTACCAATTGTCCAATTGCAAAACTTTTCAGTATAAAATCAGACAAAAATTTTCAATTGTATATTTTTGAGTATATTTTTTTTGATAATCTTTTGTATACCATGTATCTAAGTGCCCCAGCTGATCTATGTAAGAAATTCAAATTTTATGATTTTAGGTTTTTGGAACTCAGTGGTGTTCCTTTAAGAATCACAAAAAAACTTATTGTAACAAACCTTCTTGAGTATTTAGATACAGAGCAAAATCTTACCAGAATACCGGTATGTGACAAGAACTGATTGCAGAATGAAACAAAGTTGTTCTATGTTTTGTATGGTTGCTGTATGTTAGACTTGAAATTAAATACATTTTGTTTGTCTCTTAAGAAAAATTATTTTCCTTTGGTGAACTGTGTTTGTGTTAAAATCTATCAACAGTAAAATTATATTGTTTCCATAATATCGTGCTCGATTATTAAAAGAGTTAAAGTATAGAGTGTCTCTTGTTAACACAAATAAATATTGTATATAAACAAAATAAATTGTTCCAGAAAAAAATAGTACAATGTATGCTGCTATTTTACATAAAGTTTTAACCATTAAGCAATCACGATTTGCTTTGAGGCAGTTTTCTGTGATGACAAGAGTAAAAAAAAAACAGACAACCTATCATTATATTCAGAAGAGAAACTCGAGAAGATCAGGGACCTGGAATTGAGCCATATTAAGGTCATGTGACAAATTAAGGTCATTCCTCATATGACAACAGTCCTGATGGAGATCAGTGTTTTGATCAAAACATTTTGGCTTTAATTTATCATCTAAACCTATCAAGTGGTGATGTGTGGTTTCTCTTAGATCTTCCCTGCCCTTAATTAGTACTAGTTAATGCCAGTTAGTTTTTTAGATTCAAAAGATGTTCTAATTACTTTCATTAACCTTTTTCCACAGCAAATAAATTTTGAAATAACCAAAAATGCTTGAAAACAAAGTGATCTGAGATTATTGACCGCCACGTTGCTTTGCTGTGTATATGTGTATACTGATATCATCTTCCATGTAAATTTTAATTATTTTTCAGGCTGTTCCAGAACAGATTTCTCACACCAATTGTCAAACTTCAATAAGCAGGATTTCACTTTGATAGCCATAGACCCTCGTGGATATGGTCAGAGTCGACCCCCAGACAGAGACTGGCCACTGGAGTTCCTGCAGAGAGATGCTGAAGATGCTATGGAACTTGTCAGAGTAAGAATTTTATGATAATGAGGACATATTCACATTGTTTTTTCGAGGAGTTAATAATGACTGATTTGCCTTATATATATGTCTATAGTAAAAACTTAAAAAATCTTCTTTTAAATAACCCATAGAGCTAGAGCTTAGATATTAAGCATGAAACATCTTCTAATGAGTGTACCAAATTTGTTCAAATAAAAGCCCTAGGGTTAAATTGGCTCGGCCCCAGGGGTCATTGACTTTCATTATATGTACTGTAAATCCTGTATTTTTTGTGATGTTTTAATTTTCACTATTTCTTTTGGGGCGAAAGGCGCTCCACTTAAACCTTTTGACCTATTTCTCAGATGAGCTATCAAGGACCCTCTGGGCCTTCTTGTTAGTTAAATGATGGTGATTTAACTTTTTTTTAGGCCATTATTTAATATATTTAACCCTTAACCTGCTGATTTTCTTAAATGAGCCGTGTCATGACAAAACAAACATAATGGGTTTGAGACCAGCATGGATCCAGACCAGCCTGCGCATCCATGCAGTCTGATCAGGATCCATGCTGTTCGCTATTTGTTTCTCTACTTGTAATAGAGTTGGTAAGCGAACAGCATGTATCCTGATCAGACTGCGCGGATGCGCAGGCTGGTCTGGATCCATGCTGGTCGCAAACGCATTATGTTGGTTTTGTCATGACACGGCTCAAATGGACTTTTCCAATTTTCATTCTGGAACAGTCCATTATCAATTTTAGATATATCAAGGTGAGAATTTGATGTCAGCCAGCCACCAGTATAGAGCCAAGCCAGACTCACGCAGCATGGATGTGCAGTCTGGCCTGGCTCTATACTGGTGGCAAAGACTTATCACTTTCGCTTTCAGCAGGGTTAAGGTTAATGTTTAGCTTGTGAAGTTGTAAATCTATTTTCAATTCAGAAATTAGGTGTACATAAGGTGTCAATATTAGGATGGAGTGATGGAGGAATATCGGCAATGATAGCAGCAGCTCGGTACCCGGACGTTGTTGACAAACTGGTTATCTGGGGTGCTAATGCCTACATTACAGGCAGGGATATGGCATTTTATGAATGTAAGTATTTTACATAATAGAAAGATCGGCTTGTTTTACCGACGACAATGTTATATATCTATAGATACTGCATCTAATCCTTTGTGCATATTTTAAGCAGATGTGAGTCAGAGCAAGAAATTTAAAGAAAAAATTTACAGGGATGACTAGTAATACATTATGTTTTTGTGAGAACATTGAAGCAAAGTTAGTTAACAGTGTTAATATAAAAGAGGGGATATACAGTTAAATTGAGTAAGCAAATGCTAATCCTTGTAGAACTCTTGGCATAGTTTAGCTACATCTTGCCTATAACCTTATTCAGTGATCTAAGGTAGAGGCCTGGACATTGATAGCCGGAAATGATGGTTGCTAGGTAAAAAGAGGATTTATAATACATGTAGTTACATGGAGTATGGATCTGTATGTAGTGGGATGCATTTAAAGGAATATGTTTTCTTATATAAACATTTTAGGCTGTTTATGTAAATGTTTGATTTAGTAATACCAGTTTAAAATCACATGTTAACATACACTTAAGTTTGTGATGTTAAATGCACCATAAGTTTTTTTAGCAGTTGCCCAAACAGGACATTAAAAAAGAAGCATCTACTTTGTATATGCCAAACCATGGAAAGGACGTAATAAAATTAAACGTTTACCTTTCTCACTTTAAAGGCCCATTATGCCCAAGAAATGTTTTTGGTTTTATTTCTCAAAAGCTTTGTATTTTTCTGTTCTTGTATAGTTTTCAAAAAAGTTACTCATTGACCAATTATCTGAACCATCTTTTTCTTTTTGGCAATTTGTACAGTTATAGTGCTTAAGTATTTTCTATGCAAGTCAAGATATTTCAGTGTTTTTACATTTTGCTACTAACAAGTTATTTCACATTCACAGCTACATTTTAGGTTATTAAATCTATCAACGCTAAATTGGAAAGAAAATAACTTACACTAGGTAAAATCACTTCTTTTCTACACTTTACAATAATTTTTCAGATTAGAACAGAATTTTGATTTTCATAAAAATACAATCTTGAGACATGTAGCTTTTTAATATATAAGGTAATATGTTTTTTTTAACACAACAGCAATCAGGGACATTTCAAATTGGAGTGAGAAGATGCGTGTACCATTTCTAGCAATGTATGGCGAGAAATACTTTCGTACACAGTGGAGTAACTGGGTAGATGCTTATCAGAACTACTTTAGTAAACGAAATGGTAGGTACATGTAACAGTCAATCCCATTTATGTTGTTTAGGTATAAAGATACAATGAACATGTATATCTCTACTGCCTGCATTTTGCAATATTATTTGTTTCAATTTTGAAAAAGAATAGTTTCAAAATGCCTGTATGAAAGAAATATGTTGGTATATTTCCTAGTGAGTGAAAGGCAAATTCATGAAATAATTGTTCAATAGTTAAATACTAACTTTTAATAGCAGCATGATATTTTATACCAGAACATTTTATTCTATTTGTGGACTTGGTAATAACATGATATGTGAATACATTCTGGGCAAATAACATGATAATGATGAATTCTCTCTGAACAATAACATGATAATGATGAATTTTCTCTGAACAATAACATGATAATGATGAATTTTCTTAGGGCAAATAACATGATAATGATTAATTCTCTCTGGCCAAATAACATGACAGTAATGAAATCTGTCTGGGCAAATAACGTGATAATAATGAATTCTGTGTGGGCAATAACATGATAATGATGAATTCTCTCAGGGCAAATAACATGATAATGATGAATTCTCTCAGGGCAAATTACATGATAAAAGTGAATTCTCTCAGGGCAAATAACATGATAATGATGAATTCTGTGTGGCCAATAACATGATAATAATGAATTCTGTCTGGGAAACAACATAATGATAATGAATTCTGTCTGGCCAATAACATGATAATAATGAATTCTCTCTGGGCAAATATAATGATGAATTCTGTCTGGGCAATAACATGATAATAATGAATTCTCCTCTGGGCAATAACATGATAATAATGAATCTTGTCTGGGCAATAACATGATAATGATGAATTCTGTCTGGGCAATAACATGATAATGATGAATTCTCTCAGGGCTAATAACACGATAATGATGAATTCTCTCAGAGCAAATTACATAATAAAAGTGAATTCTCTAAGGGCAAATTTCATGATAATGATGGATTCTGTCTGGGCAATAACATTATAATTATGAATTCTGTCTGGGCAATAACATGAAAATGGTGCATTATGTCTGGGCAATAACATGATAATGATGCATTATGTCTGGGCAATAACATGATAATGGTGCATTATGTCTGGACAATAACATGATAATGATGAATTATGTCTGGGAATAACATGACAATAATGAATTTTGTCTGGAAAATAACATGAAAATGATGAATTCTTAGGGCAAATAACATGATAATAATGAATTCTCTCTGGGCAAATAACATGACAGTAATGAATTCTGTCTGGGCAATACCATGATAATGATGAATTCTGTCTGGGCAAATAACATGATAATGATGAATTCTGCCTTGGCAAATAACAAGATAATGATGAATTCTCTTATAAAAGTGAATTCTCTCTGGGCAAATAACATGATAATGATGAATTCTGTCTGGGCAATAACATGATAATAACAAATTCTCTCCGGGCAATAACATGATAATGATGAATTCTCTCTGGGCATATAACATGATAATAATGGTGAATTCTAAGGTGGCAAATAGCATGATAATGATGAATTCACCTCGGGCAATAGCATGATAATATTGAATTCTCCACGGGCAATTACATGGTAATAATGAATTCTCTTCGGGTAATAACATGATAATATTGAATTCTGTCTTAGGAATAACATGACAGTGATAAATTCTCTCTGGGCAATATTATTTGGCAAAAAAAACCCAGAAAGTACATATCTTTTATTTGTGGATAATCCAGGATTGATCTAAAAGCAGAATAATTAGTGTCCTATGATAATGTTGTATATAACTTCAGGAGATATTTGTATGGCGGAGGTGGAGAAGATAAAGGCTAAGACGTTGATTGTACATGGAATGAAGGATCCACTTGTGCCTTTAGAACACCCAGACTTCCTCCATCATAATATCAAAGGCTCAACGTAATTTATAAATTGATATCTTACTAACATAGTACACTTAGTTTAGTTCAATTATAGTGCTAGATTAATAGGTTTTTCTCCTAAACAAAAAGCATTTACAATTTAGTTACCTCCCCCAAACCGAATGGATATATGCTATATAGTGTTTTCTATGTGTACTATTAATGTTCTTTGGTGCTTAGAGTATTCATTCTAAGTTTTTAATGTGGCTAAAATGAATGATTTAATATTATGCACATTAGTATCAATTCATTAGAACAATATCCTGCAATCCATAAATTTTGTCTGAATTATTCCTAAGCCTTAAAGTGACATTATGCTCATAATTTCATAGTCAAGTTGAGCTGAATCAAAAGATTGACTGTTAAAAATGGTGTTTGATCAACAGTTTATTTTGGAAAATGTTTAGGATAAAATTTAAAATCTGCCTAAAATATAAAAAGACTGCCCCACTCTTTTTATAAACTAAACGTTTCAGGTAAGTTCTAATTGATATGTACAGAAATTCCGTTTCGATCCAGTCTACTGTATAGTCTATATGAAGTAAAGTACTCAATTAAAAAGAATCATGGCATCTAAAAACTTTTTCTGACTTTCACCTGTTCACTCACTGTATACCCTCGAATGAGCATAATGTCAATTGAACTTACTTAAATTTCCAGAATCTTAATTTGAGATCCCACTGCCAAGAGGTTAGGTCCTCTTGGAACTGAAATAATGCATATAGGGGCAGATGACGTCTTTCTCCCTCAACAAACCTGAGTAATCATGTTATGACTTGTGCAGTGTCTGTGTGACCAGAAACAGAAACTATTTTAATTAAAATAATACTCAACCAAATACAGAAAAAGAAAGGACACAACACAAAGAATTAAAATTAAAAAAAAAAATTCTACTTTCATCAGCAAGAAACTGCAAACTTCTCCACAAAGGTGTCAATACTGGATTTTTGTTGTTGTAAGGTTTTAAGTCACTTAAAAACAGAAAAGAATCATTCAGGACTTTCCAGTTTTAATAAGTTCAGGACAATCTCAGGTGCCACCTTATGCTTTATTTCAGGCATGAATGTGCACAAGAGTAGAACAACCATTCCATAAGCTAGCTGGATAACTTCCTCACATGAAAGAATTTCAAGTCCCTTGTTGGATTTGAACCCACAGTTGTGAGGGGACAAGTGGTTTGAAGTCAGTGCCACTAACCACTAGGCCATGGACGGCTCAATACTGTATATAAACTATATGTATGATTATATTGTTGTGAATATATGTAAGATTTATATTTTTATCTTCAGGTTGAATATCATGCCAGAAGGAAAACATAATATACACCAGAAATATCATAGAGAATTCAACTTCCTTGTGGAGCATTTCTTGAGGCAGTGAAAGTACTGATATTAAACTGAAATTGCAGGTTTGAAACTGAAATGATAGGCATGAAACTTGATTTAATTTATAGAAATATGAAATGTAGGCATAAAACTGAAATTGTAGATGCAAAACTGGAAGAGCTGAACCCAAAATACAGTGTGCTGACATATTAAGAGTGATATTTCAGACATAAACTGAACTGAAATTATAGGCATAAAGTTTTGAGCATAAAAATGGAATTTTAGACATAAATATGAAATTATAGACATAAGAAAGGAATTGAAGATGTAAGACATAAAAATGGATTTGTTTATAAAACTTTAATTGAAGAAATGGACATGAAAGTGAAATTATAGACATAAACTATGACATTTTGAGCATAAAATTGGAATCTTAGACATGAATATGAAATTATAGACATAAGAAAGGAATTGAAGATGTAAGACATAAAAATGGATTTGTATATAAAACTTAAATTGAAGATATGGACATGAAAGTGTAGCTATAAAGCTGGCTTTGTGAAAAAAAATGACTATTTATGACTTACAACATTTCTTCGGATTTGTATATAAAACTTACATTGAAGATATGGACATGAAAGTGAAAGAACATAAATATAGCTATAAAGCTGACTTTGTGAAAAACACTGACTATTGACGACTTACAACGTTTCTTCATGGTAATTGATACAGATTTTTAAAAAAATGATTTTTTTAACTTTTTTTGTACAATTTTACAAAAACCAAATTAGTTTGGAAAAAGAATAACCATATTTTTTTCAGCACAAATTAAAATTTTTGTTCTGATTTTGTTGATTCACTTGTTTCAAAATGATAATGACAAAAAAAAATGTCAGGGAAAGGACATTTTAAATTTCATATGATTAATGCACTGCACATGTTGAACTGAAATTATACAAAGTAAGTGTGCATATGGTATATTATAGATTATATCATATTATAAATGTCCCTCCATTTTTATTACAATTTTTTTAGAATTAAATTATTAAGACTCATATTTTAAAGCAAAAATTTGTGTGTATTTTCTGTTATGTATATAGTTAAACTGTTTGTTTTTCTGACATTGTTTATAATTATGGCAAATTTGGTGCAAGATTATGAAAGCGTTATACATTTCTGTGGAAGTAATTAGTTTTTTACTGATAAAAATGTACATTATTGAAATGCCTAATTGAAAGATACTTTTAGATCTATGAATTCAAGTGGCTGTTGAGTTGTCAGTGCCATTAGTATGTTAGGGTGGGGCCCAGTTGTTATAGCAACAGACTAGTTATCTAAGGACAGAGACATAGATAACAGAGATTGGCAACTTCCTAGCCAGTTAAAATATCACGCGTGCGTGCTAAACTTAAAACTTGTTGCAAATAAAACTTATTAACCAGATATCAAAATCAGTAAAATAATACATTTTCTAAAAGCTTATTCATTACAAGTCTATGGCTGCAGGTAAAAATATTTACAGTTCCCATTTAAATAAATGATACATCAATTTTTAAAGAGAACTCCTTAATAATTTTTTTTACAAAACTGTTCATATGACGAAAAAACAGGCTAAGTGGGTATGTTCTGCTATGTTTTTCTAAGTGAAAGGTATGGAAAGTTACTAATATTTTAACATTCAGCAATAGATAAAAGATTTACCTTTCAAATGGTATGTGATAATATTAAAGGATCAAATGTATATCCATTAAGTTTTATTTGCTACAAAATGCCTAATTTTTCACTTTTTGATAGGCATGAGTGATATTTCAATGGAGTATATAGGAGCTGCTTATCTCTGTTATCTATGTCTCTGCTAAGGATCTCTGGTGGCGTAGATTCAAACCTCTCCAGGGGCATGCCATTCTTTCCTGGTGTAAAAAACCTTACACTACTTGATGGTTGATTCCTGACACAGATTCAAGAGTGTGACTATAAACTTATTACTTCATACACAATCAAACTAAAATTATTTAGTTACATATAAACAAATGCCACGAGTATTGATTGAAGCCAGTATATTGTATGAAATTAGTTAATATAACTGTTCTAGTATCTGCCTTGATTTGAAAATGTTACTAGTATAAAGTCAAACCAGTCTATATTTTATATGATGTCACCAAACTCCTCACAGTGACAACCTCCCTTGGCAGAATTGTAATCATTGCCTTCCCAGACATCACATGACAATAAAAGTCACATGACTTAACATCAAAATTCGTAAATATCGACAGTTAATACAACATCATTTTTCTCTTTCTGTTTTATATTTAACTTTTCGTATCTACATTTATTATAGTTTATCAAAAAATTATCAAAAGTATACAAAATAATGAAAAATAATTTCAAAAGCTAAAAAATATGAAGTATCAAAATGTTGTAAAAATGTTTGTGGTGGCAGAGAGATCTGTATTGATAAGGGGAGATCACTGCGTAGGAGATTGTGACATCACTTGGACAATATATTAGTTGCTGTAATGATTTGAAAATGTTATCAGCAATAGCAGTCTTTACTTCTTTGTTTGTGAAATAATGAAACAGTTCGGTTTAAAATCTGATTTTACATTAATTTAAAACTAGATTTTTCATGTTTAACGTGAAAATTGTATCAGACTAGTTCTTTATAGTTTACTTTAAAGATTGTAACTATGTTATACAGATTGTTTTCTCATTGTGGGTGTATTATTGAAAATGTAGGTGGCAATTAAGTTTTAAATTTCGCAAGAAAATTTTTGTTTTTTGTTTTGTTTTTTTTTCTCACAGTGTATTATGTAAAATATGTTAAAAGCATGGCCTATAAAGGGTTGCTACCAATTTTCAGAACTCCTGGCACACTTCTGTTGGTCACATTAAGTAAATATTTCAAGAAGAAATTATTGAAATGTGTGGCAGTTTTAAATGTTTTGTTTGATTAATTTTGTTATTGAAATGATCTATTCTGTACCCATAAAGTCAAGTGTCGGCTTTGAAGAAATCACATTTTAAAATGAATAAAATCCTCTGATATTAACTAGAATGTTTATGTTACACAGTGTAGTAGATTTATATATTTTATTTGATTGTAGACATTTTCTTATTTTGTATGGTTGTTTAAAGTGAAATTATTAAATAATTTTTAAAAAAAACCAACATAGTCCTGGAAATATGTTTGTCCCATTGCTTGTGGGTGGATGCCCATTCTACATTGGTGCAAAATATCATCTTGTAGTAGTATTTAGTAAAACAGTAGCCTGGCCGGAACTTGAACATGAAACCTCCTAAATAACTACCTGCAGCTTTACTGACTCAGCTTACTGACTGCACATTATGCTTTAAAAATTTAGCCGCGCCATGACAATACCAACATAGTGCGTTTGCGACCAGCCCTATTACAAGTAGAGAAACTGATAGCGAACAGCATGGATCCTGATCAGACTGCGCAGATACGCAGGCTGGTCTGGATCCATGCTGGTCGCAAACACACTATGTTGGTTTTGTCATAGTGCGGCTCAATTATTTTTCTGAACTTTTTTCGAAAGGTTTTATATTGTTTAAATAATTATTTAAGAGTATGATAGATGAACTTTGTTACATTAAGACAGTAGCGTTAAATGAGAAACTTTTTTTCATAAAAGTAGCAATGTGAACAAAGAGCTATATTTTATTTTGACTTCCATGTTAAGTAACTGCAACGGTACTAATTGTCAAAAAGGCAAAAGAAAAAAATGGTGCGAGTAATTGGCAATGTGTAACTTTTTAGAAACTATAAAAGTACCCCAAAAAAAAGATTTTAAGAAAAGAAAACATTTTTTGGCATAATGGGCCTTTAAAATTATACTTTTTTTTTGCACTCATAAATTCAAAGATTACCTTTACATGGTAACACTTGAAAGCAGCTAATTAATTACAGAATGAGAAATCCTGCAATACTGGTATATACTTGGTAAAAATAGTGAAATAGCTTTCCATTCTCTACCTTTGAGGTAAAGCTGCCACTTTTTTAATAAATTCATAAAACACAAGGACAATCATGCATTCACTAGTTTCCTTTGCTTTCCAAATCTTTTCACACCAGTTGCTATGCAATCTTTTGCTTGGCATTACTGAAGAAATATATGAGCCGCGACATGACAAAACCAACATAATGGGTTTGCGACCAGCATGGATCCAGACCAGCGCAGTCTGATCAGGATCCATGCTGTTCGCTATCAGTTTATCAACTTGTTATAGGGTTTGTAAGCGAACAGCATGGATCCTGATCAGACTGCATGGATGTGCAGGCATGTCTGGATCCATGCTGGTAGCAAACCCATTATGTTGGTTTTGTCATGACACGGCTCATATTAATATCACGTGATCAGATTATGCTAAAAGTACAACTATGCAAAAGTAATAGTTTTTACTTTTTTAATTTTTACTAACAAAGAGTTAATCATTACATATGTAATACAAATTCCATGCACATAACATTCTCAAAAGATTAAATAACGAACATTGCACTGGTGTAGTATTAATGCTCTGATGGCACTAATTTTTAACTCCTAAATTTGTGAATAAATAAAAAAAAAGCAGAATGGATTTAATAAATATTGACAAATTCAGCCTTCCAAATCAAAACAAAATGGTTTGATATTTTCAAGTCGTTAAAATAAATAGTTGCAGAAAAAGTTCAAACGTTTGTGGGGTTTGTAGTTTATAATCGAAACATATTCATTGGATGAAAACTGTATGAAATACAAAAATGTGAGATTGTTAATCATATTATTATATATCATGAATAATAATTTTGAACATCAAATGTCACTACTAAATACGTAAGAATCGTTAAAGTTTTACAAATGCAAATAATCGAAATGATCTAAAATGATTTTAAATATTTGAGCAATAATCTTGTGTAAATGATCTTATGAAAATAAGTTTCAAAAAAAGATATTGATATTGTTTCCACGTCCTATGACAATTTTGACAATTTAATCATGTTAGAATATGTCTTCCACGGTCTGGAGGCAGGAACTCTGTCGATCGTATGCACGCATATACACTTAAAGCTGAGAATGAGTTTGGGTGTAATTTATAAAATGTCCTAAATGAGAGGTTGATCTTATTTGCCAGTTCCATAGTTGGCTCCTCCTGCTTTCATACATTCTTCCTTTATGTTGTCTTCCTTCACCTCGTGTATATCCTCAAATAACATTTCTACAGCAAAATTCTATAAATAGAACAAAAGTCTATAAATAGATCAGTAGCAACTATAAATAGAACGAGAAATTCTATAAATAGAATAGATGAAGTTTACAAAGTTAACAAGATTGTTTTTTTAAATGATCAGTTTATAGCATTTATCAAGTTTACTCAATCCTAATATATTGATGCAATAAAAACTTAATCTGTTATATAATATATATTATTATTATTATTATAAAGTTTCTTTTGCAAGACGTTACATTTCATTTGTTTTAAGGCAGACAGAAAATACGGATTCTGTATCGAACTTCCGACTGTCATATCAACCAATTAAACATGGCTTTTAGACCAACCAAATGAAAAAAGGATTGTCTTTTCGTAATCCACAAGATAGACCATTTGGCGCACAAACTATTAAAAGAACTTAATGCAGCAAATTTTAAAATAAACAACAACAACAAACAAAAACAAACTTCAGTTTGTTAATATATTTGCAGCCGTGTTTTTAAGTGGATCATGGGGGTAAAAAAGGGCCCATATGTCTGTTTCGCTGAAACGTTTTTGTTTATTGAACAAAGAAAATAATATAATTATAATGAAATTAACATACCAAAAATACTTGTTTTACAAAAGCCTTTTCCGTACTCATCTTAGCCTTCTTCATTGTGGAGACACCTGGACCAGACCAGATTAAGAGAGCGAATTTCATTCGTTTACTCATCTCGTCTCCAGTTTGTACTCTAAGGAATGCATATACTCGTTCGTCCTCTGAAATATCGTACTCAGAAATAAATACATTTTTAAGAGTTTTCTTTTTATAACATCATTAGCCGTTTAAGTGTTAGTAACGCAAATAAGCCCGAAGTTATGAAGCAATTTACAAAGCTTAAACTCATGTACTTGATTAAAGTCAGAAACCAGATCAGAATGCGCACTGACCAATAAAAGTCCTTGCTATCGAGACAAAGTTAAGCTAAATGTTTAACAATCTCGGGAGGGGGTATATGCTTATGGTTATTTGTTTTTTCCTACTGTTTTTGAAAATTTCAACCAATCCTTTTAAACTAAGTGTCTATGCTAGATTTCGCTCTCTGTCTTTCATTCGTAGAAAGGCTCTGTCTCATTTTCCCGCTAGTAAATTCAATATGCATGGAAAGTAAATTATCGCAACATTTTTCCCGCTTATCCAAACGACTATCGATATTTTGAAATTTCCGGTTTTACTTCTTGACCGCCCCCCCCTCTTGATATCGTCATTTTATCTATAAAGTTGCACGTTGAACTTATATCCTGCTTATACAGTGTGAGTTGACATTGTTAGTGGTTGATATCAATAAATACACAAACAAGCCTTGTTCAATGGATATTGAATGATGACCTCACCGTGACTTATTTCATATACACTTTAACATATGCTTTCCTTTTTTTGTATCCAAACTGAATATCATGGTGACTTATACGGAAGCGTAACTATGCCATCACTTAATTATTGATACAGTTTCATAAATTTCGAGAACATCATGGCCGGGCGGGGGAGGAATCTGGTCGCCACTTAATTGGAATTGTACGATAGTATATCAGAGATCTAGAAAAATGACAACCATGGTAAATTATCCATCACTTTTGTAAGACTATAAAATAATTATATCTGGGCAGGGTTTGACTATATGTGTACATCATATGAGCAGAATCGCTTTAATTTATCTCTGATATCTAATTGAAACTAAAATCCTCTATCGTAGTATATAGATACGTATATACAATACATGTATATCTTATATATAGCGATTTCAAACGATAATGTGCTCATATTTCTGACACTATCCACATTTGTTGACGTTCTTCTCACCATTTTAACCATAATAATTATTTTGATATGGAGTTCTCATACTTCAATTGATTTGTGTAACCTTTTTGAAGATACCAATAGCGTATCATAGCAATTTTATTGAACTTATATAACATTCCTGTACGGATTTTGACGAAGTGTGGCGAAACCATGCGAACACTAGGCAAATTAGACTTCTCAATTAATGCAGCATCAATATCAGGTAACGTCAGAAATAGGGTGATGAAATTATGAATCTAGACAAATTTTGCAACATGATATTGATTGTGACTACGTACATGTATAAACTTTTCATTTTTCTCATGTTTGATTTGTTTTGAAACTTTGTTAGCTCTTAATGAGACACAACCCTTTAAACAAGTAAACGTGGAGACCTGCACCTTTAATCGTTCATGAGTATGAGCATGTAATTAAACTACATACTCTTAAAGAAGAAAATGGACAGAAAATGAAGGTTTTGTATAATAAGACAGACAAAACGAAGCAATTTTCTTCAACATATGATTATAATCGTCTGCTGCATATAGCATTGCGTATTGTTATGCGTGAGCCTTTAAAAATCGATAAATACAGACCGCGAGCGAAATGGGCCTTTAATGTAAACTGAATGCATCATATATTACCCATAAAATTTGAATTTAACTGCAAAGTGATTCGCAAACTATTTACAACCAACCATGTCGTAAAATATAGTTTACATTATAATATTGTAGAATAATTGTGCTGTTACTTTTATTCAGATATTAACTACGTCACAACGTGTCCTGCGGTTAAATATTACCAATCTTTACATTCAAAGTACACTTTAACCTGCAATTTGACTCGTAATTACATTTGATCTGTTCAAATTTTAAAACTTGACTGTACCTCACGCTGCGAACATTTTGTTTGATACCCCTGTAGGTTATTTGAGCACGACAAAACCAACGTAATGCGTTTGCGACTAGCATAGATCCAGAACAGCCTGCGCATCCGTGCAGTCTGATCAGGATCCATGCTGTTCGCTATCAGTTACTTGTAATAGGGTTTGTAAGAAAACAGCATGGATTCTGATCAGACTGCGCGGATTTGCAGGCTGGTCTTGATCCATGCTGGTCGCAAATGCATTACGTTGGTTTTGTCGTGACGCGGCTCATATTTTAAATTCAACATTCACCCAATGTTTCAACTGTTAAACAAGATTTGATTTTGTCAAGTAGAAACTCATCAACAAGTCGTTGAAAGTATACATTTTAAATCATTTTGTTAAATTTTGTGCATCATAATTAATCATCTAAATATTTTTTTTTGTAAACTGAAATGTCGACACGTGTCACTTCTGCTTATCATTTCAGAAACTGGCATATATACCGACCTTCCGAAATCTGGCTTATTAATTAATACCTTATAAATTTATCAAAATCTCATGACAGTGTGGACTTGTCGGGAATTAAACCTTTACTAATACTTGATTGTTGGACCAGAGAGCACAGCTACAACCATGGCACGCATGGTTTTATACAGTACCGTCCATGAAACCGAGCCTGCAACATGTTCAATTTTGTCGTTGTGGGCGTTATTTAGGGGATCATTCCGATTTCCTCTTCAATTTTTATAGAGTTTTTACATTACAAATTTAGCCTAATATGTATCTAGGATATATATATACTCGTTCAAATTTCTTAATTACTGCTAATCCGTTCATCAAATTCAAAGATACCATACATGTGTTAAATTATATAATGTACAAGGAAGTTGGAAAATACATTTCAAAGACACAATAAAGGATGTTCTTTTTTGTACAGAAATGCACCCAATAAACTAACAGGTGTAAGCGGAGTCATATCAGATAGTTTCTTACCCGTGAATTGCATTAATTTTGTGCTCTCAACCGCATACTTCAGTGTTCGATTGAAGTTTTAGAAAATTTTCAGCGAGTTATCAAACAAAGGTTAGGTATAGGATATGTAAAAATTACAACATTAAATAAATACTATGTTTTAATACATTTTACATTACAAATAATTGTTCAACTGTACGTTTTTGGTTTAGTTTTACGCCACACCAACCCTTTCCAGTTTTAGTGGTTGTGGAAGACATCAGGTGCCCTTCCGTACATGTACATTATTTCTGGCACGAACGGGCACCTGTATAGAACAACCGTCGTTAGCAGAATAGTTCATTCAACTAAAAGTGGCAAGAAGACATAAATGGTGAATTGTACAACACAAATGCATGATGATTTCTAAACCTGATGGAATATATTTACAATGATGACTGGGTTAGGACCAATAATGATACAAGTGTAAGCATTATTATGCAATATACATGAGCTGCGTCACGACAAAACCAACATAATGGGTTTCCGACCAGCATGGATCCAGACCAGCCAACGAATCCGCGCAGTCTGATAAGGACCCATGCTGTTCGCTGTTCAGTTTCTCTACTTGCAATAGGGCTGGTAAGCGAACAGCATGGATCCTGATCAGACTGCGCGAATGCGCAGGCTGGTCTGGATCCATGCTGGCAGCAAACCCATTATGTTGGTTTTGTCGTGACGCGGCTCACATGTACTAGCTGGGTTAGGATCAATATTTGAATCACCTACCGCCAAATTTTGATTTAAGCTCTTCAAAGTCTTCTCCTTTACTGTCGAGGGCAAGATTATTGCTTTCGTCATACTTTAAGCAACACCTGTAAAATAAAAAAGAATATTAGTTCAGAGTCTGTAGTAATTCTACAATTTATAGATTTGCATACTGCCAGTTGGTATTCCTTTCAACAATGTGTCCAGGACTACTTTCAACTGGATCACAAAATGATGTCCGAAAACATGTCAGTTTTCATCCGATAAATACGCTATGACATACTTTTATAAATCACTGATTCAGTAAGATTTATTATAAAAGACCCAGCAATTTATCATCGTTACAATAACACCATACTAAAAAGAATACCAGCCCTCTGTTATTCAGTCAAATCACTTTAATTAAGTCGAGTTATGTCCCTTTAATAATGTCATTTCTAAAGAAGATTTCACCAACATGCATCAAAGTTACGTTTTGGATTTAGTGTTTTAAACTATTCTCCAACATATTTCGTTGATTAAATTGGCAAAATATTACATGTAATCAGTTTAGTAAATCGACTGTTTATGAAAAAAATCAAACACTTAATTGAACTTTATAAATTTAATGCTGTAAATGCTTACTGATGAACTCCATCATATACTTATATCTTTAATAGTTTAAAGCTATTTGTGAATGTTCGTCGTAATCTTCAAGGATCATTTATATCGCCCCTCGTCTTAACTTGACTCTCCATTAAAGTGTGTAGGTTTTTATTGTAGCTAAAGAATGCAAATGCGCAATGTCAACAAGTGTCGGGCACTTAATAGTCAAGTGTCTTAAGATGGTTAAAATATTTGTTTAAATTGTTACACGCTTTTCTTTCATCTCTTAATATTATTCATGTCATATCGGCTCAGACATATGTTAACGTTATGGCACAGAGTGGAATTAAAGTAAGTCCGTATTTGGGTGGTTAATTGACCAATGGCATGTCTGGAGTCTTAAGCACACTTCACTCTTTCTGATGCAATAGGGAACTTAGGCCGACTAAACGTTTTCTAAGGCGATATACTATATACATAATGGATGTAGAGCTTTTGACATTTTAAATTCAAGTTTTGACTCAGGCCGACTAAACGCTTTAGAAATGCATGTAACTTTTATTTTTGTGAATCTCAACCAAAAGTTTGACATTAATCAGATTAATCTTTAAATAATCTTGCAAAACCTCCGCAAAACATCGCCTTTCGGGAGACAAAGATTTTAATTGCTGCCGAGATGTGTCGCTCAAGACAGGTTAAATTTATTGTGAAGTCTTTCTTTTTTAATTACATTGATACTGTTATTGTAAAGAGGTTATTGCTATACCAAGGGCCGTTTTGTAGAGGTGTCACTGTAGTGATAGTACAAATGTAACGAATTTAGATGGGGTCAGGAGTCATGACACAAAGTGTCTAGGTGTCATAAACTATATTTGTGATCGACTTGTACATGTATTTACATGTAGTTATCTATACGTATTCTTAACATTAAATAACAATAAAAGTACGATATCTAACAGGAATTTGGTCATTGACAAAAAAAAACCCCAACCTTTTAGTGTTTGACTTATTAGCCTTTTAACTTTGTAAATTTTTAGTGAAAGACATAATTAGAATACTTTTGCATGTAGGCTGTTGCACAGTACATTGTATAATTATATTTTCATGTCATTTAAAGGAACGAAATGGCAATAAAACATAACAAGTTTTCTTAGAAACATCAACATCCTGGTCGATGTCAAGAAAAGCATATCAGCAGGAAGTGAACCGGTGTCAATCTCAAAAAAAGAAAAGAAAAGAAAAAAAAAACACGCAGAATTATAATTATATTTATTGTTATGTCATAGAGAACAGAGTTTGTTACTGAAAGCATTGTTTTTTCGTATCACTATATTTTATAGTTAAGAGAATGGTCAATGACAAGTTATGTACATGTAATGAGAGTTCTGAACTAAACAGTTCCAAGATAGTACACCTAGCTAGTATACCCCTGTCTTTTGCCTAGCTAGCTATAGGGACGTGAAAAATGTACATTGTAAATATTTTCTCATTATCTTTCTATAAAAAAAGAGTAAAACTCTCGCTTTCGCTTTGGAGCTGGCTAGACTTTAATTTAGGAATATTCATTATTAAAACACCATCTTCATGCAGCCTACAGAATAATATATTGAAATGAGGCCAAATGGCAAATTGTCCGTCTTTCGTAATCTGTATCACTCCGGCTGTTAAGATGTTTTTCAATGCTTCGTAGGAGTTCGGCAAATTTCGAGAATCAATTTTGATACATTTTCTTTACACAGCACATTTTATTTTCATAACCTTGGTCATTTCAAAGTTCAATTGTTCTTAATAGCAATCGGAACACCTTATCTGAAGATTGGCGGAAAGGATCGAAATTTTGCGATTGTCTTTATGGAGGACGGAAAGTGGCGAAACATTCCGAAATTTCTCGAGATAATGAAAGATCAAAGGAAAGGTCGCAGGTTCAGATGCCCCTGATATCAAGATAAAGTTAAAGTATCAGTACAGAAGAAAATAGGGAACAAAATGATCAAGCGTATATATTAAATTTTATACTCAAGGACGGATGTCCTGTCTCAAAGTATTCCTCTCTCATACAAGGACGTTTAAAGGATGTATGTTTTTGACAAAGTTAACCTTTTGACCAAATTAATTCGTTGCTTCAACTCATTTTTACACAACTTCCTTGGACCGTTCAGCTTTAATAAAATCTCAAAATTCGGTGAGAAAAAAAATATTACTTACAAATAAGTCCGACTGCACTTGTTCTTCAACTTACAATTTCTATAAGTATTTTTTGAAATTTAAGACTACACAATGTAGAGTGGTGAAACCAGCTAGTCTGCTTAAAATTATGACTGTCGAAAATGAACGAATATATTACGAATAAATACGGGAAAAAACTGATGTTAAATGACTGCGAGGCCATTCTGCAGCTTTAACCACAGGCAAAAGTATCGGACCTGGGAAGAAAAAAAATGACCAGATTGATAAAAAAACCTGTGTTCATCTTAAAAGTGTCAAAAAAAATGTATATAATGACCCCCTTTAAAAATATACTAAGTTAACTTTTTCTTCCCAGGTCCGATACTTTTGCCTATGTGTGTTACATAAACCTATGAATTTTCACAATCGACTGAACTTTATTATCACACCCATTTGTTTTTATAGGGCAGATGTTAGAAATAGTTTGGGTTATGTCCTAATTTCGATAATACAATGTATATAAAATGAGCAATTTCTGTCATTACACCTACCACAGATGTATGCTATTCCGCCAATTACAAGAAATTACTATTTAAGAAAGTACATTGTATATATTTTATGTCCTTTAAAGGAACGAAAAGACAATAAAACATAACAAGTTTTCTTAGAAACATCAACATCCTGGTCGATGTCAAGAAATGCAAATCAGCAGGAAGTGAACCGTTGTCAAGTTTTTCGTTTAAAAAAAAAAAGAATACGTACGCACACAATTATAATTGTAAATATTGTTCTGTCATAGTTAACAGTGCTTGTTACTGACTGCATTGTATTTCGTATCACTATATTTTATAGTTAAGAGAACGTTCAATGACAAGTTATGTACATGTAATGATCGTTCTGAACTAAAAAGTTCGTAGACATGCAATACACCTATAACTTCTGGAAATATTTCTGGATAGATTTGTACCCCCATTCATTTATTCAACCATGCATTTAACATCATCAATATCTTTATCATTGTCCTAATATTATCATCACTATTTTGACAATCATCATAATCATCAACAACAGCAGCATCGTTACTACATGTATCGTCTTCATCATCATAAACACCATATCATCAACAATACTAGACCCAATAACATGTATAAGGAATAAGGATACCACCAACTGCCCCCCCCCCCCCCCTCCCTCAACCCCCTCCCGCCACTCAATCAACATTAAGTGTCATAATTGTGCTACGCGAGCACGTTAACTCGAAAATTGTGTGTATATTCTATTAGATATATAAAAAACGTTGTTTCATTAGATATATCATTAATTATCATATAACGCTTAATCAAATATCAAAAACAACGATTTAGCTGTAGCGAGTATTTGCATATTTGCTATGCATTTGCTATTTGCATAATCGACCACAGTACGTATTCGCTATTAAAAACGACCAATCATAGTGCGTTTTTGCTATCATAACGATCATTCGCTATTATATGTATAATGTTTGACCATAGCGCGTACCGCTATTTAAAAGATCAACCATAGGACTTTAGTCGTTTAACGATTGGCCATAGCGCGTGTTCGCTAACCTATTCAATAATCTCCAATAGCGCATTTAAGTTATTATAACGATAGACAATAGCGCTATTCGTTATAATAACGATCGACAATAGTGCGTATCACCTATAATAAATAAATAATAAACGACAATAGCGCGTATTCGCTATTAAAACGATCGACAATAGCGCGTGTTCGCTAATAAAACGATCGACCATAGCGCGTATTCGCTATTAAAACGATCGACAATAGCACGTAATCGCTATTACACGATCAACAATATCTCGATAATTATCATAGCGTGCATTTGCTATTGATGGCCTAATGCATCAAAAACAACTAATGCAAAATATTGTACATAAATGTTTTTTTGTTTTTTTGTTTCTTTTTTTAATATTTCAGTCAGCTAGGCAATAGATAAAAGAGCTATTTTTTATAACGCCGGATAAATTACAGCTTGTATTCTATTGTCAATAAAGTATAAATACCTGTATAAAATTTAACAAATAGATACAAGGAAATTAAAGCTTTCATATTTTTGTTCCGCATGTTTTAGAAATGGGTATATAAACATGTATTACTAGTGTTCGTACACCGTTGTAGTATAAAATACATTGTACTGTATTCCATCAATCATAATTTGAGCCGCGTCATGACAAAACCAACATAATGGGTTTGCGACCAGCATGGATCCAGACCAGCCTGCATATCCGCGCAGTCTGATCAGAGTCCATGCTGTTCGCTATCAGTTTCTCTACTTGTGATAGAGTTGGTAAGCGAACAGCATGGATCCTGATCAGACTGCACGGATACGCAGGCTGGTCTGGATCCATGCTAGTCGCAAACCCACTATGTTGGTTTTGTCATGACGCGGCTCATTAACAAATAAACATATCATATATGTTACATGTAGCAGTTCAAGTGTGAGGGGAAAATATCAAATCATTAATGAAATAGGAAATTTTCAGATAATTACACAATTTACTTTGGTATGTGACGATATTAATTTTTGTATACGAACGACATAATTAAATAACTCCCCCAATTATTATCGCACTCCACTACACATATAGCGCTGCCTGACATACATGTATATAATTTGGGGGCGTGGCGCGGCGCGTACATGTACCATGCAAATTTACAAATATAACCGTTGTGAAATTTACTAAATTTTCATATATGAAATCCAATACACAATCAAATAAATGATTTAGGAGAAAAAAAATGGAGAATGATTTTTAAAACAGATCGTAAATATAGCTAAAGGAAGGGAATAAATAATCTCAAGAAAAAAAAATTGTACGTACCAGTTCGTGGGTGACACATCGTCCCTTACGTCATTATATGCCTCTACAATACCGTCCCTATCTACCATTTTAGCCATTCTGAGATTTTTTAAAAGTTAAACCACTGTTCTGATTTAAACAAATTCAGCGAAAGTATTAAACTAACGATTCACTGCACTCAACGATCTTTTCCCGTTCACTTCCGCACTTTTAACAATGTGTCATCAAATATATACGGTTTATCGAGGGTCGATCACAAAGTTCAAAGATTTGTCATTTAATCAATAATTTATCAGTATTTACAAGTACTGAAGAATGCAAAGCTTAATTATACACTGTGTCAAGCTTGAATAAACCTTCATTGGAAGACAATTTATGGTCCGTGAAAAAGAAATATGTTAAGCGCACGTAGAAGGTTATTTATAATTTATTACATGTGTACATGCTGCATGATAAAACATTTGAATGTTAAGTCGGGCTTAGACCTATATATAGATGATGGATTAAGGAATCACTATAATATCCGGGTGAGTCACCCAGATAATATCATGCGTTCAAAATATTTTTTTTTTGAGAATTTCATATATCAATAAACACATTTGTTTCTAAACATGGGGAATATTTTTGATATTTAGTAAGGTATTTCATAAGGGCCATCATTCACTTTTATAGTTTCGAAAATTAACGCGTTTAGGAAGTGAATTCTTGTAGTATAGTGTTATCGTAAAAGCCTGTTCTAGTTTAGCCTTGTCTATATAATATGTCTAAAAAGCGGAACAACAAAGTCATTAACGGAAAACCATATATATTTTAACATTTTTTAAAGTATATATGCACGAATTATTCCCCTTAAAGAACAATTTAAAATGAAAAGACACTTTACACTAAAGTCTTAAAGTCTGCCTAAACGCTTCATTCTTAATGAGCTTATTGTATTAAAAAGGCGGATTTCCCCCTTTTATATTCATATTTTCCACAATAATTAAACGTTCATGTAATAAAACTGTCTGTTCGAGGCTGGAAAGAAAAGAAATATAGATACAATTATAAAATAATTGATGCTTAAATCTTTTTGACAACAGAAAATCATTTCAAGAAAATATTTTACTGCGCATGTAGTACAGGGTGTCTGAAAAGAAAGGCATCACTTACAGAATTTTGATTATTAACTTTTCCATACATTTTATTAGTGATAAATAGTATTTCTGTGTTCCCTGCCCTGCTGATTTCAGGAAGCCCTTGGCACTTTGTTTGTTTCGTTTGGCTTTAACGCCCCACCAACGCAATTTAAGTCATATGACAGAAAAGATAATTTGCGAGTAAAATAAAATCAGGGGTCAAAACCCGAGTAAAGAGATTCATAGACTCTGGTAATTCGAACCCCATTCGGTCGCCACTTACGACTACAGTGGCTGAAATTATGTCTCGACCATTAAAGGGAATGAAAAAAAACAGGGTAGTGTCCCACACTGACTCTAAATCAATTTCATTTCAACACTCCTCTGCGGGCTGGATAATCTTATGTGCCTTACCAACAACAGTTAGGGTTATATATAGCTAGCCGCACTCAACTGTAAAATATGGTTTCTTTGTAAAACACGGTTTCTTTTTTATCCACTTGCTTCAACAAATGTCGTTAGTCTCATTACACCAATTAGACAAATTGTTTGCTTCATTTGAACAATTTGCCTATGCTTCAGAAGCGAATACATTTGAGCCGCGTCACGACAAAACCAACATAGTGGGTTTGCGACCAGCATAGATCCAACAGCCTGCGCATCCGCGCAGTCTGATCAGGATCCATGCTGTTCGCTATCAGTTTCTCTACTTATAATAGAGTTGGTAAGCGAACAGCATGGATCCTGATCAGACTGCGCGGAAGCGCAGGCTGGTCTGGATCCATGCTGGTCGCAAACACACTATGTTGGTTTTGTCGTGACGCAGCTCATTTTTCCGTCTTATAAAAAAGGCAAATTAAAGTTTAATAACTTTTAAATAATGGTTTAGAGTATGTTTTGAATGCTTATTAACGGGTGCCTGGACAGAAACTGTATGGCAAACGAGTAACTTTTTGGAAACTATAAAGGGACTCAAACAAGAGGGCCATGATGGCCCTGAGGTCGCTCACCTGTATATAGGCCCCCAACCCCCCCCCCCCCCCCCCCAACGTTGCAGGGCCAATTTAACCTAAGGGCTTTTATTTGCACAAACTTGGTAGACACCCATAAGAAGATGTTTCATGCTAAACATCTAAGCTCTAGCTCATTGGGCTTTTTAAAAGAAGATTTTTTTAAGTTTTTACTATACACATATAGTTAAAAACAATGACACCCCTGGGGCCGGGCCAGTTTTGACCCCAGGGCTTTTATTTAAACAAACTTTGTAGACACTTACTAGAAGATGTTTCATGCTTAATATCTAAACTCTAGCTATTTGGGTTTTTTCAAAGAAGGATTTAAGGTTTTGCTATACACATATAAGGAAAATCAATGACCCCCGGGGCGGTGCCAATTTTGACCCCAGGGCTTTTATTTGAACAAACTTGGTAGACACCTATTAGAACATGTTTGATGCTAAATATCTTAGCCATAGCTCTTTGAGTTCTTTAAAAGAAGATTTTTTAAGTTTTTACTATATGCATATAGGGAAAATCAATGAACCCCCGGGGCGGGGCCAATTTTGACCCCAGGGCTTTTATTTGAACAAACTTGGTAGACACTTATTAGAACATGTTTCATGCTAAATATCTTAGCTCTAACTCTTTTGGTTCTTTAAAAGAAGATTTTTTAAGTTTTTACTATATGCATATAGGGAAAATCAATGACCCCCTGGGGCGGGGCCAATTTTGACCCCAGGGCTTTTATTTGAACAAACTTGGTAGACACCTATTAGAACATGTTTAATGCTCAATATCTTAGCCATAGCTCTTTGAGTTCTTTAAAAGAGAATTTTTTAAGTTTTTACTATATGCATATAGGGAAAATCAATGACCCCCTGGGGCGGGGCCAATTTTGACCCCAGGGCTTTTATTTGAACAAACTTGGTAGACACCCATTAGAACATGTTTCATGCTAAATATCTTAGCTCTAGCTCTTTGGGTTCTTTAAAAGAAGATTTTTAAGTTTTTACTATATGCATATAGGGAAAATCAATGACCCCCCGGGGCGGGGCCAATTTTGACCCCAGGGCTTTTATTTGAACAAACTTGGTAGACACCTATTAGAACATGTTTCATGCTAAATATCTTAGCTCTAGCTCTTTGGGTTCTTTAAAAGAAGATTTTTTAAGTTTTTACTATATGCATATAGGGAAAATCAATGACCCCCCCGGGGCGGGGCCAATTTTGACCCCAGGGCTTTTATTTGAACAAACTTGGTAGACACTCACTAGAAGATGTTTCATGCCAAATATCTAAGCTCTAGCTCTTATGGTTCTTTAAAAGAAGATATTTTAAGTTTTTTCTTTTGGTTGCCATGGCAACCAGAGTTCTGCATGGAATTAAATTCTTTGAACAATTTTTAAAGGTGACCACCAAAGGAACATTCCTGTGAAGTTTGGATGAAATTGGCTTAGTGGTTTATGAGGAGATGTCATTTAAAGTTAAAGTTTACGGACGGACGGACGACGGACGGACGACGGACGGACGGACGCCGGACGAAAAGCGATCACAAAAGCTCACCCTGTCACTTTGTGACAGGTGAGCTAAAAATGAAAGCTTTTGAAAAATGAACTAATTCCTGGGCCATAAAGGGCATTTTAGTAATATATCTAACAAAAATAATAGGATTTGGCAACAACGTAAGTTTAGAAGACACGTTTTCAACAACTCATTACAAGATATATCAACTGTTAAAAGGGCCACTATCTATATATAAAAAGTCTTATTACAGTATTTTGTGTGTGTTTGCTATTGTTTACCCTCGCCACCGGAAAGAGACCATATGGGCGGAAAGAGACCATATGGGCGAGCATATACTTCATTTATAACCTAAAAAAGGGGAGCTGATGTTTATTAATTTACAGCATTCATGAGATATAAGCTTATTTACATTATACGGTAATCAGCGGAAATGCATAAGGAAGATTCGCTACATTAAGTTTTATTTTCTTGGGAGGAATGTGGCGCCATTTTTTTTTATTTTGTCAAAACACAGAAGCAGTTCATCGAACTCTTAACCCCTGGATTTGACTACAGTAGTAGTGTTGTAGTTAGACTGTGTTACCACACATCAAGTGCTCTAAACAGAAAAAATACAGTCTAAAAATAAACAACACATATCAGATAGTTTTTATTTTAATCATTGTGTGCAAAGTTTTTATGACAAGCTTACATATGTGACAGTGATACAAATACAGTCCTCGGATTCTGTAACAAAATGATTTATTTTGAAAAAAGTAAATTTATAAATGGAACATATTGATCTTGATAGGCTCAATTTTCCAATAATTCATTACTTAATATTAGTATGATTGTTCACATAAAAAAATAAACAAGAAAATTACAAATAAATAAATATACAAACAAACAAATCAATGCATTGTTCATCATTGCACAAAAATCTTAGATTTTTTGTTAAAGAATTTCTGGGGGAAAAATCCGCCCTGAAAAGGCATAAACACAAAATAATGAAGGTTTCATATTCAGGGGCTGTAACTTCTGTCCTCAACTATTGTGTTTACTTTTTATATAGAATATTGCATATTAATTATCCATTGTTATGAAAGTGTATCCACATTACATCATGTTATATCAATAATTATATAATGTTATATCAACAAATATAATTATCATGTTATATCAACAAATAAATCATGTTATATTAATACATACACCATGTTATATTCAAAATTATACCAAAGTTAATATCACAGGTCAGAATATGTGCATTATCTCCCTTGAAAACGTATCTTCTCTTTTATCTGATTACATAAATTCTACATGCCATTAACATGCCATAGAAAAAGATGTCATGACTGACACAAAGTTATCTCCCCTTTGCAAAGTCCTATATTTGGTCTATTGAAATATAATATGCAAACAAAAAAAGAAACAGGACATGTCTTATTCAAACCAAGTTACTTCCCTTGTAACACATCTTCTGGTCAAAATAAATAGAATTTTACATGAAATTAAACCCCAAAGGAACAGAAAACTTGTTAAGTAATAATAATTCTCATCACATTTTTTTTGTAATATATTCAAAGGCTGTCTTCCATACTTAAACAAACAAAAAAACACATCACAAATTGTTAAGAAAGACAATTCTCTACTTCCAAAGAGAGCACTGAATTATTTGTTTGAAAAAAAGAAAAAAAAATCACAGACAATAGTAAGCATTAGGCAATTCATAGTTTTATCATATCTATTTCAGATATACATGGACAATGTATTTTTAAATCTTTCTAAAAAATTATGTACTGTTAGGTGTTACACAAATACATAATAAAAATGTCATGTCTGACAACACGTACATGCAAACTCTATTGTCAACATTAAATTCTAGCTAAATGTCAAAATGAGACAGTGTACATCCTTACAACAGTCTAGATACTTTTTGGTGCAAAATTACCATAAATACATTGTTTTTCTACGCTTTAGAAACAAGGAAAGAAAAACTTAAAATTTTTCTTCCTAGATATTTTTTTTCCATAAATCAATCATCTAAATTAAAAAATTTACAAATCAAAAGATTAAATAAGGAAATTATTCAAAACAGAGACTTTATATTGTTCCTTATCTAAGTGCACATATATATATTTTTGCTGCATCAGCAGATTTTGTTCACTCTGTTTGTAGTTTGGCTTTCTTGCTGTTGTCCGTATTTTCCTCCACCTCCATGCCCTCACGTTCCCACAGCGGCATTGCAGGGGCTATAGACTGTAGAAGTTTGTTGGAAGACTTTCCTCCAAATAGAGTGTTTAGTAAGGTAGGTCCATAACCCGTTGCTCTATCACCCTACAATAGAGTTTGAACATACTTATTTAAGGATTATCGTAGAACTTGTTTTTACTATTACAGACACGTCAGCCTCCTGGAAACAAACCAGTGCTGGTGTCATATAAGAAAACATGTTTGCAACCTAAGACAGGTTCAAACCATGATCCCTCAGTTGAGAGGCAAACACTTTAACCATAAGGCCAATTTTATCACTTTACAATTAACAAATTGTACAGATCTCCAGATACTTTTAAAGACCAAGGGGTTTTTACCCCTCAAAATCTAGAGTAAGTTTGAAAATGCAAATTCTGAAAATTAGAACAGGTAAAATTGATAAAAAAGTAAACTGCTTTTTGCATTTTTATAATCAATTGCATTTCTTTTATTAAAAAAATAAATCAGACTCACTGACTTGGTTTTTTCTTTTGCATAAAATGTTACAAACAAAATACTGATTTAGTGTGAAACTAAACAATTAAAGGCAGTCTTCCCTAGACTAGGTTATACAAGTACTCAAGTCTGTTGTTTAGGACATACAGCAAAATAATGATAATTATTTCATAACTAGACCCATCTGTCTTTTCTTGTTAACATGACATTGTGGTTGTAATTAACAAGAGCCACCGCCGGGCGGGGGCAACACTCGACTTTTTACTTTCTCTAAAAGCAAACAAAGAAATGTTTGAAAAAAATCTTAACGTTTCCTTTTTATAAAATAAACCATTCTGTCTTGTCACATTTGTTTTGTCTATATATTTTTTATATATAAGTATACTAATTAATATATACTGGCTTGGGAGATAAACTCGGCCGAAAATCAGTGTTTTGGGGGCATATTTCATTTATTTGTTTACGTATTCTGATGAATCTTGCACCATAATAAACTTCAGCTCTTCGATTTTCCGGTATCACCATAAAAGTTATATTTGGAAACATAACGGGTAATTTTGAGAGGCCCTGGAAGAGGTACGTAAAAAGGATATTTTAAACGCACGCGAGTAGATAATTCCGGCTCTTTGTTTTTCTTCTTAAATGAGTAAGTTAAAACATAAAATAACATGTTTAGACATTTTATTATTTCTTTGCTGTTCATTTATGTCAAATAAAAAATATTTGTTACCAAAATTGTTGAGCATTACGTTAGTATAATGAATATCTATGATAACACGATATTTATATGCAACATACTATGTAACATATAAATCATTTTTACGTAAAAACTCATACATTATCATTTATTAACATATAACGAAATATGTAGTTAAAGAATTAGTGATTCAAATTTATTTTTGCTTAGCTTAACAGAGTGAAGAAGAAATTAATTTAGTGGTATTCAACCTACACAATAACATATAAAAGGAGCATTTAACATCAGTCTTTCAATCCATTCCACTTAAAGATTGTGTAATCAGCTTTTTTTCTGAGTTAGCAAGACAAAAGTGAGTCTGAATTTCATCTACAAAATGTATACATAAACGTCGTCTGCTTTACCGGTAGTAGGTCAATATATAAAAGTACCCCAGTGCAGGCCTCAAAATGAGCATCTGCTGCACATGCGCACAACAATGGGATTCCCGTACTTTTTATGTTTTAGGCATGTTTTGTAAACAAACAGGTAAAAGTCTGTGTTATTTTTTAAATATCTTACCAACTTGACAAAATTTCCAGATATTGTTGAATTCCAGGGATAGTATGAGATGGTGAGCTTGATTAGATTAAAAATTCCGATAACTTGATTTAATTACAAAAAGCCGAGTTTATCAACCAGCCGAAGTTATCTCCCCAACCAGTATATAAATAGAGACACGTAATTCTATAAATATAAAATTCTATAAATAGAAACACACAATTCTATAAATAAAAAATTCTATAAATAGATACACGTGGTTGAGTCACATGTCAGAGTCACATGGTAGTCACATGGTGGAGTCACGTGGTGGAGTCATGTGGTGGAGTCAAGTGGTGGTGTCACGCGGTGGAGTCACGCGGTGGAGTCACGCGGTGGAGTCATGCGATGGAGTCACACGGTGGAGTCACGCGGTGGAGTCACGCGGTGGAGTCAATTGGTGGTGTCACGCGGTGGAGTCACGCGGTGGAGTCACGTGGTGGTGTCACGTGGTGGAGTCACGTGGTGAAGTCACGATAAACAACAAGGTCTTGTCCTTAAGTATGTTCTGTTATAATATGAAGTTGATCCCTTCAATAATAGCAAAGTTACAGCCAGTTAGAGCCAAAACAAAGTCAAGGTCATTAATGAGTGAAGGTCAAGGTCTGTCGGGTTATTCTTAAGGGTTATCCTTGAAGATTATTATGTTCAAGTTTGAAGACAATCCATTCAAAAATTACAAAGTTACAGCCAATAATAGCCTAAAACATGAAAATTTCAATAATTTGACCTTCAAAGTCAAGGTCATTTATGAGTGAAGGTCAAGGACTGTCGGGTTATTTTAAGGGTGATCCTTGAAGATTATTATGTTCAAGTTTGAAGACAATCCATTCAAAAATAACAAAGTTACAGCCAAATTATAGCCAAAAAAATTAAAATTTCAATAACTTGACCTTCAAAGTCAAGGTCATTTATGGGTGAAGGTCAAGGACTGTCGTGTTATTTTTAAGGGATATCCTTAAAGATTATTATGTTCAAGTTTGAAGACAATCCATTCAAAAATAACAAAGTTACAGTCAATAACAGCATGAACAAGCAAAATTTGGACTTTTAACCTTGAAGGTCAAGGTCATTTATGGATGAAGGTCAAGGTTAGTGTGGTCTACTGTAATGTCTTGTCCCAAGGGTTGTTGTGGCCAAGTATGAAGACACCAAGAAATAAAAAAGTTATAATCCAGGTACAAGTTTGCGGACGGCAACAGCAACGCCGACCTGACTATAACAATACCTCTACTTTTTTTTTCAAAAAAAAAAAAAAAAAGTCAAGCTAAAAATGTGTCATATTATTTTACAATCTGCCGTACTAAGAATGCATACTCATTGTTAAGCCATTAATAAAAACGGAATATTATGTTGTAGTAGCTTTCTGAGGCTTTGTATTTTTCTACGAGAAGCAGTGGAAAATTGGTATCTCGCGAGACCAAAGGTCGAGCGAGATATCAATTTTCCAACGTTGCGAGTAGAAAAATACATAGTCTCAGAAAGCTACTATAACATAATTTTCCTTTATTATATACCTTTTCGTTTTATTCAGAAAATGAAATGTAGTTGTCAAGAAATTAATTCATGACTGACGGATGAATACGTAATTCTTGCAAACCGGGAACGCCTTTAATAATTTTGGTTCCTGTTTTCAAATGCAACGTTATACAAAGCTTAGATCGGAACCAACGTCAAAAATAGTCCATGGTTCCCTATTTGTCACTAACATTATACGGAAATTTCTATCCGTTGAAATGTATTTGCGCTTCAATATTTGCGTGTATTTTAGGGAGAAAATTTATAGGTATATAATAATAAGTTTTATAACTCTTTGGTCAGAGATTGTACTGTTTAAATAGTATTAAATAGGTGATTTGAAGTATACAACCACTTGACAGTTGAGGCATGTTGATACACATACAAGGAAGGACATACCATTTGTACAAATATAGCTATGTATAAGGTAACAAAAACTTACAATATGAGCAGGGGCAGCCATATCAATATGTAACCAAACTCCGGAGAAATCAAACCCTAGATGAGATCCTATAAAAAGACCAGCGCATGACACTTGGGCGTTTGAACGATCCTGAATTAATGGCAATAAAATAATGCATATATACATCAGCTTATACATACTTTGCATGTTTTTTCCTTAAAAGAAAGATATGTTTTAAATTAAATGAAGTTCAAATTAATTTTGATTAATTAACATAATCAGTAAATTGATATGTTAGTTATTTTAAGGCTGTGGTGTTATTTTCCCAATTGCTGTGTAAATTTTTAATTCACTTTCTTCTCTAAACATCACAGCAAAATAAAAAAATATATTTCTTACCAATGGGATCAAATACTTTTTGGAATATTATTGATATCATTCAATTGATCCAATATCTTTATGTATTTCCCATTCAAATAATTTCAAAATATACGTATAGTCCACTTACAGCGACTGAGTTTTTCATGTCAGCTACTGCACTGTTGAATTCTGGGAAATGTAGCTCTGGTGAGTATGGCACTGGATGCACGAGATCACCACAATTTTGTCCAGCCTTCACACAAGCTAGCTCCATGTCCTCATTGTTTGTCAAGATTCCAGCATGATACTTTCCTAAAGTAAATGTCGACTTTTTTTTTATTTTAATCATAAACTGAAATTCTTTTTATTTTAATCTTATACTGAAATTCTGTCAGTGAGTGAACTTAAACGCACACTAAGCATATTCTGCTCTGGTTTTGATGATTCATTTTACATAGTATTACAGGACTGCCTTTAAGTTACAAAATTTGGAAGTCAGAGACTACAGAATTTCTCACACTGGAAGTTATATTATACAGGTAAAGAAGGAAAAACATTACATTTTGGAAGTCACAAGTAAAATCAAGGAAAAAAGGAGTCCTAGTATTACATGTGTACAGATTTGAAAGTACAGTAAAAATTCTGAAAACCGGACCCTCTGTAAACCGGAATCCTCTGAAAACCAGACTTTTGGTCAAGTCCGGACAGGGTCCGGTTTTCAGAGTTTTTACTGTAATATTAACATACCAGTTGCAATTCCTTGAGCTCCTGTTAGCGTTGCCATATCAACAATTATATCTGCTTTTAGATCTTTCTGTGCATAGCCAACCTACAAATAGTAAAGACATAAAAATTAACTTTAAGTTCTGGTAAATATACCTCTCTTGAGATAAGGTTTACAGTTACACCAGCCTAATGTTTGTTTGGTTTTAACACTGATTTAAACACATTTTTTTGGTCATATCTTTGCAGTCAGTCTGGTTAACACTAAACTTGCTTTCTTGTATAACTTACTATAAATTTTCCTAATACCAATTCCACATTATAGTTGAAACAACATCGTGAGACAAATGACCATTAGACTCAATGCCGAGTATTAAAGTGACATTATGTTCATATTTTCATAGTCAAGTTGAGCAGAATGGATTATATATTTCAAAATATGGACTGTTAAAAAGGTTATTGACAGACAGTTCATATTGGGAAATGTTTTTGATAAACTTTAAAATCGGCCTAAAATATAAAAAGACTGCCCCACCCTCTTTATGAAATGAACGTTACAGGTAAATTCTAATGGATATTTACGAAAAAATCGTTTGGATCCATGCTTTGCTTATTGTTCATGTAAACAAATTGTTTTTATTAAAAGAATTATGGCAAAATGAAAACTTATTTTGACTTTCACCTGTTCACTAATTTATACACTTGGATAGGCATAATCTCACTTTAATTATCAACGAGGAAATTTGCCTTGCCTGAGGATCAAAACCAGTGAACCCAGGATAACCATCAACATAGGAAAAAAATCTAACATTTGAAAATAACATCCTCATTTGACATCAGTATTGATAACTTTCAATAATGGGGCAAGAGGCCGGGTCCAATAAGCTTCAGGTTTCTGTCTCAAGTTGCTTTAAAGGTCATATGTTAATATACCACTTTAGAAAATAAACAAACATGTTTACCCCATCTCCTAAAACAAGGCGACCTTCTGCATCCGTATTATTGATTTCAACAGTCCTGAAATATATCAAAAAGAAATATAACATTAACCTAAAACTTGTGATAAAACCATCTCAAATACACTATATACTGTAAAATCATGAAACTAACATCTATTTTGGTTTGGCAATAGTAGTCAGAGGTATATATTCAAAAGTGAGGGACTAACATAGATCTTTCCTTTAATGTTTTAACTTTTTAAAGAATTACTTCCAAGCATGTTCGGGCACCTGGGCCTTTATATTTCTCCTCCTGTAGCTTCAATACAATAGCTTTCCCGAACCTTAGAACACTCACTAATTTAAATAAGTTTTTAGAACTTTAGCAGACACATTTTTTATGTTTTAGAGATTTTGGAAAATCATTTCCTTTTATTTTAGAGCTTTGGGGCATTCACATTATTAAAGCTTTCAGACACCCACTTTCTGAATTTATTACCTTTAGAACCCTAACTTTTTAATATTAGAGCTTTAAGACACTCACATTCTCCATTCTAAAGCTTCAAGACACTAATTTTTCTAAATTTAAGAGAATTAAGACACTCAGATACTTCATTTAAGAGCTTTATTAAGACACACCCTTCTGCCATTCAGAGCTTTACGACAATCAATACTGTCTAACAGAGCGTTCAGAAAATCACTGTCCGCAATTTTACAGCTTAAATACACTCACTTCTAAGAATGTTTAACACACTGATGTGCCTCAACTTACAGTTCGCCAAAGTTTGTCTACCAATGAAATCGCTCTATTTTGTTTAAATTTTGCCGAAGTATTTTCCATACAGTGCTGTAACTCAACTGTATGTATTAATTACATTAAATGAGCCGATTTAATGGACTCCGCCTATTTACATAGTGCACTCGGTTTAAATATGCAGGCTACTGTAAGTCGGTTAAAGGTTAGATACAGAGTTTTAAGAAACTAATTTTCTCGCTTCACTTCGTTGGCTCGAAAATTAATTTCTTAAAACTCTGTATATAACATATAACCTATACTTAAGAGCTTCAGTACACTCAGACTTTGAGCTTTATACCTTTAATCATACAGCTTGAATACACTTACTTTCCTGAATAAAGGGTAATGATATCATCTGGTCTTAGAGCTTTTGGTCCAACAGCATTTTCAGCCAAACAGAACACTGCGTGAAGATTCTCTTTGAATCCCTGAAGAAATAAAAACATTCAAAGTTACTTAGGATTGTTGGGGAAGAGGATAAAATGGAAAAGGAACTATTTATTTCTACTCATTCCTTACAAATAGGAATCACTATAATTGAGGGAAGAAATGGTGGTTAAAGTTTCAAGTAAATTGCAATGTTAAATAAACAAAAGTATAAGTTTAAATCCATTTTCAAAATAGACAAAACCCTGACAACTGGCGTGTGTGTTTTTTTGTTTTGGTTTAATGGCGTACCAACACAAATTATGTAAAATGGTGCCAAAACTAGAAAGATCATTTTGGCTAACCTTGTTTTACAAAATTTTAAGCAACACTAGCAGTCAAAAGATCCTCATATGCTGGCACTGAGAGATGCAACGACTAAAGTAATTTGGACCTGTTTAGTCATGTCTTGCAATCATGCAGGGTTAAACAGTGGCGGCAATTCTGATGCCTCAATCCAAAAAGGCAACCCCTCCGCCACAAATATCTCATAGGATTTTCCTGCATTATTTTATGCTTCCAAAGACCCAAAAGCAGAACAATAAACCCTTCAAGGACAGTTTAAAGATAACATCTGCCATTTAACCCACATAATTAAAATAAAACAAGATATGTTTGTAAAACATGTATGCCCCCTATCGGCAGCCAATTAGTCATGTGATCAGGTTATTATGTATGACTTCTGACCCAGTGAACAAACAATTAATAAGGGTTATCTAGTATCTTCTGGTCATGACAAGTGACAAGGTAAAAAATAATTATTGTGACCCCATAGGTTGTGTGCAGCAATTTGAGTTCTTACAAATCTTACCAAATAATATATGCATAAATTTTATGAATCATGTAGGCCTCATTAATGACAGCCAAGTTGTCATATTACATAAGACCTTCAAATGTGTATACCAAAAGCATTTTTAGTTTAATATAAAAATATCAACCAAGGCAACTTGAGTTGTTGAGTAATTGGTCAGAAACTGTCATTAAGTACAAAGTCAATATGACATTGACCCCTTGACCCCAAAATCAATAGAGGTCATCTGCTGGCAATGACCAATCATCATACAAAGTTTGAAGTTTCTAGGCCTAAGCCTTCTTATGTTATTGATCAGAAACCGTTTTTACTTACAAGGTCAATGTGACCTTGACCTTTGACCCCTTGATCCCAAAATCAATAGGGATCATCTGCTGGTCATGACCAATCACCAAACCAAGTTTGAAGTTCCTAGGCCTAAGTGTTCTTTAGTTATTGATAGGAAACTGTTTTAACTTACAAGGTCAATGTGACATTGACCTTTGGCACATTGACCCAAAACTCAATAGGGGTCATCTGCTGGTTACAACCAATCATCATACAAACTTTGAAGTTCCTAAGCTTAAGCGTTTTAATTAATTGATCGGAAACCGTTTTTACCTAAGAAGCCAATGTGACCTTGACCTTTGACCCCTTGAGCCTAAAATCAATAGGGGTCATCTACTGATCATGACCAATCACCATATCAAGTTTAGAGTCCATAGGCCTAAGGGTTCTTTTGTTATTGATTGGAAACCGTTTTTACCTAAGACGTTAATGTGACCTTGACCTTTGACCCCTTGACCCCAAAATCAATAGGGGTCATCTACTGCTCATGACCAATTACAATATCAAGTTTAGAGTCCCTAGGCCTAGGGGTTCTTTAGTTATTGATCGGAAACCGTTTTTACCTAAGAGGTCAATGTGACCTTGACCTTTGACCCCTTCACCCCAAAATCAATAGGGGTCATCTACTGGTCATGACCATTCACCATACCAAGTTTGAAGTTCCTAGGCCTAAGGGTTCTTTAGTTATCACTAGGAAACCATTTGGTCTACAGACCGACGGACAGGACGGACCGACAAGTGCAAAGCAATATACTCACACTTCTTCGAAGTGGGGGCATAAAAACAAAATAAAATATTCCCTAACAAAATATTCTGAGTACCATTTATTTTTCCAAGTTTAGGACAGATTTTGCACATGCACCACTAGCAATACAGCTCAGACTTTATGAGAATTCTTTCAATTTAGGTACTTTAGGTAGCTAAGATTTTTCTTAAGATAAGAACAAATATGACAAAAAAATTATAGACGGCTAAATATCACTTTATATGCTGTTACAACTACAATCAAACAAGAGCACCACATGCAGTGTTATCGCTCGCCTATTAAAACAAACACTTTTAACACAATGACAACAACAACGATGCCATATCAATCATAATAGCTCGATATTTTCTTCCAAACAGACAAGTTTAACCACACTAAAATCTACACTAACATGACTTCACACTAAAAACCTTACCGTTTTGGCAGCAAGATAGAAAGCGCCAAGCATTGCTGCCGCTCCACCACAGTCAGTTTTCATTCCACACATTCCAACCTGTGAAACAATACATGAAATATATCAACAAGAAATCTATAGAGATAACCTACCATTTTAACAGCAAGGTAGAATGAGCCGAGCATGCCAGCCGCGCCACCGCAATCTCTCTTCATGCCACACATACCTGTCTATATCAGTAATTATATATGTTTGGTTTCAATTTAAAATGTTCTTTTTAAAGATTAAAAATATGTAAATGATATTAGCATTTACTGTTTTCAGCATTCCAACTTAACTTTTCATTTAAACTTGTGAATGAAATGTCTCACATGTCAGCAGGAATGATATTGGCCATGATTTTGTTAGTTTTGGGTTTTACGTCACATCGACACAGTATAGGTCATATCGCGATGTTCCAGCTTTACTGGTGGAGGAAGACCTCAGGTGCCCTTCCGTGCATTTATTGGCCATGAAAACACACATATATTTATTTAGGGTGGAATTTAAATGACAGCAGAATTGTTAAAGATCATGAGGCCACTTTCAAGGCTTTACTCCTAAATAAAGACGCAAACCCCTTGTTACCCTTAATGGACACAAAGGTGTCTTTTTTAAATGACTATAAAGTAAAAATAATTTTTACTGCTTTCTACATCTTATGTTTATACTGACTTTTATTTATCTAGCATGCATCAATATTTTGCATATTCATGTATCTTATAATTATTTCCAACACTGAAGATTTTTACCTTTGTCTTGATGCACAGTCCACCAGTGTCGAAGACAATACCTTTCCCCACCCAGGCAACAGTTTTCTCGGCTGATGGGGGAGTAAAACTAAGAACAGCAAGAGCTGGAAGATTCTCAGCTGCCTTTCCTACACCCCATATACCTAAAATACAGAGCATGCATTTTTAATAACTATTATGTCCCTTGACAGGGAAATATACTTAACAAGGTAAGAAACTCAGGCAATATCTAAACAAGGAAATTTACTTATCAAGGAAAGAAACTCAGGCAATATTTAAACAGGGAAATATACTTATCAAGGGAAGAAACTCTGGCAATATTCAAAAGGGGGAAATATACTTACATTGTATCAAGGGAAGAAAATCTAGCAATATTTAAACAGAATCAGATTTTTTAACTTATCATTATCTCCCTTAAAAACCTATAAAGTATATACTAAAAGATTGTAACTTTTATGACGTACATATGGAGTTGCATCTATTTTTCACCTAGTTTTTGATATGACATTCAAATGATCAAGGGCAGTAACTACCTAAAGTAATAATTTATTATTGTAATAAAACTCACAGTGTAGAAGCTTACAAGCTATACCAAAGTATCACATCTAACATAATGATAAAGGGCATTAATACTGATTACTTCCCTTGATAACAATAATAGGGGAAATCTGAAAATTGTTTGCTGTTTCTTACCCCTTTGACAAATAACAAATTAGTTCATAAAATAAGGATCATCTCAAGACAGTGAAACACTTTAATTAGAATATACCTTGTAATTATTTTCTTCATGATCAACCTTTAAAGTGCTGGCAGCAACTAAATTTCCCCATGCAACCTGTGCAGACCATGATCAGATTTGTGCCCTTCAGTCTATACTTACTTTTAAATTTCCCCTAAAAATGATGAATGGTTCGCCTATATTAAAACATGAACAATTCACTTTAAGATATTTAGAATGGACCCCATTTTTCTGTAAAATAAATGAAACTCTTACCACCAAAGCCCATTTGATCAAGAGCTTCCCCAGCTATGATATGTGGCTGGATTCCCAACTTCTTTCCTACCTCACGTATTTCCTATACAGATATACAAAACAAAAAATTCATTGTTAGATATTAGTAAACTAAACACTTGAATAAGCAACTAATCAGATTGCAGCTTTAACAATAAAACTTTAGGAGAACTGGTATAATTTGAATTCCAATGACAATAAAGAACCTGTCCAAGAAGGCCCATGTAATCAGGATAGGTTCATCCAACTTAATTACACTGATGACGGCATGGCCGAGTGGTTAACCAGGGTTCTCGGGGACGCTTATTTCGGCGTCCCGGAACGCATGTTTATTACAGCTGGACGCAAATATTTCAGAGCAAGGATTCCACGTACGCTTAATTTTGCCCGAGGACGCATAAACATTACCGCTTGTTTACAGGCACAAATACACAAATGCGTCAGCGCGTGTCAGTCTATAGGTAGGCGGTCCTATGCTGTTCGACCCGTGAAGCGATTAGCCAATCAGCAATAACGCTTCTGATCATTATCACGCAATAGTGATCAGACTAATGTATACACGCGCTGTACAGTAGATGTTATTACCAGATATAACACGAGGTGATAATTTTATATCTTTGATCAACAGTTGATTGGAAATTAGCAAATTTTACCGACAAAAGGATAAAATTATTGACTATTTACGCCGCAAGTTTAAAGACTGTTTTCTCAAATTACAAATGAGTGTAATTTTGAATGATTGTCGAATATTTTCGGCATTTTCTAGGCACAATTTTGCTTTAGTTTCTTTCTTGCAAAAACTTTCTATAAGAGTATTAAGAATTTAAGATATTGTGCCGAAATGCCAGGACAACAAACCAAAATGCACATACTGCAGTACGCTTTTCTTTGATATTTAGATTCTACCCGAAAATGATCCCCAACATCGGCGATTTCACGTTCGCCAGAAACCCTAAAATTTTGCAAAAATTCTCGGTTTCCAAGCCCAACATGCGGATGAATTGTTCCTTTATTATTTAATCAACATTAAATCTTGAAATATCGATCTTCAATTTGCCCCCTTTTGAAGATATTTGCTAAGATAATTGTCGATCGGATGAATCTCTTACACACTGTGTGAAGCTGTACACGATTTTCCTATTTATTCCGCTAAATGCTGCCTATATACATTAACGTTTTTTTACAAATATAAACTTTTTGTCTTTAGAGTGGACTTATTTAACAAGAATAAAATTTGATTTGGTATAAAAGTGAGAAAAAAAACAAGATTGCATTTGAGAAAAATGCTATGCCACCGCATTAATACAACACTAAATAGTAGTGTAGGAACAGATTTTTTTTATTTCTATACAATTTTGTAGATTGTCATAATGCATAGATTCCTGACCTATCTAATTCTTATCAGATTAGTGGTTAAATCTGTTGTTAACTCAATAAAAGATGAGAGTAGGAATATATCAATGCACTCGAGTCTAGTGAATTTGGTGGTGAAGGTCATATTTCACACAGCCTAAATTTCATGACTTCATCAAAGGACAACACAGTAAGACACTTTGTCAAAATCTAGGTCAGCTGATATCAAAGTTCACTTTACATCTTAATCTGTGCACATGGTTCAAATTTCATAGCTGTACATCAAAGGACAAGAAAGTAGGTCACATCATCAAAATCTAGGTCACCTGATATCAAAATTCAATTTTACAACTAAAATTGTGCACATGGTCAAAATTTCATTGCTGTACATCAAAGGACCAGAAAGTAGGTCACTGTCCCTTTGGGCAAGGCAAAATTTTGGACCAAGGGTTTAATTCAAAACAATCTTGATACAGGTTCACCAAACAACATTTCAAGTCAAATATCTAAGCTGTAGCTTTCTCCCATTCAGAAAACATTTGTTTTATTTTCTGTTTTACTATGTGTACATAATGAGAATCACTGCCCCCGGGCAGGGCCAATTTTAACACCAGGGGAAAAATTTGGTAGAGGACCTATAGATGATATATATAATATAGCAAACATCAAAGCTCTATGCCTTGTACCTTCAGACAAAAATATTTTTTATTTTTTTACTATATGCACATAATGAAAATTAATGACCCCCGGGGCAGAACCAATTTTACCCCAGGGCTATAATTTGAACAATCTTGGTAAAGGTTCACTTCGCAAAGTCTCATGCCATATATTTAACCTCTAGCCTTTGTCAATCCAGAGAAGAGGATTTTTCAATTCAGAGAAGAGGATTTTTCAAGTTTTTACTTTATACATATAAGGAAAACTATCGCCTCTGGGGCAGTGCAATTTTAACACTAGGGGCATAATTAAAACAACTTTAGTAGAGGACCAATAGATAATATTATATACCAAATATCAAAGCTCTAAGCCTTGTACCTTAAGACAAGAAGATTATTTAATTTTTTACTATATGTACATAGTGAAAATCAATGACCCCTGGGGATGGGGCTATAATTTGTACAATCCTGTTCACTACATAATGTTTCATGCAAAATATCTTAACTCTAGCCTTTTATTTAGAGAAGATGATTTTTTAAAGTTTTTACTATATACATATAAGGAAAACCTATGGCCCCTGGGGCGGGGCTAATTTTGACACTAGATCAATGAACCCAGGGCCGGGCAATTTTGACCCCAGGGTTATAATTTGAACAATCTTGCTAGAAGTTCACTTCACAATGTTTCATGCCAAATATCTAAACTCTAGCATTTGTCAATTGCTAGAAGAAATTGTTTTAAAGATTTTACTATAAGTTTTTACTATATTCTATTTCATTTAAGGAAAACCAATGACCCCCGCGGCGGGGCCGATTTTGATCCAAGGGCTATAATTTGAACAATCTGGGTAGAGGTCTACTAGACAATGCCTTATGCAAAATATCTAAGCTCTAGGTCTTTTGGATCTTTACAAGAAGGTATTTTAAGTTTTTACTATATGTACATATAGTAAAAATCAATGACCCACGGGGCGGGGCTGATTTTGACCCCAGGGCTATAATTTGAACAATCTTGGTAAGGGTCTACCAGACAATGCCTTATGCAAAATATCTGAGCTCTAGGCCTTTTGGGTCTTTACGAGAAGGTATTTGAAGTTTTTACTATATGTACATATAGTGAAAATCAATGACCCCCGGGGCGGGGCCGATTTTGACCCCAGGGCTATAATTTGAACAATCTTGGTAGAGGTCTACCAGACAATGCCTTATGCAAAATATCAAAGCTCTAGGCCTTTTGGGTCTTTACAAGAAGATTTTTTAAATTTATTCTTATAATTCCTTTTGGTTGCCATGGCAACCAGATTTCTGCATGGAATGAAATTCTTTGAATAACTTTGTAAGCCCTTCACCCAAGGATCAATCCTGCCAAGTTTGGTTGAAATTGGACTTGTGGTTTTTCACAAGAAGATTTTTTAAGTTCACTATATAATCTATATAACACACAAACAAACAAACACACACACACACAGGTGAATCGCTATATGCCACCGCATCGCAGATGCTGCGGTGGCATAAAAACGATTTCCATGTGTTGATGCATTATAATGAAATAATTTCATAATAAATACTAACAACAAAACAATAATTATACTATGTAGTTCAGAGTTTCTTTTGAATAACTATAAACTTTGGAAGTCTCTTGAAGATTTAAAATATCAGCAATGCTATTGTGAGCATTGAATGACTAATCTGTAAACATATTAATTGCGACGCGCTTTTGGACTCCAACTTTTTCAGGGTTGGGAGTCCATGGACTCCATGTTTTAAAGTCCTAGTGAGAACCCTGGTTAACACATCCAACTATTAATTTAATGATCGCTAGTCGCATGGGTTCAAATCCTTTGTCAGGGGCAAGTCCTTTCCTTGAGGAAAAAACTTTACACTCATTGCTCATTACTGGTTGGTTTCAGGATCTGATTCGAGCTTATGGCTTCCTACACAATCAAACTAAAGTAAATATATTAATAAATGTATAAACCAAATCATAAATACAACCAGGAACTAATCAGGAATTTGATGTTTGAATATTGCTTTTTCCATAATATTTATTTGAACATTTTTTGGTGTTTTGAACATTCAAGTATAAAACAAAGCCTTAATCATCATAGTGTCTGCTTGACAAATAAAATCTTAAAGCAACCAAAATTTATTCTTGAGTGTAAATAATTTGTGTATCTTTTCACTGAAAATCATTAAATTTTTTGCAATACATTCAAAAGTTACTTACATCAAGGAAAGTATTGGTGTGCATATCTGCACATGGTATATCTACAATTTTAGCTGTTAACCTCACTGCCTCAGCGACCGTGTTTAGACAATCAATATCTTCATCATCGAGAGGCTTGTCACTCCCCTCACCGACCAGGAGGTACTCAACCACAACTGTACGACCCTTGCTGGGTGTTGAGGATTTGCGACTGTACAGGGGCAATGTGCGAGCCACAGCTGCGGCAGATGCTACAAGATCTTTCCTCTCACATATTATCTATGGAAAGAATACATTACATTGGTTCATTTTTAAATCATTTTGGGGATCAATTTGCAAAAAGTACAGTGAAACATGTGAATAAAGGCCATCCGAAGGAAATACGATACATGGCCTTTATAGGCAAGAAATCCTTATTTGAAGTTCACTCTGATGCACTTTTTTTCAATGAAGGTTTCTCAAAAAATGGTCTTTATTTACAGAACGGTCTTTATTCAGAATTGGTCTTTAACACAAGTTTGACTGTATATTATAAACAGTATCATAATGAAAAAAATCCTGCTTGATATGTACAAATAATTCTTTTAAATTCCAATGTCATAATTAACAAGCTGTAGTTTGTTTTAATAAACTTACAAAATAAACCAACAATAAAGAAAATCTTATCTTTATTTAAAAAAAAAAAATTTTTAGGTTGGGTTTTAAGATGGTAACAAAAGAAATTCTTTAAAGGGCTTGAACGTAAAGCTATGAGGAATAAATAATTCAGTCAGTGGTCTAAAATACTTCAAATGAAGTTTGGATTCCTTCTTTCAAATGAAAATATAAACCTACCACTATGTATTCATTTCCACCAGCATAGCAGGACTTGACTAACTTTGATAAGGAATGTGATCTGGTTTGTGTATTGTGACGGCTACATTTGATGGGTAATGCAGCCACGGTGGCATTTGTCAACCATAAGGGGCAGCTATCCGTGGGTGATGGATGAAGACCTTCTATGGCAGTGGTAAATGTCTGAAAAAGATATGAAAAAATCATTTAATACCCAAAAGTTCACTGTCTTTCTCATCCAAAATATTTGCATGCAACATCTATATAAAACTCTTTTATTTTTTAATAAAAAGAAATAATTTATTAATAAAGACCTATGATCTAAATCTGAAAAATATGTCATTTAAAAAATACTTCAATATTCTTGAACATTTTGTACACTGTACATGCATATTATGCTTTAATCAATTTGTTTTAATGACCTGTTTAAATACATGTAAAAGTATTAAATCAGAAATTCTTCTCTGCTTATAATTGCATACTATATTTTGTTGACTGTTTTGTCCAGTTTGTGTTATTGAAATTTGTATTTTTTGCAGTATTTAGGGATTTGATCCATGACCTTTGAAACAGAAAAAATCAATAAGTTAATAGCGTTTTCTTAAAACTTGGAATTTACATGTGGGATGTTGCCTATCTTACTTTTAATTCTAACTTTTCAGGTCTAGGATGAGAACTGGCTTTATCTGTACAGGGTTCGAATTTTGCAATATTTACTACTAGCTAAAATTAGCTTGTGCATTTTATGCTTACTAGCTAAAATAAAAAGTGACAAACAAACAAGCGTAACGGGAATCGGATTTTCCAGTACATGTCTATTTATAAAGACCAATCAGAGACGGTTACAAAATTATCTACCAATCGTAGTCGCGGGTACCGATTGACGTCATTTTTTCACGCACATGCCCAAAGAATGGGCAACCCCCTAAAAATCGGATTTCCGCAATTGAATTTATAGCGAAAATGCGCAAGACTGTCTTTATTTCGCGGCGTTATAAGTTTTGTTTCAAATTTTACACACACATTAATTGAAAAGAAGACTTTATATATTTGGGTCCTTTTTGTTATTCACTCACTAATAAATGCGAGTGTCTTATATTGTTACTCGCTATTCAGAATTTCTACAAGCTATTAGCGTGTTTGCATGCCTAAATTCGAACCCTGCTGTAGATGAAAAAATATCAGTTCCATGTATGATAAGCCCAGTCTACCAAGTATTATACTTGCTCGGCCTCTCTAATAGCCTTAAAAGTTACAATTGCACACAGGGCTCTCAGTAGGGTCAGAATTTCACGAGTCAAAGACTCTTTGGCCAAAATTTTCATGAGTCAAATCATTTTTTTCTAGTGTCATTTGACTACATGAATCATTTTTATGTTACAAAAATGACTGTATTGGAGGTCATTTTTGGAGATTCCAAAGTCTAAATTGACAGAAAAAATCCATAATTATAAATGTCTATACCTCCCCCCCCCACCCCCTGCTCCACCTAAAAAAAAACAAATAAAACCAAAAAATGAATTGCTGTGAAAGAATAAAATAAGCAGCAGCTTTTCTGATTAAATGTATAAAATATAAAAAGAATTATCTTTACTGGTATGCTATATCATATTAATTTTAAATACCAAAATGTACCTTGGAATATTTAATGGAAAAAGAAATAACAAATGCACAGGTACTCCAAGTAAATCAAAGACGTATTATAAACCTTTAAAAGCAATCAATAATTGACACCTCAAGTATGTAATTCTTATCAGTTGTGTAGAGCTATTTTTAGCACTGTCAAATTGCAGCCACTGAATTGTCGCGCTTGAGTGCACAGGGTATAAACAATTGCCGTGTGTAAAGCATTTTATACACGGCTTATACTGCCTGTTGGCATTTTTAATGAGTGAGATTTGACAGATGTAGTAGGATTTGATAGGTAATTAGGGGTGGATTAAAGGTAATTATTATGGCATAGCTGAAAATCCCATGTGGCAAATTGACTCTTGGGCAGATTTTATCACGTGTCAAATTTGTGCATTTCCCGATTTTCACGAGTCAAAACCCGGATCCCCGTGTCAATCGAGAGCCCTGATTGCACAGCTAGAAACTATCCACCAGGTTTCAACAATAATTAAAAACGGTCTACACCACACAAACTTACCTCCTCATTGACTCTGGGTTCAAGCTTGAGTGATACATCTGTGAATTTAATCTGCTTGAGAAATTTCAATTGACCAACAATCAACACAGGGTTTTCTTTTGGATCTGATTTAGTCAGCTTCCCTGAGAAGGCTAATTTGGCAGCCATGTTACCTTCACACTCAATAGTTAACAATACTGTTGTGTTCTGTACATGTATAATACAAGAAAATAGTAATATATCATAAATAATATTTTGATAACAAAATGTGTCCGAAATGTTTTATCCGATTTTACATACACTTTTTAATAAAATACAAATAAAAGAGAATAACTGTGAGTTTCTGTCTAAATTTAGCAACAATTCAACTTTAATATGACAGCATTAATTGATTACAATCAAATAACTCAAAAACCATACTTTTAAACTATTAAAAATGGATTACACATCCGGCTTTTTCAGTTTCTGGAATTTGACCAGATATAAAGTATGCACGTTCTCGCAGGGACGACTTTTAGTGTAATGGAATGTGGATGGATGGAAAGATCGGGGTATCTGGACATTTCAGCTCTTGGTCTTTTCAATACCTAAACCTTTCGGCCCTGATTTTTTCGGCTACTTGATTGATATAGTATTGTATTCTGTAGGAATTTATCAGTGTAAAATTTTTATTTTTTTTCAAAACGGCTTATATTGAGATGTTTTTAAATGGATATACATATGTGCTGGGATTGACAATTCATATACATTTTATTTGGATTTTAAAGGCGTTTTGAGCTCAACACCCCAAGTGACTGTGTGTCGTTCAGCTTGATTGGTCAAGTGATTGGATTATCTTAACCCTTTAACTCATGAGCATATTGTGAAAAATTGTAAAGCCTCCTGTTTCAAGTTCAAACTGCTATGAAACTATGATATATGCTACAATACTGATGAAACCTGGCACAAATGATGACTGGACCAAAGCCTTTGTAACAGCATTTCCTATTCCCATGGCAACGGGGACGTCTAAAAATTGCAAAAAAATCACTATTTTGTATTGTTTTTTTTTTCTAAAAAACGGCTTTCGGTTGGATTGAGATATAGAGTTAAAGGCTTTTCAGCGTTGGTTACACTTTACCTTACGATCGACCTGATGCCATTTTTAGCATGACACATGTTCAAATTTTTTGGCAATGAGAAGCTCCCAAACAGAAGGGGACACATTCCCCTATTGGCAATCCCTTGATGTACAGTGTTTGGGGCCTAAATATGGTAATTTTTCACTGTTTGATGCCTCAAAGGGAGAGGGATCAAAAATCCGTCAAAACACGTTTTTATGAGGTAAAGGGTTAAGTGATAATCAAGATGACTCAAAATAATCTGATCAGTTGACCATACCAAGCAAGCTGTAACAAAAGACAAGAGCAAAAGGTGGTAAATCAGTGTACCATCAAGTTGAATCATCCTGTGCCAAGTCTTTCTGAATTTAATTCCAAACTTAATTTGACTATAAGTATAACTTTATGCTTTAATAAGAGACTTTTTAAGAAACATATTTTTGAATTTTGAATAAATTGTATCATATTCTTGTAATTATCAATATCAAAATATGACATTTATGTCAAAATGGTTAAATTAAATTTTAAAGTACACGAAATGACAATATCCTCGATGTATGTCTTATCTCAGACCAAAAATAATCTTGTTAAGATCATACCTTGAATATCCAATCATGACACCATCTGCACAGAAAAATATTTTAGGCCAACTGTATTCAAACAAAATTAAGCCCCGCACTTTGGTCGTTCGGGATCATTGATACCAGCACTATTAAGTGTTGAGAATTGAGTACCGCTCAAGCCGGTGCTAGGGGGCGTGAGGGATGTTGCACTTATTCATTATCCCTCATGTATAGACTCAATCAAACCGAGTCTGCAATTCTTATGTAATTTTGTTGTGATTAATTCTTCCGAGGGATCACTTTGTTTCCAGATTTTTGTAATAAAAGGCAAACTGGACTGAGTGATTTGTTTTGTTAAAAAAATAACAACAGAAATACTTAAAAAAAAACCGACCGAATCTCCATTTGTTGAAGGCAGTTCAAACATCACTTGAGGATGACATAAAACTAAATGAATAACTGCAAAACCACCTCTACCCTGGATAACAAAATCCATTAAAAAAACTAATCCGAGAAAGAGAGCAGCTCAAAAAGATATTTCTAAAAATGTCAGATCATGAACAACTGGATAATTAATTTAAAAAAATGATTTCTCAAATAAGAGCTTGAATTAAACAATCATACGACCTAAAACACTGCAGGTAACTTCATATTAGTTTTGATAAAACAAACAAAATTCACAAAAGATGACTCCATTAAAAGGTCAAAACTCAGGCTCTCTCAAAAGAAATGATACTGAAAAAGTAAAAATTCTTCGCAAATAATTTGCAGCCAGTTTTCTCTCTAGTTATATCAATCTCTCTTCAAGAGGCATATCAAATCTCTATGCTATCAAAGCTGACGGCCTTAACAATATAGACCAATTTATTGTAATGAAGGACCTGAGAGAGGAGTTTGCTGACATTATCTCTGTTCTCTTTAAAACGAATACGCACAAAAACGATATACCAGTGATCCAGCAAACTATCGCCCCATTTCCCGTATGTATACTTGCATTCTCTGCAAAACATTCAAACAAATAGTATTTCACCTTTCAACGGTACTGTCCTCTCGCTTTGCCACTCACAAAATACTCGCATGTATTCAAAAAGAGGCGATATGCATGCAGTCCATGGAACAACCTTTTCAAACAATCAGATCTCATACTTACTATAGTTTCCGATAAAGTAAACAGTCTGAATATCTTAACCAATAACTTCACCAGCATTATGGAAAATTGACTGCTTTCAAGGAAAAACCTCCTATTACAAGTTCAAAATGCCTTGAAACTATCACAAAAATGCTTAAATTCTCTTCAAATTGGAACAAATGTTGACTAGACTGTCACTATGGCAACGAGGGTACATAAAGATCTCAAAATGCCTAAAATCACTATTACGCTTTGATTTTACCATAAAAACTATTTTCAAAGTGCTACAACTTTTCAATGGATTAAAATAGAGTCTAATGCTTTTCAGCGTTGGTTACACTTACCTTAAGGTCGGCCTGGGGCCATTTTAGCCTCTCATAAGTCCATATTTTTCTAGGAGATGTGGGGGGTCTACCGACCCCCTTAATTCAAACTCTCCCTCTGGCTCCCCTCTTTTTGATTGGAGATGGTACTGAAAAAGTGACCACTTGTTTTAACACCAATTCTCAAACGAAAACAAATGTTTAGTGTCTAAAAGGGCATTTCTTTTCACTATTTGAGGTCTCAAAAGGTGGGATGAAAATCCGCCAAAACACGTCAATATGAAGTTAAAGGGTTTTTCTTAACAGAAAATGATAAGAAAATATTGGAAATACCAACTGCAGTTTTTCCATGTTAAAACATAGCCTTACAAATACTTTTGAACAAAAATTGTTGTTTTTTGCGGCATTTTTCCCCATTAAATCTTTTTGCAGTAAAGAGTTTATCCTACCGTTATTCCGTTTTAAAATATCGATTCGAAATTGAATTAGTCAATATAATAAGTACTTCCTGGAAACTGTAAACAAAAAGTAATTAATTTAATTACAGTTTATTACAAACATGCCAAAGAAAAAATCAGGAAAGAAGAAGTAAGTTGACTTATTATTGAAACAAAAAGCAAATTATCTATGCAATATTAAGAAATGTTGTACCAAAACGCAACATTGACCAAATATCATCTGATTTCGCGAATGAGGTTAAATTGAGAATTTCATTAAATTTTAGTTATTATCGCTAATATTCCGTGATTTCATTAGTCTCGTGGAAAAAGCGTATTTCCATATAAAACTGATAAAGTTTGATCGGTGTGAAAATTTAAGAGGTAATCTGTTCAAGATGAAACTTTTCTTTCAATCTTTGGAATAAAGGTGTCATAGGGTATTTCATACACCGCTTCCATGTTCTGTCGGAAAAATAGATGAGTTACAATGAAAATGACGGCACCCAACTAAAACTGACACTGACTGTGAATTTCATTGATTATCAGGTATAGAATTGTATAGGCCCCTCCTATATTTTTTATTGTTTTCAGTGATTTTCCTACTTATATAACAAACTCCGAAAAAAGGCCTCTTCCCAATTGAAATTTTCTTTAAAATCATGCAGTTTTCCCAAAAATCTGAAGTTAAACCAGCTTTTTTACTTCCCAAATCAGCAATTTTAGAGATAATTTTTCCCAAAACCAAGAGGCTAAGGCCTCTTCCCAATTAAGCGAGAAAAATCACTGGTTTTTTATTTGATTTTCTTTTAAATATACACATGTAGTCTATAGCAGGGAAAGCCAAAGTAAACAATGAAAAATCTTGTCTTGTACACAAGCAGGGTCTTCTATTTGAAAGACCCTGACACAAGGAAACATTATTCTTACAGTTTCTGTATTTTAAAGGGATACTCAGGCAAATTAAGGACAAAAATATTAAAATTATCTTTTGTACTCAAATAATGCAAAAAATTCCCAGCATGAATTTCTGTAAAAATTCTATATCTATTGGGTTTGAAGTGTAAATATATCTATATGTTTTAAACGAATTTGAGACGCCAACAGCAGCACTCAATAGTTTTTAAACAAGTCATGTGACTTGAACAAACCCTGGAAGTTACAATAACCTATTGTGGATATTTTATGATTGCAACAAGTCTAAGTCATTCATTTGACATGTTCCGTGTAACGTTTCCAGAGTTCACTGTTACAACTATTATGAAATCATAACGCTCTAACCCTACCCACGTTGGTCAAGTTAGGAAACCTACATTTCATTCTTTATAAGGCCTTAAAAAAAGTTGTTTTGTTTTGGTCACCCAACCCTACCTAATAATATACGTCAACCCTACCGTCGCCACTCTTAGTTACAAAATGGCGGATCACATCGTCAATATTTGTAAAACGGCGTGTGATCTTCACCAAACTGCAGAACGCCGAGAGTTAAAGATTGTTACACCTAAAATGTCTTTTGAAAACATAAAAGGGATATTTGTGCCATCCGGGAGGGTATTACACTGATCACCACACCCTTGTACATGGTTTATATAAATTTGGCATGATGTGCATTACCCATAATTCATCATGCTTTAGTGTTGCTGACCTGCTAGGAAAAGCAAAGGTGACTCAGTAATAACCAAAGGGTACATATAAAAATGACAAATCAACTATATATCATACTTTTTATTGCATTTCTACTCAGTTTTGTAACTTGTCAATCAATCAAGGGGTCCTTTGTGAGAGCCAGTATAAATTCTACCAAAAAATAGCAAATGTCAATATACTGGTGAATAAAAAAATAAAAAAATATATGACCTACCCTACCTATTCTTTGAGACCAAACCCTAACAAAACAATTTATTTTTAGGCCTAAGGAGAAAAGTTTTGTTCCTGTAACTACCTAGTGTTTTCATTTTCAGGACATTTACAGAATAATGAATGAAAACTTCAAAACGAAGATATGAAAATTTTGCCTGTGTCTCCCTTTAAATGGAAAGTGTTTTTTTTTGTTCCAGGAAGAAGTCAGCAAAATCATCCAAAGAAGACAAACATGCGACAGCAGAAACACCTGAGCCAGGTACACTTATAGCTGCTGACGGTACAGATGCTGGTATTTCCGGTCTCCTTCAGGAAAATAACAATGCTGACGGAAAGGGTAAAAAGAAGAAAAAGGGAAAAGGAAAGAAGAAAAAGATGACAAAATCAGAAAAAGATGTGGTTAGAAAAGAATTTTGTTTTATAGTATATTTATAACAGGACTATTGTTTTAAATGGTTTATTTTTAAGAAATAAATTGGTTTATTTTTAGCTCGACTTTTCTATGAAAAGGGGAGCTATCCTACTCGCCCCGGCGTCGGCGTCGGCGTCACACCTTGGTTAAGTTTTTCGTACCACCCCACTTTATTTCAGAAGTATTACAAGTATGGCTTTGAAACTTACCATACTTGTTCACCATCATAACCTCCATCTACAGACAAGAGTACATAACTCTGTCAAGGTTTTTGACAGAATTATGGCCCTTTTTTGACTTAGAAAGTGTATTGAGCTTGGTTAAGTTTTTTGTACCACCTCACTTTATTTCAAAACCATTGGAGGTATTACTTTGAAACTGACCATACTTGTTTACCATCACGACCTTCATCAACAGACAAGAGGACATAACTCTGTCAAGGTTTTTGACAGAATTATGCCCCTTTTTGACTTAGAAAATACATTGAATATGGGTAAAATCCACTTATTGCCTTAACCCTTTGAGATATTGCTTTGAAACTTTTAATGCTATTTCACATCATTACCCCCATCTGTACGCAAGAGAAGGTAACTCTGTCAAGGATTTGTTTTAAAAATTAAGGCCTTTTATCGACTTAGAATCTTGGTTAGGTTTTTAGTACCAGTCCACTTTTTGACTGAACTGTTTGAGATATTAATTTGAAAGTTGGAATACTTGTTTACAATCATGATTCCCAAACATGTCCAGGAGAAGGTAATTCTGTCAAAGATTTTATTTGAATTATGGCCCTTAACTGTCAATGTTTTGTATTATAGGCAAGCACTAAAAAACTTAAAAAATCTAAAAAAATTCATTCCTATCCACTTGTTCACTTTACCATAAATTATGTCATAATAAAATAATTCTTCACTAAATATCTTAATGCTCATGGCCATTGTTCACTTTAAAAATACAGAGATTCTTGTATTGCCTTTTACTGCAAAAACTTTTTTTATTGGCAAGCAATAAAAAAGTCGAGCGCGCTGTCTTACGGACAGCTCTTGTTAAAAAATAAATTGAGCAAAGGCTAATTTAGTTAGTTAAAACTTTAAAGCATGATTGTTAAGACTGTTACTCACAGTCACTCAGCAATGTACATGCAGCTTATTTCAAGCACTCTAATCCACATTTTGGTACTACAATTTTAAGATAAAGGTTTTCTGACCCAAGTAGACTTGAACTTACAATCACTGGGTTGAGTGATAGGCACTTTAACCAATAGTTCACATACAATGTATTTCCTTGCTTTGAATATATAGAAGAAAAGAAGAAAAAAAGGTTAAAAAGACATTTAAGGGAAACTCATCAAAGAAAAGCATTCAAGAAATTCAAGACAAAAAAACAAAACAAAAACAAAAATAAAGCTTAAATATATTTTTTAGTAATTTTGCAATGTTGTAGAATTCATGCGATTGACAGTGAAATTTAGTGTATATAAAATTGAATAACCTTCCTATTTCATTATTATACCAAATAAGAATAAAACAAAAGCCATATAATGTGTTTGCTTTTAGATTACTAAATATAAATTTTGATCTTTGTAATAGTGCTTAATTTAACATTGAACTTATTATTTAAAGGCAAAGTTAGAGAAAGCCTGTGACAAGATGCGTGCGGAGAAAACCCAGTTTCATGACTTCATTAACAGAATGGATAGCTGGCTGGTGAAGAACCATAAAAATATTGCCCGATATTTCCGTAGATTTGACGAGGATGGGGAGGGAATACTAACATATGAGGATTTCAAATCTGGTAAGTTTTGTTTGTTCATTCAGCTCTTTCTCAAATCTCTGGATTTTCATTGGTCAATGTCCATTCTTTGCCATTTTCTGACCATTCAAATACCTGAGATCTGAGTTTGAGCTAAAAAAAATCTGTATAATCTCTGACCCATATGCCATAAAAGGAACATTGTCAAGTTTATACAGATTTTTTAGACTGATTATATGGGAACCTCTATGCTTACAGACACACTCACAACTCTGTCTATACTAAGAAATGAGTGTAAAGTTGTTTGGCAATGTCCAAGGAAACAACATGGTTTGAACCTTAAAGCAGCTGCAGCAAATATGACCCTTAGATTTAAAGGCAGGCACATTAACAATGAGGTAACCACTACATTGAAAGTGTATAAGTTAGCTGTATATTTGCTGTCTGTAGTTGACAAAGTTATTGCTTTAATTTGATTAAAAATAATTAACAAATTCCTGTGTTGTACGTATATTTCCTTAAGAGGGAATGGTAATGGCATAAGATGTTTGCTGAATACTTAAAATAGTGGCATAATATTTTGTTCTGGAACAATTTATTATGTTTATGTAGTTTAGTAACAAAGACATTCTATTTAAAACTTTCTAAAATTAACCATTAGATTATGGAAACATCATAATTTTATAATTTTACCATTTATGAATTTTAATAAAAGATATTTCATTAGATATAGCTTCAAACACTTTAAAGCTTTTTTTATATATAAATGTACATATAGAATTATGAAAATCATTTTGATTGATATATTCATTATATAAAATAATTATTGTCTTAAGGACATTGAACATTTAGATGGGTTAATGGTAAGCATATGACCCTAACCAAGTATAGTGTCAGGCTATCCTGCAGGTCCCTTCATTCTGGGTGTTTCTGAGAGGTATTGCTGAGAGGTGTTTCTGAGAGGTATTGCTGAGAGGTGTTTCTGAGAGATATTGCTAAGAGGTGTTGCTGAGAGGTGTTTCTTGGAGGTATTGCTGAGAGGTGTTGCTGAGAGGTGTTTCTAGGAGGTATTGCTAAGAGGTGTTTCTGAGAGGTATTGCTAAGAGGTGTTTCTGAGAAGTGTTTCTTGGAGGTATTGTTGAGAGGTGTTGCTGAGAGGTATTGCTGAGAGGTGTTTCTAGGAGGTATTGCTGAGAGGTATTGCTGAGAGGTGTTTCTGAGTGGTATTTGTGAGAGGTGTTGCTGAGAAGTGATGCTGAGAGGTATTTGTGAGGGGTGTTGCTGAGAGGTGTTTCTGGGAGGTATTGCTAAGAGGTGTTTCTTAGAGGTATTGCTAAGAGGTGTTTCTGAGAGGTATTGCTGAGAGGTGATGCTGAAAGGTGTTTCTGAGAGGTGTTTCTGGGAGGTGTTTCTGAGAGGTATTGCTAAGAGGTATTGCTAAGAGGTGTTTCTGAGAGGTGTTTCTGGGAGTTGTTGCTGAGAGGTGTTGCTGGGAGGTCTTGCTGAAAGGTGTTTCTGGGAGGTGTTTTTGAGAGGTGTTTCTGGGAGGTGTTTCTGAGAGGTATTCCTGAGGGGTGTTGCTGAGAGGTGTCCTGCAGGTCCCTTCATTCTGGGTGTTTCGGAGAGGTGATGCTGGGAGGTATTGCTGGGAGGTGTTTCTGAGAGGTATTGCTGAAGGGTGTTTCTGGGAGGTGTTTCTGAGAGGTGTTTCTGGGAGGTGTTTCCGAGAGGTATTCCTGGGAGGTGTTGCTGATGGGTGTCCAGCAGGTCCCTTCATTCTGGGTGTTTCGGAGAGGTGTATTGCTTGGAGGTGTTTCTGAGAAGGCATTGCTGAGAGGTGTTTCTGAGAGGTATTGCTAAGAGGTGTTTCCGAGAGGTGTTTCTGAGAGGTATTGCTTAGAAGTGTTTTGTGACCGGTATTGTTAAGAGGTGTTTTGTGAGGTATTGTTGAAGGGTGTTTTTGAGAGGTAAACCGTATTGATGAGATTTGTGTCTGAGAGGTATTGCTGAGAGTTGTTTCCAACTGAGGTGTTTCTGATAGGTATTGCTGAGAGGTGTTTCTGAGAGGTATTGTTGAGAGGGGTTAAATTTATTGTGATGGATAACTTTTGAAATAAAAAGAAAAACTGTTGTTTTGCAGAGATCATGCTCTAAAGGAGGTCGATTGCAGAGGTTGATCTGTATATTTTTTTAAATCAGTGTTGAAATCCCTCAGCTTACAAGGGCAGTTCCAAATTCAGAACATGACATTATTATGCATTATATAAATTCAGCTGGATAAGGCTAAATTTTGTCTTTTCTTAAATTTCACAATTTTTTTTCAGGTATGCTGGACATGTTGTGCCCATGTACAAATGTAGAGTTGTACATGTTATGTAAGCTACTTGATAGAGAAAATACAGGTGACATAGATTTCACTGAGTTTTCCAAAGGTTTGAAATATATTAGGTAAGTTACTAAATAACATTCCATAATGTATGCCACAAGATGACTTGCTGATTTAAATATAGAATGATATGATTAATCAGATGTCTTTATTCTTCTGCAAATGTTTGGAAAAATGTGTGAATATTTCAAATGTCCCATTTAAAAGAACTGAAGTATATTAATTTAGCGTATAGTTTGACTGTCTTACATAGATCAACTCTTTTTGGAAGTAAGGAGTGAGTGAATGGTCTGAATGATCAGAAAATTTGCATAGAAGTTACTGGTCCAGACCCCCCTCAAAAATTTCCAGTCCCATCATTGTTAAAAAAACTCAGGGGAGTCCCTCAAAGCAGATTAAAATTTACACTTCTTTCAATTTTAAAATTTTCATCCCTTTATTCAATATTTTTCATATCTTGTTACAATTATCAACCTTATAATAATATGGTTTTTTATGGGCTGGTGGTAAGGAGGGGCTCTGTGATAAAGTGCTTAAGGTCGATACTTTTAATCATAATAAATTGTCCCTAACTGCTTTAATGTGTGGAAGCAAGTCTTCTAGTTCATCAAAAACACACTATCAAATAGGATTCTGACCTTAAAATGAAGATTTCCATAATAATCAATCATCACGAAACTATGATTAAATTTCATAAATTTCAGCCTTTAAATGTTGATAAATATACATCCTGGATATTTATTTTGTCTGAATAAAGAGCTCAGAGGATTATTCAATTGCTGTCCGATTTCTGGGATTTAGAATGTTTTTGTATTTCTTATTTGCTTTGAAAAAATTGTCTCTAAAGTTGCTTTATCATATAATGATAAACTGACAGTTGACATTTTCAAGATGTTACAATTGGCAGTATTGTATGCAAGATTCTGTTTGATAATACAAAATACAATGGTAATTAGGTCTCCAAAGACCCATGATTAGTTGGGAAATGATTTCATAAAATTTGTCTGGCTGGATGATAGAGATCAGAAAAGATAAATTTGTTTTTTTTTATGTAAAAAAAGAAACAAACAAAAAACAACAAGATTAATATAAGAAGGATTTGTAATTTTGTAATCCAGAAATAATGTAAATGCATGCATATTTCATTTTTAGAAGTGTGATAATTATGAGTATTTTGAAACTGAATGAACTGAGTGACTGATATAGATAATATCTCACAGTAAAGTATAAAAGTAGATAATTAATATATCTCACTCAATTCAAAGTACAATCTATATATTAGTTAGTGATGTATAAATTGTATCAAATTCTGCAAAGTATACTATTGAGTGATATAGAATTTATCTTGCTCGCAGCAAAATACTACTAATGGGTGATCTTTATAGATGATAGATTCACTTACTGCAAAACATACTTGTGAGTGATATGAAATATACTACACCCCCTTTTCTGTACATGCTAAAATTACAACAAGATTCAGAACAATATCTAGTAACAGAACAATAGCATAGCAACAGAAACACATGTACACTCAATAATTCATGGGGTCTACTAAACTACATTCTACTCCTCACAGCAAAGTACATGTACACTAGTGAGTGAATCATATATTATATTTACCTCACTGCAGGTTTATTTTAGTAAATGATATAAAATATATCTCACTTACTTCATAAGATATATATAAAAATCAAAATAATATCTCACTCACTGTATAAGACTACACTGAGTACACTCAGTTAAAAAAAAAATACTTAGGGATTATACATCACCTCACATCAAAGCATTATATGCAAATGATTAGTGTATCTCACTCACTATAAGATTAACTAGTGAGTGATATCAATTATATCCTCACTGTGTAGTATAACTTAATTTTCTGTATATTTCAGAGAGTTGGAGGACCTAGAAAGAGATGAGGAGGAGGCTGATAAAATTCTTATCCTCACTGAGAGGAACTTTGAAAAATGTAAATGTTGTAAAATGAGTATAGTTGGTCCCTATCAAGTTAAATATCCAAGGTAAGCAAATAATGAATATACATACTTGTTAAGATTACTATTTATATATATGATATATATGATACAGATTAGTAATACTTTGCAGCCAACCCTAAATTATGGAAATTAGAAACACATTCATTAATATGACCACTTAGTATGTGTGCCCATCATGTAAATATAGATAGGTGATTAGAAACATACATGTATAAACATTTACAGTACATATTTAACATATTCTTGGATGTTTGGAAATTGTTTTAGAAGAATAATGATATACATATAAATGTATAAAATTCCACTTAAGTGTTGTTACATTCTTAATTACAACATACAGGATCTTTAATGTTCTATAAATGACCAGGTTCCTAAAATTTATACCAGCTAGATTGAAGAAATACATTTTCTTAATCTGAAATTATTTTGATCTGAAATATAAATAAACAATATATGGAATTGTAGAACAAACATATTTTTATTAACAAACGAAAAACAAAAAGATATAGGATCCCTTTAGTGCTACTCATTGTTTGTAATGTTGACAAAAGTGTATTTTGCTTTATTTTGTTATTTTAATTCCATAATTACTTATCTTCTTTTTTTTTCATTATTCAGATTTATATTACTTGAGTTGCGTCTGGTTGCATTTAATGACATTAAAGAACATCCCGGTCACATTGAAGTTCTCGTCCATTCACATATACCAGTCAGTTCACTTCATCAAATTATAGTCGACGAGACGGGGATCATGTCAACAAAATTGTCCATATTCCACGATAAATCACGGAGTCGAGAAGCCATGTTGCCAATGCATATGGCGTTACAAGACCTCGGATATGAAGGGGACACTTACGATGACCCGGAGGAATTGACATTGTTTTATGACTATAAAGTGGAATTTATTGACTGCCCATTGTTATTGTGTGATCATTATTTTGGAAAGAAAATTGAAACAAATATGCATAGGTTGACTGCTGTATAGTTGTAAAATATGGGGCTTTAGGAGGTATGGAAGACCATTGTTGTTTAAATTATGTTTTCCATTTCAAAAGAAACTGGAAATGACACTTTCCTAGTATATGATAGTGAAATCAGTATTGTTCTTGAATATCAAACATTTTAATTTACATATAAAATATTTGAAAAAATTATCAAACTTATCCGAATAGAACAGATTTGACTCCTAAGTAAGTCTTGTTGAATGAACTTCAGTTATCATTACTTTATGGAAATCAGCTTGAAAACATACAAATAGATCTTGTTTAAACTTTCAAATCGTAAATAAAAGAATGGAATTTTACAAGGCTGTACACACCAAAGCATTTAGTTTGTGAAATAAGTGTAGATAAGCCTATCCTAATGAATTCTTTTGAAAAATTTACCTTTTTATGTGATCTTCTTGTGATTTTGACTTCGTATTACTCAGAGTATTTTAAAAGTTAAAAGATGTAATAATTATTGTATAAGCAATGTTATTTAAAGATATTTTATTTCATTTTAGATTTTTTTTTACCTTTTTATATATATCTGGAACTTTTATTTGTTTTTCCATGAATCTTTACAACTCATTGCCATTGTTTCTTTGCTTTAATATTTACCTGTACATTTATATATATTTTACGTATTCATGTTTTTAAACAGATTTAGAAAGAAATAAAAAAATAAAATATTAACTTTTACATTACATGCTTTATTTGAAATACTGTTATGTGCAATAGCTGTAGCAATATGTATGAATATATAGTGTTATATACCTGAAGAAAGTTTCATACCTTATCTTTATTCATGGTTCATAATCATTGCCAGTATTCATTATTATGACTTGAAATTATTTGCCCTTCGCTGGTGTAGGCTCGAATCCTGCCAGAAACTTTGGATTATTTCATGTGAGGAAGCTATCCAGTAGCTTATGGAACGCCGGTGGTTCTACATAGGTGTCAGCCCATGTCTGAAAGAATGCAAGGAGAGACACCTGAGATCTTCCTCCACCAGTAAAGCTATAATGTAGTCATATGACCTCTACTGTGTTGGCGCAATGTAAACCCCATCCCACCCAACAAAATGTATTCAGGTAAGTTAAGAAATAAATTTTTGCGCTCGACTGAATGCACTGTTTTAGTCAATAAGGTGTAAAAAAGTTGCGGTATAATTGTTCCCACTAATCTCCATAATGAATGTAGATTATTCCAATATAAAAAATATCCTGAAGCACAGAGATGTCATGCAGTAAAATGGCGATTAAAACCACAGAAAAACAAAAAAGCAACATAAAAGTTTACTTGTTGCCAGATATGATAAAAAGGAAATAACAAAAGTTAACTCGTGACAACAATAATTTCTCACCACTGTGCTACGCTTTTGTGCTGCCTTTTACAATTAAATCAATTCCATTCAAAGGTATGCTGTTTGGAATTAATATATGCAAACCTGAGATGAAAGAAGTCTTTAACCACGCTGCAGTTGTGTTTATACTATAAATCTAAATCAAATTTGTAAATTCAAATGCTTTATGAAACACGGCACAAATTACATATAATGTTAATATGTTTCAAGCTAAAGATTCTGAATAGAGCAATACATACATGTATCTAGCCCGGGAAGAATATTTTTAGTATTCTAAGATTACAACAGATCAGTTCGTTTTGACTTGTACTTTAATACAAGATACTGTTGAACATTTAAACTATTAAACAAGTAAACTAAAGCTACTGACCTAGCTACACACTGTGGTTTTTGATTACAAATATTATGTTGTTGTTTTTTTCCCTTCTAAATCACATGAAACAAACAAACAATCAAACCGCAAATTTAGCCTTATGTACCAAAATGCTAAACGGAATGGTACAGTAAAGCTCTGAGGAGCGGGCTTCTGTAGAGCAATTACGTCTTTCCAACAAAATATCATATCTTTCTACAGTAAAATAACACTAAATTTAACCAATTATATTCAACAGCTCTTATCAACAATCAAATTATTTGACTCCCAAAGAGCATACGTTCCTCTGCAAAAGTTGCACTGCATATGTTTGCAAATTGCATGTATACAGACCTTCAACTGCATTAGATGTATTGTTTCACAGTTGATGAAAAATGACATGCACAAATATGTTATCAGTGACCTGATTTAATTGATTAAACATATCAATGACGACGTATGTGATTTAAAGTATTGCTCTTGGCAGTAATCATATCATTACGCGCAATAAATGTTGCAGACGATAAAAGTGATCTTCTGCAGTCATTTTATAATGTTGTAAAATGTTCTGCGCGTGCGGTAATTTTGTTTAATTTCCACAAGGATACTTGTAATGGTAATGCAATTCTTTACTTTATCAATTAAATATTTTTTAATGACTCTTTGAGATAAAGTTAAATTTTCTCTGAATCAGGGTTAATATTGAAGTTTTGAAATATAGAGATTAATAAAAGCATTAAGCAAGTGTTTCAAATTTACAAGATCTTACTTTTTTCTTATTCGTAGTTTGTATGTGCAACATTATTATATCTATACTGAATTGCTATAAAAAATGATACATGCATTCTTACCTTGACCATGAGTGATAAGCTACACCAGTTCAAAGTACATATTATCTTGTTGTCTTTAAATTACAATTATTCATATTTTTCGCGATCCCATCCATTTAAATTGATGAACTAAGACACTGTATAACCCATTACACGATTTACATGCCTTTTAACGCCTTTTTCACCCCCTTTTTTGTTGTCTCAAATGGTGAAAAAAAATAGAGTTGTATTATCATTTTAACAATAAATATTTTGAGGATATTGAATGAGTTTAGATTCAATTACTGAATTTAATGAACGAGTTTGATAAATTTAGTAACGTACCATCACGAATATAATATTCTTCTTATCACATACCCAAAATAAGAACTATTTTCAGCAGCAGCAGCAACAACAACAAAACAAACTTACATTTCTTCATTGGCGCGCTAATAAAATTAATAGTATAACGCTCTACATTTAGAGCGTGTTTAAGGCCGTGAAATACCGTTTTTACGGAGTCACAAAAGCGGCACAACTATGGGATAAATATATAATATATCTTATCTCATTTTCTAAAATATCTAACCAAGTTTCTGATATATGATAAATGTAAGAAACCAGCATTTATATTCATCTACAGAAACATGATAGCCAGTTTATTTACAAAGAAGAATCTAATTAAACCTGCTAAACGAGAAATAAAAACCAAAATTAATAAATGTTAAAAAAATCAAAACAATAAGTACGCTTAATTATTTGAATGTGATGCCATTTTCAAAAGTCATATGTTATTTGTAATTTATTAATAAAGAATCCATGTTTCAATAAGCTAATTTCCTTACGCAATGTGCTATATCAAGAACCTTTCATTAGACTAGTTTATGACAAAAAATGAAAAGTAGCAAAATTTGAAATAATACATGTAATAACAACATGTATGTAACTTGAATTCATCAGAGGAATGGCAACAGTAATTTTTCTCACCAAACCCCTTTGCATGTTCACTTATGTTCATTATGTTTGTTAATTCTGCAATTTTATACTGTGTGTCAACAAATCGTTCTTGTTTGTATCGAAGTAGTAAGTAACGTTTAAAATTTTGCTCTTATTTTGATAATTTATTAAATGCCCATTATGCTTCAGACATGTAATTTATCTTTATTTTACAAAAGCTCTTTGTTTTGGTGTACTTTTATAGTATCTAAAAAGTTACCAGTTGGTCAATTATCTTAACCTTCTTTTTCGTCTTTTTGGCGATACGTATAGTTAGTGAATTATTATTTTGTCTGGAATTAGAAATACCACTTTTTACATTCTTTTACTTTTAAGACAAATTATTTCAAATTTAGCGCTACATTCTTACAGGTATTAAACATCTAACATTCTCTACAGCTATTATTTAAACATTACAAAATTCATGTTTGTCCTTTCTTAATAAGTAAAAATTTACTATTTTCTGAGGCATAAAGTGCCTTTAGGTAATAGTTGTATTTTTATTCAAGTTAAATAAAAGAACTTTTATTTTAATAACTATACTGCATGTGTGTGCGGCATGAATAGACAGCGAATAGAAGTAGTGTCAGTCAAATATGCATTCATTTATAGTTTAACATTATCAATATGCTTAATGAGAACAATAACAATTTGATTTATTGACGAATGCCTTTAATGATGAAATACTGATTGATATACACCGAATAGATATAATCAAACATTCAATATGGTTCAAACTTTCGATTTGTCAAACTTAAATTATGAAGTACAGTTTTATTTTTTTTTCTCAATTTTATTTCATGTGAGTACTCTAAGACTCTTTGATATTACTAATATAATTAGAAGAATATGATTTCCCTGGGACATGCGATCAATCATATTTAGGTATCAAGTTACAATGTTTGTATAATTAACTAGACCCTTTTCATCATAAGAACTACTCACGTAGGAGTATTAAAAACTAAATTTTTGAAATGTTGAAATATATTTCATATTTCTCAAAACTATAGCAATTGATACACAAATCATTTCCTATAAATCAATATATTTTTTATATATAAGACTCACTTTTTGCGGTCCTTGCGCGAGAACGATAACTTGGTTATTAATCGATTGTATTGAAAAAAAAAAAAAAAAAAAAAAACACAACAAAACTCGTTTATGATTTTCAATGCAACTTCCGTGTTTAGTTGATCATTTAAATTAGGATTAAAAATTTCAACGGTTTACGACCATCATAATTGAATGATACATTTACAATAAACATCGAGGCTAGTCACGTGACATCAAAATCAGATATATATACCTTCAACATTATTAGAATAAACAACAATTACAGTATGCAAACGAATTTTGAATTTTAGATTTATCGCGTAACATATGGTTTAAAAGAAACAGTTGCTTTTTGCTTGCCACCTAATAACATTTTTTACTGCATAAACATAATTATTTGCATTGCGTTATTTTTGAATGGACTTCTATAGGATATATAAATGTTATTTACAAGACTTCTCAAACAATTTATTCATATCTATGTCAATTTTGGAAGATATATGTCATTTTAAAACGCGTTGCTTTGAAATAAAAGAAGACACATTGTATTTAGTATAGAACATACTCAGTGAAAAAAAATAAAGGCGGTGAAACAGTGGATATTTATTGCTATTTCATATTAGAATGTTATTTGTTCATTACAGTTTTAAGCGACAATATTTCGCTCTCAAGCACCTCTATAACGGCCTATTGTGGTAGAGTGTCATAAAGATTATCCTTTGCCACACTTTCGTTTGATACATTATTTATGAATATTTTTGATAAGTCTTGATAAGATTTCTGACATTGGTAAGCCGTCAGACATGTTCAATCCTTATAATATGTTGCCTTGATTGTGACATAAATGAACTGAATCACTAATGAAGAGGAAATATACTTAGTTTAAGCTTTGTTACCAGACAAAGTAAAGGAACAATGGTTTTAGTATCAGACTCGTGTTTTTTATTCATTTGTTCGTGTAATGCTTTTGGTTTTGTAATAGTTTGGTTAAATGTTAATTAGTATGTGCTCTTTCGTATCATATTTCAGAATGATCTGAGTTTGTTAAAATGCAAGAGGAGGTACCAATAGGACGTTGCTATACTCAGCCACATCTTTATAGACTTTGTAACAAAGTCGCATGTATATCATGGAAACTAAAATGTCGTAAGTATCTTACAGTATTGCTCTAACTGCTATAAGAGCATCAAATAAAATCCTTAAATTTTGAAATAATTTCAAACTGACATCTACGATTGTACATTCTTTTCTTAGGAATTATTTTACAGCATGCTTTTTGTTCTACTAACTTATATATTAAAGGTAAACAAATGACTGATACATATCTAAACATCAACAGAACCAACATTTTTACCCCATCGACAGTATTTTGAAACGTGTACATAACATTTTTGACACTTTGAAAATTTGAAAGCCCTGTGACTTAAGGATTTGCCAGTTACAATTCGTTTTTTTCAATTATCAAGAAGAAATTATGTGATTCGAAGGATGCTCGAGTATGAATATGATTTAATCTTAACCTTGCTGAAACTTAAAGTAATTAGCTTTTGTCATTAGGATAGAGCCTTGCACCTCCATGCAGTTTAACCACGCTAGATAAGTGGGCTAATGAGCTGCACTCTTTCATTTTGATACCTATAAAACTAACTGATATTGAATAGGTAGAAATAAAATGGAAGTCGAAAATGGCATTTATAAATAAGTTGTTTGAGGGTTTGATGCCAGGATTTATTGGGGCTGCGTTCATTGGCTGTCGTCTTTCCTTACTGATCTTTATTCTCATATATTAAATACTTTTACAATTATTTCAGCCTGTAAAGCAGTTTCGGGTTTCCGATGCATGATAGGAAATTGTATCTCGATTAGGTTTAAATGTGATGGCGTCAAGCATTGCTTGTATGGAGAAGATGAACAATTTTGTCAACATGAGCAAAAAGCAGAACGTTAGTATGAACATATCACGAGTTTATCGAAACCTAATTCAAACCAATAATTTGTACAGTTAAGCTGTGATCGAGTGCATGCTTTATCCAAATCTGGAAACAAAGTGAGCCCTCGGAAGCATTAATCACAACAAAATTACACAAGATTTGCAGATTCGGTTTGATTGAGTCTGTACATGAGGGATAATGAATAAGTGCAACATCCCTCACGCCCCTAGCACCGGCTTGAGCGGTACTCAATTCTCAACACTTATTAGTGTTGGCATCAATGAACCCGAAGGACCAGAAAAATATAACAACACTACTTGTATCATCAGTTTTAGCTATTCAATATTCTGATTTAATTCCAGCATCACGTTTGTATTTGAGTACAACTAATACATGTATGAAACGAAATGAAATCATTATAAAGTAATATCTCTAGTTAGCATATGTATATATGAAAAAATCAATTGCTCTGATAGAAATCACAATCAATGTTTCTCGAAGTTTTGTTATACATAAATGTTTGATACTAGTTTATCAAATATAAATGATGTAACTATGGAAATGACAATGGTGTTACAATAATTTATATCAAAATAATGTTGTTTTTTCCTTCAGAAACTGTAACAAAACAAGTAAATGTAATAAAAGACAATATCCTTAAGGAGCAGGCGACTACTAATGAAAACCTGTCTACCCCTGTTGTTGTGACAATAGCCTCCGTCAGTGTGTTAGTCTGTATTCTACTTGTTGTTCTTTTATGTATTTTCTTTGTAAGAAGGCGGAAGAAAAGCAACAAAAACAGTGAGTCTGTGTCAGGTATGCGTTATTTAAAAATATTGCAAAGTTTTTATATAAATATAGAAATGTTTCAATTTAGAAAAAACAAACCAAGATAGTGTGCTTCTAATATATCTGAAACATTTATTCAATCTTTATAAATCTAATGTATTATCGGAATGGCGTTTAGACATTTGATTTCCTTATTATTCAGACCCTAAAATCGATACAATATAAGCATTCTTTTACGGCAAGAAAATGTGATAAAAGAAATTCAACTGTAAACAATTAGTAATGTTTATATTGAATTGAAATATGCTGGATTCCTAGGCGTAGACAAACACTGTTCACTTTCTCATATTTGTTCTAACGTTAAACTTACTTAAACCCTTAGCCTGTTGGAACCAAAAACAATTAGCCTTTGTCAGAATTATAGATCAGAGTCTTTCAAATATTCTATTCGAAAAACCCTGTATAGAACTAGACAAGCCTGCACATCTCTGCCGGATGACCAGGCTCTATACTTTTGGTAACTCAAATTTGTATTTTGATATAGAAATTCCTATAACCGTGGATACAAAGACTCGTTAGTTTGCTTGTTTTACTAATACCAAGCAATATGAGGTTCTCTTAAACACCTATCATGTCCCAGAAATGCTTTTACTTTATTTCTCAAAAGCTTTTTTATATTTTTAGTGTCTTGAAATAGTTTCAAAAATGCTACTCCTTGGCGAAACACCTGAACCATCGTTTTCATCTGAAACTTTTGGTAATTAGTACAGTTGAAGTAATTCTAAAGTGTTTTCGTATTAATTATCTTTTAGGGGATGCCTCTCGGTTATTTGAAATGAAATTATGTTTATTTTATTCTAAAAACAACAGAACCACTTCGAAGCAGTAACAGAAAAACTAGCACGGGAGATATACGAGGGGTGATCCAAAACTTCGTGGACAATGTGTGTATCTCCATAACGTGACGTCCTACCGAGATGAACTCTTTGGATATTATTAATCAATGCTTTTTTAATAAATTGACCAAATTTTAAAACATCAATTGCATTTTTTATCTATATATGACAAAATAAAAACATTAAGTATCAAACTCGCGGCGCAGCTTACTTTTTCTCTGTAATGTAAACGTTTTCATCTCATTTAAACACATGTAAAACCTGTGCAAACAAAGAAAATTGCAGGAAATGTTATAATAACGTTGTTTTGATGTATTTGACGTCATTCTGTCAGTATTAGAAGACATTTGGAAGTTGCGGTTATTTTACGCTCGTGCTTTAAAGAACAGGTGCTAAAAACAGCTTTATCAAAAATGGACGTAACGGATCCAGCAAAACTTCGGACAGTTATACAGTTCTGTGTAAATCTTGGAAAGACGCCTGGCGAGACAAAAACAATGATCGAAAGTGTGACAAATAAACCGTCAGTGTGTCGTTCTCTTGTTCTCAGCTTGGAGCAGAAGTACTCAGTCATTCACCATATTCGCCTGATCTTTCCCCGTGCGACCTCGCCTTGTTTCCCAGGTTAAAGAAAGAGTTGAGAGGGAAACGTTTTGACAATCTGGACGAGTTGAGAGGAGCCACCCAATGCATATTGTCATCATTCAGCCAGGAATGGTATGCGAGTACATTTAGAAACTTGGTCCGCCGCCATGAAAAATGTGTGCGGGTTAAAGGGGAATACTTTGAAAAGTTATAAGGCAAAACGGTAACATAGATTACTTCCTATGATAGCATAACGTCGTTTGTGACGTCGTGAGCTGCGCCGCGTTTTGTCATATCTATGTATATAAACTGGTGCAGAATCGTTAATTTTTGTACAATCTTTACAATATTTTGAGAATTTATCGACATATGCTCACTTAATAAGATACTAGAATTTCATGTGATTTGCTTTATAACTTTTTGTTTTATGCAGCGTGTCCACGAATTTTTGGATCACCCCTCGTAGAGTCACCAAGCGTAGCACAAGATATATCGTCTGAGATAATGTACGTTCCAGTGACGAATGAACGTTCAAATCAGCTTTACGTTCATAATCAGATTGACCGTCTCCATAACAAGATTGATAACCCTGTAATTAAAAGTGACAACGAAGAGTTGGAAATTGACAACGATACTAACTTAACTGAAGATGTCAGTGACAGAGAAAAGAACAACCTGGCAATAAATCCTGGTACTGAAATATATATCACGACTCATTCAGCAGATACATACAAACAAAGTGGTTTAGGGAGATATACTTTTAAGCCTTGATATAAATGTATTGATCAACATCGAACAAGAAAATAAAGAAAACGATAAAAAGGTATACGAGGGACGGTCATAAAATATCAAGACTTTTCGTTCTTTCTCAAAATATTCTCCAATTAGGTCTCGAAAATTTTGCCACCTTCATGGCGTAGACCTATGTTTAAGGTACAGTTTGACAGCACATAACAAAATCTGGTCTTATATTTCTTTCAAACCAATAATATATTTTAGTTCTGGAAACAAATAAAATGTCACAGAGGGGACAAAATTTTGACAATAGAGAGAAATCAACAACATTATCGTTCGTAAGAGTAAATAAACTCCACTGTGAATGCAAATGTGTTGGAGAAGGAGTTATTATGAAGAAGGTGGATATTTGTCTGATTAAACCTTGGAGTCATTTATGTCAGCTTTTCGCAGAGAACTTTTAAAACCTCTTTTTCAGCAGTACTTTACGGTCCCAGTTAGACAGCATGAAATGATCACGATTATCCCGCCAGAATACCAAAAAATCAACAATTATGAAGAAGACAGATTAAAATTATGAGGCGGTAGAGAACTAGCTTGATGATACTGCTTTGAATGAACTTTTGTCCAAGGTTCGGCATGATAAACAAACATTTCATTTTCAGAGAAAGTGCCCCATGTTCGGCATGATTTCATTTTCAGAGATAGTGCAGTTCACGATTTAAACGTCTCAATTGTACTTTTGAATTTGTCACTTTGGTTGTCCATTGAACAGCTGTTTTGTCACCAACCTGGATATAACCTTACTAGTGCCTGTGTAAACACAAAAAATGTTCAGATTCTGAAATTGTTCACCACCAAAGTAACTCGACAACATTTGTTGACAAAGACTACCATCGCCTCAGCTGATCACCCAATCCTAGTTATGCTTGTAACAAACACTTGTTCTGCGTAGATGGCTAAACTTGAAACACATCTATCTTAGCCTCTGAAAAATTATGCCAGGGCGTTCCGCCTTCTGCACAACATAAACTTTATTACAAACCGCTGTTCATCTATAAAAAAGTCCATAACAGCCGAAACATCTATCCTATACCATTGGGCAAAAATTGAACACCCAATTGACTCTTAAAATTATTTGCGAAACAATCTAGTTTCCAACAATATATATAATATGTATGACTGAACTTAGAAAAACAGGAGTATCAGAAGCATGGATATTATTTTACCGCTCCTCATACGATAGGAAATTTTCTTAAATTTCTGCGGTACTAAGAAGCATTGTTGTAAAAGGATTTGAAATCCGCCTGTGTCAGATATATTATATTGTGCTATTTAGACGGTAAAAAAGTGGTAAAGTTAAATGATAGCAACGTTATCCTTCTTTGTACTAAAACATATTTAAAGGGTGTACATGACTTTGAGGACATTTAAATAATTGATTGTATTGTTTGTCCAGCTGCCTATTGTGGATAGATGCTATTGGGGATAATGTTCCGTGAATGTTTCTCTCTCTTTATTGTCAATCTTTGCTCTCATAGACTAAAGGGTAATTTACATTTTGTAACCTGTCACAATACTAAAATATCCTTGCTTATCTTTTTCAATAATCCTTCAATTAATGAACATGCAATACGATGTCGCCAAAGAAGATGGTAACCATAAGTTGAATTAACCATTTGTACTTTGCAAACATTTTAGATCACTTAATAAAGTATATGTAAATATATCTCAGCTCATTCAACAACAGTTGTATCAGTGTCTTATCAAAATAATTCATTCAGTTAATTTACAGTCAGGAAAAGTATAAGTTTGTTAAATGTATGATATGAAGCTAAAGTTCGAAACATGTTCGTGCTACAGTTTTATGTTCAAAGTCGTCAGTATCAACTATGTTTTTATATCTCATAAACAATCAACAGCACGATATTTCCTTATATCATAATCATATCAAACGACTTATTCAAAAACAATGAAACATATACTAGAGGTATTTTGTTTGTAGAA